AGACAGTCAATGAAGGCAGGTGGGAATGGTGGTGAATCCAGTCGGTCCGGTTTGTTAATCCATTAAAAATCTTTTTAAGCATCCACACCACCATCCACACTTCAACAACTCTTCTAAATGTATAATTTGAATGTTTGATAAAGAAACTGAATAAATGAAACTTTAAAAATGTCTTTAAAATGGTCCAGAACTATAATGAAACAATGAGTGGCTTGAAGCCAAAGTTTATGCACTATTACAGATACATTAGGGGCATTCTGAATGCAATGGAAGTAATTCATATACCAGTGTACAAATTTACAAATTGTAAACCACAATACAAATCAGTAAACTTGAACACCTGTAGTTGTACCTGGGTACAAGTAGTACACTGTCCTAATGGCAGGTTAATGGTGGAGGGAGCTGTTGTTCGCTCATGGCTCACCCAGAAACATACATTTGTCATCATTACAAGTCTTCAGAAAGCTGTTTGGTCTGCCACCCAGCAGAGCACATGATCCACTGTTTGTTCTCTTTCAACACAAATCAGTACAAGGCCAATTTAACTCCTAGTTCCTCTGCACTGAGGTGTAGACATGACTAAATGGTCCCAGGCTGCAATAATAGCTGGATCCTGTGTGTGTGTGTGTGTGTGTGTGTGTGTGTGTGTGTGTGTGTGTGTGTGTGTGTGTGTGTGTGTGTGTGCTGGTGCCCACAAATCCAACTATTCATTTTGATTAGTAACAAAAACTGTAGTTCCTCTAATGGCCGCTTGAAAAAAACAAAAAAAGAACATTTACATTTTATTATGGCTGAAATTAAGGATTGGCTGCTTTGTGTAACAGGTTGGTGCTGTCACAGGCGGCTGTTTTCAGTAACTAGGCTTCATTTGGCTCAGCTCCACCTCTTTGACTATTGTTGGATTAGCAAGGAGCCAGCAGAGTCAGCACTGCCAAGATGGCAACGGCCAGAACCGACCACACTGAGCTTCACAACCGCTGTGCAGGAACCTATGGGTGACGTCACAGAGATAACGGCCATGTTTAATTATACAGTCTATGGTCTGAAGCCAGTTTATGACTCAAGTCATGTGACCTCTCCAGTACTGGGCTAGTTACTCTGCTACTTTTCTGCTACCACAAAATTGGTAATTGTGCCCCTTCTGATTAAAATTCTGTTATATTTGTTAAAATCAAGTGTAAATGTTTCCATCTTCCTCCACGATTACAAAAATTAATCTGAGGTTGTGATTGGATGGTTAACTAATTTATTTGTTATCTGTTTTATATTACTTATAAATGATATATTAATTATATAGTTACTGGGGAAAGTATTATTTAGTATTATTACTAGTAATGAGTTACTGCCCAACACTGGACCTCTCACTTCTGTCAAACAATGTGAGATATCAATTGATACAAAGCAAAGTTCAGAGGTCACTTCAGGACATATACCCAGAGAGACTTTTCTCATCTGTGTGAAATGTTTCAGCACAAGGCTACACCTTTTTTCACTCAGTTCATTTATTAGCAGTAGTAGCTTTTGATATTTTATTTGCAGCTTTCACAGTCGGACAGTGAAGGACATAAACAAAGTCTGAACAGTGCTGCTAAGGTCTGTTCAAACAATCTGTTTATTAGAGTCAGACAGGATATGAGTTGTATTTGTCACCTTCAAATCATTAAGAAATTAATGAGCATATTGAACCAGAGCCAGTGAATTCTCACCACTACCTTTAGGACATCATGTGCTCTATACATACTGCTTGCAAAAGTAATCAATATTCAAAGTCATTTATCCATCTTTTTCTTTCATTCTTCCTTTATAAGCATCTCTACTTTCTGCATGTTTGTTAATATTTATCTTATTTGTTAGCATACTTATGACCAATTCTAAAAGCGTTTCAGTATTTTTTTTTCTCTATTTATTTTGTGTGTGAGAACAACATTATTAAAGACATTATTGCATTCTTATGTAAAACATTTTCCACTCTAATTAAATATGACTTCATAAATCCTTTTAAATGAATGAATACAGGTCTAGAAATATAATGCTGGAATGAATACTAAATAGTTGCTGTTGTTCAGTTTTCCTCACCTTGCCTACTTGTGTCTCACCAGCCTTAATAAGAATATTCTAATATTTCTGTCCTTCTGTTTTCTCTCCTCCCTCCCTTGCTCCCCCTTCTCCCTCTGTCTCTCTCCCTCTCTGTGTCCCAGTGGCGGCTGGCGACACTAGTATCGATGTTAGCGGTGTTTTCTCTCATTAATTTATCAGCCTGACGGAGGAGGGAGGCCTCAGTGGGGGGAGATAATGGCTTCCATTTGGCCAAGGTCAACAGTCGACACATTCCTCAGTTGTTCAAATATAACCACACATTAACTTGTGTCCACCAATACCAGACGGGCATACACACATACACACACACACACACACACACACACACACACACACACACACACACACACACACACACACACACACACACACTGCTAATAGATTGTGAGTGAGCTGTAATACTGTCCTGCTTGTCTTGGGTTTCATCCTATTGATACAAAGTTATGGATCTTCAGATATCAGCTGAATATCAGAAATTATGATACTGAGAAATAAAGGACTTTCCTGTATCTGTTTGGGAACTAAAAAAAGGTTTTACTATTTAATATTTTAGAAATATATTGGCTCAGTTTCAGTGGGTTTTCATTAGGTCAGGGAAATTGTGGTTAGGTTAAGGTTTCTTTCATATATTTACTTGATTTAATAAAAAATAAAAAAACAACCTAGCTAAGTCAATGTAGTCTACACTTTTTTGTTCACACAGTGATTATACAGTGAGGGTTTTATTTTGTTCTAGTGAGCCATGTTGGGTGACATGTTCCTTCACTGCCACAAACACACAGGCTTGACTCAATCCTACATACAAATACTCACCACATGTGGATTAATCCACTGCTAAAAGTAGTCCCCAACAAGTGCAGCATTTACTCCTGTTTGAGTAACGTTTTTAGGAACTTTTTTTGTTTCAGTTGGAACCAATGGGCTTGGACCTGACATCAGAAAGTCCTGACATGCAAAAAAAGAAAACAGAAAACAAAACAAACAAAACAGAATGGAAAAAAACTGTAAATATTGAGACTAATAATGTCAGTGACAGCATTAGTAGAGGTTTTAATAGTGTTACAAACAATGATTACAAAATAATAGAGATGTTATAATCGACATGAACAACTGTCAACAAACTACAATTGATCCTGACAGGGCAACCAACATGTTGTTGGGTTGAGTCTTTGCATGAGATTAATTGACAATAAGAAAGATACAGGATAACAGCAGACCTTGATAGTACAGTGAAAGACGTTTTGACAATATCCTCTTGCTTCTGAAAGGGTTTTATGATCCTGAGAGGTTTGGTAATATATGTGTGTGTGTGTGTGTGTGTGTGTGTGTGTGTGTGTGTGTGTGTGTGTGTGTGTGTGTGTGTGTGTGTGAAGTGACCAGATCAGATGGGCACTTTGGAATCAAGCAGCTATCTGCTGAACATTTCACCCACCAACTGTGTGTGCTATCCCTCCGAATATTGACTTTACCCTGCACAATTTGTGAACCATTACACAATACAGAGGATGAGATCAATGTGCATACTGTTGGTTTTGGAATAGTCTTGTGTGTGTGTGTGTGTGTGTGTGTGTGTGTGTGTGTGTGTGTGTGTGTGTGTGTGTGTGTGTGAGAGAGAGAGAGAGAGAGAGAGAGAGAGAGAGGCAGGCCACTGAACTTCAGTAATGTAACTCAAACAAGGTTATGAGAGCAGTGAGCTTTAATCCTTAAAAGTTCCACAGCAGCCCTGCTATTCTCTCCACAACAAACCCCAACAACTGTAATCATCTTCTATTAAAACATATTGTATGAGTATCAGTCAGCCCTCTGATATCTGTCTGCTGTCCCTACCTTCTGAGGGTTCACTCAATCATTAACCTAATCTACTTACCGAAAAACTCCCACTCAGTGTTTGCATGAGAGCTCAATGATAAGCTATTTGAAGTTGAATGTGGTGATGGGACAACCATTGACATGGACTAAACTGTTTGCTGATCTGTGGCTGCCTTTGATTCCCCAGAGATCAGGAGGGAGAGAACCAGCAGAGTGAGGAGCAGTGGTTGGAGCTGTATATCTGACCTTTATGTATCCAGCATTAATGTTTGTTTTCCTTACATACAGTCACAATTAGTTCAGGTAATCTTCTCCAAGGCCACAGTGTGAATGTGAATCTTCCTAAAGAGTACTTTGAGAAGTTCTGGCTGTCTGTGAGATAAGGTGGGGTGGCAATGAAATTAACAATAAATCAAATATGAAACAAATTAATACAACATTTTTAACATTTGTTTTAGTAAATCGAAATATAGTCATTTTTTAAGTTAACTGAGACATAAGCTGCAAACTGTGTTAGGTTATAGATTGTTATGGCAGGGATCAGGTTCTTATAGTCCATGTGAAGAGGGCAGAGATGGATGATCTTACTCAGGTTAGTTCCAAATCAGTGCTGCTGATTTTGTTTCAGTCTCATCCACAATGTATGATAAGCTCATAGACACTGATGCATTTTATAGACTTAAAATGAGATACAGCTTGAACTTAATGTCAGTAATATGAATCCTTCATACATTTTAACTTTGCTTTTGATACTTTAAGAGTGAACTCTCAAGTCAAATTTGAAATGCAGTTTTTACTCGTAAGGAACCGTTTTATAATGCTGTATTTAGGTTGCTTGTATTTAATTGCTGTAGATTTACTATTACTATTACAGTAAAGGGAAAATAGTTATTTTGAAAAATGTATTTGAGTTCTGACTTTAAACTATTTTCTTTTAAACTGTTTTTACTTTAGCCTCAGAATTCAGATTATTTTATTTTATTTTTTACTTTCATCTCAGAATTAAAGTTTTTGCTTTTACTCTAAACTCAGAACTATATTTTGTATGTTGCCCTAATTGTCTTCTGTATGAGCTACACCAAAAAAGTGACACATTTATTCTTACAACAAAAATAGTTTATTAGATATTACCAAACAAAACATCATTACAATGCGCTACATTGATTATTTAATGGAATATCACATTTTAGGGCAGCGGCCCATAAGAGCATTTTACATCCACACAAAGTACAGGAGAGACTTATCTGCAGAGGATGGGTGGATCTAGATAAATATTCATGGGGTATCCAGAGGGTGGCAGAAATATATGCTGATTTAATCGCAAACAATCACATATATCAGTATTTGTTTAGAAAAGCCCCCAAATGAAGATATTTAAACTCAAAAACAGTATTGTGGCACATTAGTAAAGCACGGAACAGAAATATCTAAAGGTAACATTAAAAATCAACACATTTCCAAATCTTTAGAAATTTTAGACTTCTTTTTTCTAAAATGTGGACTTAACTGATAATACAATTAATTAAAAAAGTTTTTTAACAGCTATGTTAATAATTAATTACTTACTTTAATTACTGAATTAATGAGTTAAATTTGACATAATTTGACCCTAAACTGGGTTGACAGCTGAGGTCGCTAATAGGTGGCAGGTGCCACCATATGCCACCCCTCCAGATCCGCCCCTGCTGTAGAGCAGAAACACTCAACACAAATACAACAGAGTACTATGCATTATATACAAAAAGACACATGTAAAATAGAGATGAAAATCCTGTGTGAAAGGCGCTGGAAGATGAAATGTTACCAAAATATAACATCAGGAACCAGTCTGTCATCCTGTCTGTCATTCTGGGTGAAACAGCCCCAATGAAGGTCCTGTGATCTCCATCATCCAGCTCCTAATTATTGTCCGACTGGATCCAGTATCAGTGGAGCCCGTGTGTGGTTCAGAACTAGGGGTTCAGTGTGAACTCGGCGTCGTCCTCTATGTCCAGCTCCTGGTCTGAATCGTCTGACACGTCAGAGTCCAGCTCTGTGTGGGGCTGCTGCGGGGACATGGTGCTCACGCAGCGGCCCGTCTGCGCCTGCTCGGAGGCCGGGACTGTGTGTCTGTGCTTCGGGCTCTGAATCCCGGAAGGCTCGGTCAGCTCATCTCCTTTATGATTCCTCCCGGCAGAGTTGTCTTCCTCCACGTCCCTCTTACTTCCCTGAGGGTTTTCCTGGTGGAGATTGAATTATGTGAAATTAGTAGGCTATATGGTTCGTTAATAATAATTCAATAATAATAATTCAATGAGAAATAAAAGGAACAATTTCTAATGTGACAGTGAAAACTTCTCACCTGTTTTAGTCTTCGCCACTTCGCTCGTCGATTTTGGAACCAGGTTTTAACCTGAAAGACAAAATGGAAAATAAATTCATGCTCCTCCTGTGAGATTGATTACAATCAAATATTAGAGTTGAAGAAACAGCAGCACGCAGAGAATATAGACACAACTACAAATTTAATGACAAATGCATCTCATACAACAAATAAATAAAAGTGCTGAGTGTCTCACATCGAATGAACATAAAAAATGGATGCCACAAATAATGTAAAATAAGATAGAGAATAAAGTCCACTTGATAATAATAGTAAAAATGAGATAAAAATGAGGAGGATGGAAAACCCACTGAATAATAATAATAATGAGAATACAGTAAAAGAGAGAAACAGAGAAAAGATCAAGTGAAATATAACATTGTAAAAGAGGTTCAGCATAAAAGAGTTTCTGTCATTACTAGTTTTTAACATTTTCTTTATCGTCTTCCACAAAATCTAATACAAACAGACAGAGACAGATATGTGATTAAATTGAATAATTAAGGTAACTAAATAAAATCTAAGTAAATACCGATAATAATAATAATAATAATAATAATAATAATAATAATAATAATAAACCTAAAAAATAAGATAAGGTCAACTTAATCCAGTCATGCAGGAAGTGATATAGGCCAAAGTGAAGAGATACATTTTTACATTTCTAAAGAATTTTTGCGAGCTGTCGTGACATCTATAGGCAGTGTGGTCCACCGATTTAAAGGCTAATATGAATCCACTCAGCAACAGTAAACCTTTGACAATGTCCACTGTATGACGCCTGTGGGCCTGCGCATACAAAATGGGGAGTCATCTGATTAATCGATGTTACAAATATTTCAAACCGACCTCAATTAACAAGCTGACATAAAACATTTTGAAGTATTTCTGGGTGGAATCCCAGTGAACGTTTTCCGTTGAAAAGACGTACAAAAAGCGACTATGTGAAACCAGTGAAAAGTACAAAATTGACCACATCACCGACTATTTGAAGCCGTTGATTGAACATTTACATTTAGACCATATTCCACCAGGATTTACAATAGTGACATTTCCATCCTCTACAATGTGCAAATAAATAAAAAAAATAAATTGCAAAACTTAGACTTGAACATTGTTGATGACAATATGACGGTTTTTATTAGATGTAAATATGTAAATAATAACAGTGTAACATATAAAGTGTTAACACTGTTCATATATTGAGTCATTCAAATACATTAATTAACTTATTATGCTTCACGCGCCAGATGCGAACCCCATCTTCTCCGCGCGTAGAACAAAATACACAATGATGTATATATATATAGACTACAGTATATATAGCCTATATATATATAGTCTACATGTCCGAGTGGAACAGCGCCCAGACAGAGCTGTGAAATACTGAACTGACTCCAGTGAAACTCTGCTCACCTGTCTCTCACTGAGCTGCAGCATCTTGGCCAGCCGCTTCCTCTCCGGAGGTGACAGGTACTTCTGCGTCTCGAACTTCTTCTCCAGTTCGATCGTCTGGTCGTTAGAGAACCGGACCTGACCGCCCTTTCTTTTGTGCAAGGGCCGCTGGATAAAGGGGGTCCACAGCAGAGGTTTCCCTACAGAGGAGGAGTAAAATCATTTATTCATGAATTAAAAATAGTAAAAATAGAGGAAATATGATGAAAAATAAATGTATTGCACATTATTAAAGCTACAAGCGTTTAATAAACAGTTATTAGTGTATATTGTTGTACTTGTTGAGCAGATTTATTTGGAGCAGTGCAATCAGGGCTCTTTTAGTCTGGTTTCCTCTCCGGTTAATGGTCTGGAACAAACAATAGCAGAGGCTGCAGGCCTGCCTGCTGCACGCTGTCTTTTAAGGAAGGTCGTGACAGAGTGAAAACTATGGCCAAATATCCGCTTCATGTGCTTCCTGCTCTGCGGTGTGATTATAGGCGATGGCATCCACCAACAGACACTCATGTCCTCTGCTCTCACTGACACAATATAAATGTGTTGTGGTCGAAACTGTTGTCAAAGACCTCCTTATTGCTGCTCTGTTCCAAAGGAAGTTAGCTAATCCCATGAGAGAGGCTGTGTTCTCAAAACAAAAATATCATAATGAAAGGAAAGCTCTAGAATAAAAGAGAATTAAGATAAAACACAGAAGCATTAGTGGATGAGATATTTAGGCTACTATTTGCAAAGTGTCTGCTTGAAAGAATTCACATGTTAGCTCCACAGTTCTTGCTTTAGACAGTTATGCCATAGCCAGGGGCGTAAATACAGGGGCTGTGGAGCAGGGGGTGCCCGCAGTTAGAACAATGTGTTAGGTGTTCAAAGAAGTCACATTGCATTAAAATGCTGCCATTAGATACATATGCCCTCAAAAATCTCTTTCATTTTTATTAAAACGTTTTTTTGTTTTTTTGTTTTTTACAATAGCAGCCTCTATAATAAAATGATATGTGTATTCTATATAAGACTATTAAAAAAACTATTAAATTAAATGAATATTTTAAACATTGTCAGTCTTAACCAGGGGCAGATCTAGGGGTCCAGCTGTCAAATTTAACACATTAAGTTGCATCATTTTTTAAAATAACTTGTTAAAAACATAGATTAACACATACATATGATTTAATGATCTGTTATGGCCACATTTTACAATCAGTGATCGGCTTAATTTAAATGAACAAAGACGTATTTAGAAAAATGTCTGAAGATTAAAAAGTAGAAATTAAAAAGTGTACTGAATTCTAATGCCACCTTCAGATATTTCTAGTGCTTTACTAATAACACACAATCAGAAATAATGTAATGTTTTTGTGTGCAAATATCTTTTCAGATCAAATATTGATTATATGTGATTGTTTGTGATTAAATCAGCAAATATTTCTGCCACCCTTTAAAGTCTCCCTGCCACCCCCTGGACACCTTATGGATATTTCTCTAGATTCGCCCCTGGTCATAACTATCTTACACCACTGGCTATAGTTATAGAACGTCAATATGCTAATGAGAGAACAGATTTATAGGAGGCTGCAATAAAGCTAATTATATTAAATGACCAACCTAAATTATTAAGCTAACATTAAGCATTTTGAAGTCCTAGATGTGTTGATATTATTAGGCTGCTATTGTTGATTCTGATTGAAAGAAAGCCTAACATAGTCCTCGGTTGAATGAATAGCAGCCTGCTCCTACAGTAGACCTCTTCATTTAGATCTCTTTTTACTGACTTTAAAGTACTTTATATTTCTTTTAACCAATTTGCATGGGCGGAAATATCCATGGGTGTCCAGATGGTGGCATGGAGGCAGAAATGCTGATATAATCATAAACAATAACATAGATCAATTATTGATTAGAAAAGCCCCCAAATAAAGATATTTGAAGTCATTACTCGTTACATATATGGCTTTTGTCATTGAATTTAAGCCATTGTTTAACGCGTTATTTTTTTAATTAATTTAAATGATTGTGTTAAATTTGTCAGAATCTGACACCAAACTGGGGTAGCGAGGCCTTTCCTTAGGGGTGGCAGCTGTCACCACATACCCTCTAGATCTGCCCCTGCCAAACAGGCGGATTTCCTATTCATGTTTCTGTATATTACAAGAAAGTATACAAAGCTACAAATACACTCAGCAGATTTAATTAAACCGTAGGTCTGTAGGTCAGATCTGTTATTCAGCTTCTATGTTCCATTCTATTTACTCCTTGTAGAATTGTAGCAGCCTGAGGAGAAAATGTGAATGCTTATAGCCCTTTATATAAGATAGAGTATTGTTATGGGCATATTCATTTTTACTATTTTTAATTTGTGCTTTTGTTTGTTGTATGATGTATAATAGATCATACTTGTTTGTTTTTACTTAACACGCTGCTATATGTCACTTGAGGCTTTCCTTTTTTTTATTGTCCTACTTTAAACTGCTCTAAATGAGCCTTTATCTCCTCTGCTAAGATCCCATTAGGTCCTGATGTGCTGCTCTGTTTGCTTTATTTTCTTCTCGCCGCCGACCATAAAGAAAGTCAGCCACATCCTCGCTGGCCGGGCCAGAGGAAGTGCAACAATATGTGAAAAACGGATCCCGGGCTATCAGAGGCCGAGTGTTTCCTGAATATGTCTGTATTGAGGATGTCGATAAAATAATCAGCAGCGTGCAGCGAGCTCCCGAGGAAGCGGCTGGCCGGGGTGAGCCAGGAAAACATTTAACAGCTTCTGAAACCAGATTTACTCCTATCGACAGGCTCACGGCTTCCGCTATGAACGGAAAAAGGCCCGGCTGGTTCAGTCAGAAGGTCCGCTTGTCACACTATGCTTAAGAGGACCGCCACTCACAGCTTCTAGTAACCAACGATTTAAAGCCGCCAATGCGCCATACCTCCCCCGTACATGCCCCATTAGAAATGCTAGGGTCACATATTTTATAGGTGCACCACTGCGTCAAACTGAAATATCTTAGTGTCTGTATTTCCTAAAACATCTACCTGACAGACATGATGGCTAGAAAAAGCTCTGCGTAATGGTGGACCCTGTGGATCTGACGGAACTGAAGTAAGTCATCTCAAATCCTCAGTGTTCATAGAGGCAAGAACCGATAACCAAAAAAGAACCGACCTGCATGCATTTATAATATAATTGTATTCCTTATATGGGGGCATTTGGTGCTCATAAGTATGTGAAAACACACACAAGCGCACGCACACACACACACACACACACACACACACACACACACACACACACACACACACACACACAATGCAGTGAAATAACAAGTGATTTAGAGCCCAGCTATGTTTTAGTCACCGGCTGACTTGCTCCTCTGATGTTTCAGAACAATGGGAGTCAGGAAAAAGAGTCAAGGTTGCCATGCACCCCCCACCGTCGCCTACCCCTATCACCACCAGCAGACTGAATGTGTAAGCCCGCTGCTATTGTGGCCCCAAATATGTCTGCTGTCACAATAACAGCGTGACTCATGTGTGCGTGCTCGGGGCATCATGCAGAAATGTTTATGTAGGCTACATGTGTTGAGTTCGACATGCATGCATGGCCAAGCGTGATATACTTATGCAAAAATGGTTTCGTTTGGCGCTGAAACGAAGCTCGCGAAGGCAGAGAAGTTTTCATGCAAAGGGTAAGAAAGAAGTCATCTGTTGCCACATCATCTGTTGCGCTCAGATGGACGGTGTTCATTTCATTTCACAAAACTGTGTGATGTGCACAAGATAGTGTGACAAAAAAATTGCAAGATGCAAAATATGGATTTATGAAAAGTGGAAAGATTTCTCATGAATTCACTCAAGAGACTGGCAGGCCAACCGTCTGGAGCTTCTCCACACACTGAACAAGAAACACGACTATAGGTTTTTTATATATTGTAAACGATTATCCTACACGTACAAAGAGTTTTACGCACACTCGCCCAACTCACCGAGAGGGTCATGCCTCAGTAGCGCCTGTGCGTACTCTCCCATGGAGCGGTGGTGCTGGTGGTGGAACGGGTAGATGGAGCCGGCGAAGGTCCCGGCGGAGGCGTACGTTAGAGCGGCGTGGTGGGACAGCGCCGGATGGATCGGTGTGGGTTCATAAATCGGCGTCCGGTACGGCGAGATGAGGCTCGTGAAGGAGGAGTTGGGCGACGGGAGGGTCGGTGTGGGGATGAGTGGAGTGGAACAGGAGGAGGAGGAGGAGGAGGAAGAAGAAGAAAAAGAAGAAGAAGAAGAAGAAGAAGAAGAGGAAGAGGGAGATGAGGTGGTTGTGGTGGCAGTCCTCCCCAGAATGTCCTCGATGTAGAAGGGTGTCGGATGAGCCGGCTGGATGGGAGTCGGTGCGTAAAGCGGGACGCTCATGGTGCCTTCTGCCGTCTCTGCGCGCTGGAAGTGAATTAACGGAAGGCTGCGTCCCTCTTCTCTCGCTCCCTACAGCCTTCCTCTTTATCGTCTCTATCTCTAAAGACGTTTTTCACATACTACCGAGCATCTACTGCAACTTTCAGCGAAAACGTGCGTCCACTGAGGAGAGTCTTTCGGGGCTGTGGAGGAGACCGTTAGAGTGTTTTGGTGTCCATCAGTTTGCGGTGGTGCGCTAGCTGGTACTTGATCCAACTGCTGGGGCTGTTATCTAGCTGCAGGCAGAGGAGGGAGGAGATAAGTGGACGGCCAACTTCCTGCAGGTGGCCGGCGTCCGTTTCTGATTGGCTCACAGGCGGCTCCAATCGACGCACGGAGTGATCAGATGATAGGAGAGAGGAGATAGTAGTATTTCAGGAGAATCACTTCACTACAGCCAATCATGCGTCAACCAGCAAACTGACAAATCTATGGTTGGAATGATATAATGGCGCTGATAGCAGGCTAAATGCCAACTTCAGCAACAACAAAATACTTCCATATCGTCATATTTTTCTTACTAGAAAGCACCGGCAAAAAAATGATTTATTGTAGTTAATTATACATTTTAAGCATGATGGCTCCTGTCAGAGTGAGTTATTATAACTGAGTTATAACTTATTACAGACTATGCCTCTTTCTATCTGGTATTTTGCAAGTTTTGTTGTTGGTGGAACCAGTTTTGTTAAAAGAAACTGTATACATTCTCTCCAAAGCTTTCTGCCAAAGCAGATCCACTGGAGGGCCAAACTGAAACTTAATGGTTGACCAAGGGCCTGTTAAGAGTAAAATGGTACTAGAAGTGTCACTCTCCCCTCTGTGCTCAGATTATAAAAATAATTAGGGATCCAAACAGCATTTTTACCTCACAAATAAATAGCATAAATGATTCACAACACAGTGATTCATGTTATATATATTATTGAATACATTTTGAATTGTTTTTTGCTAAAAAACAAATCTTATGCCAATTGGGCCCCCCAGCTATACACAGATAAAAACAAAATGATGATGCAGGTTCTTAAAGTCGAGCCATTCTACAGTCAAACATCCTGACAATGCAGTGTTAATTTTAATAATGTAAAAACAAAACACAAAGAAGAAAGATGACAAAGAAGAGAGAAAATAGAGAAAGGTATATTTTTGTATCACTCTGTATCAGCAGATATTCAATAATAAAGGGTCGGAATCAGGATTTCTGTACTTTGGACTTCATCTGGAGGCTCTTACTCAGGGGTCCCTAGGACCCACAGCTACGGAACATAAAGTCATACTCCTCCACTCCTTTTATCATTTATTTTTACACTCTAGACGGTGCAACTGAATGGCGAGTGATTAACTCATAATTAAAGTGTACACACATGCTGAATTTTACATGTTATACTTCTGTCTGTTTCTATGAAGTGGCCCCTCACTGCCATGCTGTTGTAAACTAAATAAATCAATACATCAATAAAATATGAATATTTGGGTTTCATTATGATCAGTTGGCACTTTACTATAGTTCCAATTTCGGACTAACAGTTCTTCTCCAAATCTGATCTCCAATCAAAAAGTACTGTAATCCGCCATATATATATTTATATATATATAGGCTACCCAGCATACATGTCCAATCCAACCTCCAGGACCTTAAACCCCCAAAGAAAAAACAGTCCATATGAGCTGAGCTCGATGTGATGATGGCCCTGGTTTTACGCACAGCCCACTCGCCAGTCAAATGTCTCTTTCTCTCCCACTCATCAAACAGCTCTGAGTGTTATCTTTAACAATGTAGTACAAGTCAACTGCAATCCACATCCCTAACGGTGCAACTGAATGGCGAGTGATTAACTCATAATTTGAATGTTTGGAGTTTTCCTGTGAAATCCGCCTATCAGTGCGGTGGAGGTGATACACTTACGATAATGACTATAAATGCAAATGGTTTTAATGGCTCACTAAAGTGTCTGTTTATCCCCTCACACGCGTTTCCGCAAAGTGTTAAACAATAACCGAGAACTTCTCTGTTCCACAGTTAAAGCTGCCTCTCTGGGGGCCACAGCTGCACGTGCCCGGGGCCATCTTGATCTGTATTTGCCAGGTGACTTCATTAATGATGTCAGGCTGCAGCGCGCTAGGATCCAATGCTTCGATTTTCTGATGCGACTTTAAAGTCAACTTTCTAACGGCTGTAATTTAGATAAAGTGGACTCAGAGAGCAAACAGGGATATGAGCAGCCTTGAAGACATGAAAGAAATCACCAAATGGCTAATATTTGGACTGAGACAATGATTGCAGCTCATTGATCCGGGCGGCTCCCCGCGGCGTCAGACTCCTGTCCAGGAAGGATTGATGGCTGCTGGGCAGCTCAACCGGCTGCTGCTACTGGCCGCTGGCGCCAAATATGTGACAGTTAATAACTAAAAAATCTCAATGACACATTATCAGTGTTACCTGCACGACTTTTAAAAATATATTTATTCGAATATTGTTTTGTTTTTGTTTTTTTGCAGACCGTGTCTCCTTCTGTCTATACCTTCACACAGAGCTACCCCAAACGCAGGCAAATAATAAAAACCCACAAATAGGGTAAATCATTTTATTTGTAATAAAATATCATACATTATTTGACCAGCAAGTATGTAAATAACGTAAACCAGTGGTTCCCAACCTGGGGGCCTGGACCCCCACTAGTGGTCGCCAAAGCTTCCCAGCGGGCCTTCTTCTTTTTCATTTTAAGGTGTAAGAAAATGTAAAAAAGATATGCTGTAGGCCTTTATCTCAGTATTTTGTTAATTGTTGTGACAAAACTAAATTAAGTTGTTTGCCACAATAGTATGCATAGTAGTACTTAGATATACATATGTAGATAGTTACAGTATGTATGATTGTTAAGAGAATTTAAGATACATAATACAAATATTTAAAAAATCAGGAAAACTCACCTCCAGGTAATATTCACATCATAATCTGCTGGTAATTCATCCAAATCTCTGGTTTTACACAAACGTCCTGCAGTTATTGTGTTCACTGTTTGGGTTCATTGTACAGTGTATCAGTGGTTCTCCACTGTTATTCTTATGCATTGAATATAATATGAAATATCAATAAAATATGTCACTTAGTCAGTTTACACAGTGATAGAAAAGGGGAACCACTGACCTAAATAATAAAAACATTATTATTATTATTACTATTATATGAATATAAGAGTCATCTTACATTCAGAATGCTACTTAGTCCCTAACAATGAATGAGTTAAATGCTGGTAGGGGAGAACAGGGTTGGTCGTTACACTTTTTACTCTCATTTAAATCCCTCAAAAACTACTGTTCCTTTAATAGACACCATGTTAATGTGTATTGGAAGCCTAAAGTGTCAGATAGGAATGGAGTGACTTTACTTTGTCAGGGATCTCAAACTGCTGGGCCGGCAGCCATTTCCGGCCCTTCATCCCCCTCTATCCGGGCCACATCATTATGTCAAAAATACACTATAATCCAGCCTTCAAGATTATAATTTTCTCTAGTTGTTTCATCTCAGTTACCTGTTCATATACAATACAAAAACATAATTCTGTTTTTAAAATGTATTTTGTTTGGCACAAAATAATGGCAAAGGTCAAAGGTGCAAACGTGTGCAAGCGGCTGATAAGAAGAGAGCAGCTTTGCGGCCTTCATTTGCTGCTTGGCTGTGAACAACAAAGATTATATAAAATGATCCTATAGAATGTATGTAAACTACGGAAGCCCTAAAAGGCCATGCATTCATACATTTTATTTCTCCGTTTTCCTGTGATAACGATATAATTAATTCGAGATCTCGAGATAATGACTGTGATATGATAACTGCGGTCAAACCAGCTGTTACTCCGATCTCCGTGGTCAAATCAGCAGCACTTAAATTTACAGCGTATTCACTTCCGGTTTTCAAAATAAAGGTATTAAGAACAGTAAGCTATAATTCGAACCTACATTTAAAATAAAATGTTAAAGTGTTTCATGCGCCCTTGATGAATAAAAAACATACTTAATATCAAGCATTTTCTGCACCAATGTGGAGAAATGCCAAAACAAAAGTTCCATATTTGTATCTCCAAGTGGCATCTTTTCTCATATTATTTCCAGAATATTGAAGTGTCCCTCCTATGAGATGTCAATAGCAAATCATAACAGAAGTTGTCTCAGGACACTTTAAAAATACAGCAGGCCTAGACCGTACTTATATTATTAACAGAGACCCAAAAATTCCCACCATGAGCAAGCATTTTGTGACAGTGGCAAAGAAAAATAAACCCTTTTAAGAGGCAGAAACCTCGAACCACACCCACCTCAAGGTCATCATCAATCATTCCTATAATTTTTATCCTTATATAACATAAAGAACAATAATACTCAATATCACTACCATGTGACAACCAACCCTAAAGAGAATGTGACAAGCATCCCCAACATGGAATATTTGCAATTACGATTAAACATTAAAACAATCTGACCAAATATCACCAATGTTTTACATTTTAGGAAGCAGAGACCACTGCATCAGTTTTTGGACTCACAGGAGAGATGTGTGTTTTGTACACCGATTGTACCTCTACCCAAGTCTGTGTGGGTGTGTACAGCCTGTGTTTAGTGACAGCTCCCTTATTCAGCTTTGCATAGCTTTGTTGCACTTGATGTTAAACTGTCATCACTGTTATTAGATCATAAACTGATACCTCACTAGAGGAGGGGTCATTAAACCATCTGTTGATGACATGGGTGGCAGGAGCTCGGTCTGTAGGGACCTGTCTTGGGAAATGGAAGGTCTTGGGAAACCAAAAGGTTGCCCAACTCCTGAAGTGCTGCTACATGGCAGCCCATCACTCCACCAGCTCTCCTGCATGTCTATAAGCCCTGTGTTTAAATGACTGTATTTTGGACCCATTAGAATATTAACTTCCCCATTGGGGATTGACGCAGTAAATCTTTTAGATTACAATGTTGAGATCATGAGATAAGTCAAGACTTTGCCTTATTAGTACACCTAATTTTTGACAAAGTACAATATGTTTTATATTAAGCAATTCAGACATATACAAGTGAGTCATAATTTTGATTTTCAGATACTTAAAAACTTTTACTTCATTGTAATGATACAAAAATAAAATTTTGAGAGGTCAAGTCAAAAGTATGAGTCAAAATTATGAATTAAGGAGTCTCAATTTTGACTCGTTTCAAAAAGTAATATGCAGGTTTTCATTCATTAAGGTAACTTTCTATATCAGCAATACTGTGGGACCATTATCACCTGTAATACAGACTAAAGCACTGTATTGTGGTATAGCCTAATTGAACTACACCATCTGGCAGATGCACTAGTCTGCTGAGAGACTCAAATCACAAAGTATGCACCAAGTCAGATATTTCCTCTCCTGTTATTTATGGAAGGTATTAGGCAGTAAAGTTAGGTTTAAAAGAAAGGAAGAAACAGAAAAACAAAACAAAACTGCAAATGTAAAACAAGACTTCTGCATTTAGAAAATCTCACCTCTAGCACACTAGGAACAGACTGCAATCACAGCTACCATAGTAACTATACATCCCATACTTTTTATGCTTTTATTAGTCAAATTTTACTGTCAAAGGCACTAAAGCTTTCCACTGTTGTGTCAGACAATCAGAAGTGATTCCTAGTTAGTCCTTTTACTAACTATTAACAAAGACAAAATGTTATTTTCACTTGAATAATTATTTAATTTGTAAGTGCAAAACAAATTCAATTACACATGCAGTACCACTGCTGATCTGAACACTTTCAGATGTTGAGTACACCAATCTTAAAAAAAAACCAAAAACAGCTCAACACTGTATTGGAAGAAAAGAAACTTTCACTGTTTAGAGCAAACAGCATGGCAGTTCCATAAAGAAATCTGCAGGTAAAATGACTAATATATATTTTACATGCTTTATGAATGTATTCTCCAGCATGGCAACAGAAGGTGTAATTGATAAGTGTTTAATACAAGACTGTCTAACATTTTGACAGCCATTACGGATGCACATTATCTTCATTTAGATTCTAAATGATTCTAAATGAAGGAAAATAAACAAGGGAGGTAATGACAACACAACAATTCTTATTTGTTATACACTAATTAACACATACCTATGAATATTATTTTCCATTGCGGCCAATAGATCTCCTAAATGTTACAGACTGGACCTTAAAATGGTGCTGTAATTGAAATCAGCATTTTGGCTAACTTCCTGTCAGTACTTGCAGTTAGCAGTCCCCTCCCTCCTCCCCTCCTCCCCTCGTCCCCACACTGAAATTCTGCTGCCTTCTTGAGCGCTGCCTCTTTGTGGAGTTCTCGCTCCTGATTTGATGAAGTGGGAACAGGATACCAAATGTATCCTCTGTTTGCGGAAAGAAGTGACTGGGAGACCCATGTTACTGGCTGAACACTTTGTGATGGCTGTCGGAATGTAGAGCTATTTACTTACAACAAAAAACGCTTACAGCACCTTTAAGTTAATATTTCTGCTGAGCTTAAAAGATTCCCTACAATCAAAACAAATTATGTTAATAAACTGTATAAAAGTATACTATTTAGAGTATTTTATGCATAAATCAATAAATCATGCAGTGTGCAAATGTTTCTTTGAGTGTTTAATATACACTGTAAGTCTCTATGATTAAGTTCATTATTGATTAATCTGTCGATCATTTTTTGCGATTAGTTGTGTGGTGCTTTTTTTCAACTTGACGCGTTTAGACAGGATGTTCTCTTCACAGGAAAAGCCAAGCAGGTGAGTGGTAACTAATCATTAAGGGGACAGCAACCCCAGCTCGCCACTTTCATTTTGTTCAGTGTGTGTGTTCCTCAGGTGTTGGCTTCTGCTGGTTTTGTACAATCCGGGCCCTGCTCTGAGTGTGAGCAGGGTTGCAGAGAGCGCAGGATATGTGCCAGGGTCCACTTCTCCTCATATAAGGCATGCTCCTCCAGGGTGAACTGACCCTGCTTGGTCCTAATCAGTTCTTTCACATGAGCGCACGATGACAGAGCTGCAGCACACAGGAACCGTTTATTCTCATGGTTAAGTGTCAGCAGGGTTGATTTTTGGTTCAGATTCTAACATTTTCCATAATGATGCTGATAAAGAAACTGTGAAATAGAATGAATCTCACCTTTTCCTAGGTCATCCACCAAGCTTCTGACATAGAATCCACCGCCGCACTCAATATCTGTTATAGAAATAAAACTATTTTAATTGTAAATTCTACATAAAAAGAAAATGGAAACAGTGGAAAACAGTGGGCTCCTCCTGCCACATGTCGAAGTATCCTTGAGCAAGGTACTGAACCCCAAATTGCTCCTGATGCTGTGCATTGGTGTGCGAATGTATGAATGCATTCATTTCTGTTTGATGGGCTTTGCCATCACTGAGTGAATGCGTGTGAAAGGGCGAATGTGGCGTGTAGTGGTCGGAAGACTAGAAAGGCGCTATACAAGTACAGGTCCATTTACCACATTCATGCATGTAGCACATGGATACATCCATGATTAGTTAGGAGCTAAAATGTGATGGTAAGATAGCAACAGGGGGGAAAATGAATGGTTCAAAAACACTGCAATAATAGCTCCAAACAGGAACTAAAAGGAAGAGAAGTGTGGACTAGGAGTAACATTTTTTTCAACAAATTAGCTCTGGTTCTTGAACCAGTTCCATTCAGGATTAAAAGGTGTCTCCTGTGTAAACTGTCGAGCTGAATAGGGTTGAACTACAATACTGTATTTTAGCATGGGTTATAATGATGGTACTTGGACAGCCTGATATTTTGTGAGGTAGTACGTGGTGTAAAATGTTTGAGAAACACTGACACAGAAATGCTGCATTAAGCAATGTGTGCTAACCCAGAGTGAAGAGAGGAGGCTTAAACTCTTGCAGGGTCAGGTTATACACAGTGACTGGTCTGGCTGGTTTGGCCTCAACCTTATGACCTTTTTTCAGCATGACAGACAGACGCTGACCGTCTTTCTTCAGTGCCGAGTAGCTGAAATGACAAATGACATGAAAATCAATAAATCACTTCATACTGACGATGCCAGTCTTTTTTAACTGGAAAGATGTATACATGACACATATTGCACAGTTCCATATTATAGACTACGTCACGCTGAAGAGTTCATTTTCCCTCAGTGCGAAATGTTGCAACTTTAGACTGTTTGCCTGCATGAAGTGCCACGGCCACTGGCAGGAGAGCTTCTTTACAGGGGAAGTGGCAGATGTATAATATGAGAGTAAAGCCCTGCTGGCAACCTCAGGCTACAAGGTTCACTCAGTGAACTTCACTGCACCACATTTAAGTTGAATATACACTGATAATCATCATAACATTCTGACTACCTGGGTTCATAAGCCCCACACCAACAAACTGATGCACTGTGTGTTCTGACACCTTTCTATCAGAACCAGCATTAACTCTTTCATCAGTTTGAGCTACAGTAGCTCGTCTGTTGGATCGGACCACACGGGCCAGCCTTCACCCGTTGTGCATCAATGAGCCTTGGCCACCCTTGACCCTGTCTCTGGTTCACTGCTTTTCCTTCCTTGAACTACTTTTGATAGGTACTGACCTCTGCAGACCGGGAACACCCCACAAGAGCTGCAGGTTTGGAGATACTCTGACCCAGTTGTCTAGCCATCACAATTTGGCCCTCGTCAAAGTTGCTCAGATCCTCACGCTGCCCATTTTTCCTGCTTCTAACACATCAACTCTGAGGACAAAATGTTCACTTGCTGTCTGATATACCCCACCCACTGACAGGAGCCATGATAACCAGATAATCAGTGTTATTCACTTCACCTGTCAGTGGTTATAATGTTATGGCTGATCAGTGTACAAGATACAGGGCATTAATTCATTAAAGTAATTTTACAACACAGGATTGTATATCTGCAGATTCAACCCCTGAACAGTTTTCTGTCACATACACAAATGTTACTCACAGTGGAGGAACTTGCATGATGTCGCCAGTGAACGCTTTTAGCTTCTCCTCAAAGTCCAATTTGGTTATGTGTTCTGTTGGAAAAAAAAACAAAAACATGAACACCATTCTGTAAAGTTTGCACACATAAATTAGACTGCTGAATGGGATGAAATGATGTAATTTGTACTTCAATATTTACCAAAGTCTTTCTCCAGAATCACACTTCCAGTGGCATCAAGAGTATCTGTTGCTTTCCCCAGTTCCCCCACTGCAACGTATTTCTGAAAAACAAACAGCACACATCAATCTGTTGTCTCTGTGTAATAACCACTGCTCATTCTCAACACCAAATATCAAACTATAAATAGAAGCAAGTGTTCAATTTGGTCGAAGTATGCACTGCCTTTGGCGATATATACCTAAAACATTAACAATAAGATAACACGTGAACAAAATACACCCTTCAGGTCAAACATTCAGAATAATTCAATGGACCAGGGCACTCAACAGTAGGCATAGGGTAAAATGTTGTTACCAGTACCGACAGATACCTTGGCTTAATACTTTTCTCATTATCAATTTTAGCATACGCGCACACACATACACACGGGAAGCTGTTCAGGGACCTGGAAGCAGCTAGAAAAACTTATTTATTCTGCTTACTTTACTCAACATGGGTAACAAGACTAAAATGATGAAATAAAAGTGAATATCTGTACAGTATTGGACTACATAAACGCTATAAATAACTATCAAAGGAACATTAATAACAAACCAGTAGGGCAGCAGTATGTGCAGCCTAAACCAAGTGAGTAGAGGATGCGCCCTGGTTTTTATCCCATGAGGTTAACTAACCGACAAGCAGATACAGGCAAGCTACACTGGCTAGCTAACAAGCAACACAAAGTTCACTTAGTTGTCTGTGCAAACGTAGTGTTTTCCCTCAAAGCTGCTATGATGTGTACCCAAGTTCAGTGCCCAGGTATATCCCCATACCGATCCCTTCTCAACATTAATTTCTCTAACTGCATCGGTCTGCCACTTGGTGAGGACCAGGTAGTGTGCAGTGGCTTTATCAGCTGTTTCACTGAAAACTGCTGCTGGACAAAAGGCTAATGAGATCATTGAGACTGAGCTAAAACAGTTAAAAAGGAGTGTGTAGGATTTTGTGGCATCTACAAGGTTGTAGATCCAGGAAAAACCAAGGCATGGATAATATAGCATGTGAGCAACTAGGTCCTATTTTTAATTTACATCTTCCAACTGTCACTAATCCAGCAGAGGGTGCCATCTCTATGGAAGAGGTGTGGTGCTAATCAAAAGGAGAGCTCTTACCTAAAACAGAGCGCCTTCTGGAGCCTGTTCAGTTTGCTTATGGGACCAAGAGGGGAGGGCAAGATGCTACCATCGCCTTACTTAATTTACTATAGAAACACCTCAGAGGCTGAAGGAACCACGGCAGGCTACTTTTTGTTGACTTCTCATCAGCTTTCCGTACCATACAGATACATTTGCTAGTTGACAAACTAGTCAGCAATTTTAGCATAGACCCCAGCACAGGCTGAATTCTTGACTTCTTCATAAACAGAATGCAGAGAGAAATCCATGTTCTCTCCCCTTTATTGTGTATTTTATACACTAATGATTGTCATAGCCATTGTGACAGATATATTGGTAAGTTTGCAGATGACTCAATGATTGTTAGCTTTCTTTATGGATGAAAAAAAAAAGAAAAGTGTCACCAATTCAGTGTCTGACTAACTGTAAAATATGTATGTGTCACAGTGTCTCCTTCTGTTCCTGAGTTATGGTGCTGAATAAAGGCCAAAGAAATTGGTATTCCATTAGTGACCTTAAACCACCAAATTGTAATCAGTTCATCCTTGAGTCCAAATGGACATTTGTGCCAAGTTTGAAGAAATTCCTGCAAAGGTGTTCCTGAGATATCGCATTCACAGGGAAGGGACGGACATTAGGGTCACAGTGAGCCTGAACATGCAGAGGCATAAAAACCCTAAAGCACCAGCTAAACCAGTTTATAATTTCATGCCAGAATTTCAAAATAAAAAAAAACTTTGACTTTGAATAAGTGTGGTAGGGTTTAGCAACTGTACAGCAGTGTTAGGCTCGTCACTCAAAATATGTAATAATTTCTCGTTACTCTTTTCAAAAATAATATGACTTTACTTATTACTCCCTGCCAACAGCAACAAGTTACACTACTAGTTATGTTACTTTTCTGGTACTACCCACAAAATTGGCATTTGTCTTCTCTTCAAAATTCAGACTTAGTATGATTAAAATCCAGTTGTGTTTGTTAAAATCAAAGTAAGAAAACATTTCCAGCTGCTGAGTGTAATTAGTTACACTATCAATTACTGGGGAAAGTCATAGTATTACTGTAATGTCATTCCTAGTAATGAGTTACTGCCCAACACTGCTCTACAGTGAATGGTAAATGGACTGTACTTATATAGTGCATTTCTAGTCTTTCAACCACCCAAAGCGCTTTTACACTACATGCCACACTCATTCACACACATTCATACACATTCATGAAGTGATGGTAAAGGCCATCACAAACAGAAACTATTTCATTAATCCACATTCACACTGATGACACATTGGGAGCAATTTGGGGTTCAGTATCTTGCTCAAGAACACTTCGATATACAGCAGATATGCCGCAGGAGGAGCTGGGAATCGAACCACTAACCTTCTGATTAGTAGACGACCTGCTCTACCTCCTGAGTCACAGCCACCCAAAAGTGAGCTTAAAGTGTCAAATTACAAATTATTTTTATAGTAGGTAATTATAAAAATTATGTCATTAGCTGAAACTTTCACTATATGACAGCAGTACATGAGATACTATTCCTCTGGCTCCTCCTAGTGCTCCTAATGGCAGTTGTAAGAATCATTTAAACCCGAAAGAAAATGTTGTATAAACGTATTTGACAACCTGGGAATGAGACCAACAATCAACTATCTTTCTTGGCTCCAACTGATTGTTCTCATTCACAGATTATCTGTGTCATGCACTGTCAGGATTTAGTGAAAGTTTCATCAAATATGACAAAAACTTATTTTATAAACATTACCTACTGCAGCTTTAATACACTTGGTTTCTTGTATCCAACATGTTTCGGTTTTCCTAAAGTCATTATTTCTCTTTTCAGTATTGTATATCCCGGTTTAATCCAAATTAAGTTTCATTTGAAATTATCACATTATATAGTAACATACATTCTGTTGTAGCTACCATCACACATTGTTGCTCACAGTTTTCTTTAAATTTGTGGTATGTTCCTTCCTGCTATGGTTTTACAATGAAGAGAGATTTGTCATAAAAAGGAAATACACACATGGTTTTTAAGCAGAACAGGTTTGTTGATGTAGCTCTTTATAGCTTTGTTGTATGTATCAGCTGACTGACTATGTATCTACTGTTTACATGAGTGCAAACAAACTCACCTTAGAACCAGCCAACATTGTACTGAGCATCTTTGTGCCATTCCCAACACCAACCACTGAAAGACACAGAGACAGTATTAGAGTCTGAAATCCTGCTAGCGTCCCTGAGAGATGGCAGTGTTACCCAACAATGATGTACAGATTGTTGATTTTGCCAATTTTATAGCCTTAATATTCATTAGTGGCCCTGGGAATGTTTGTTCCGTTTTAACGATAATTATAACTAAATATCAAAATGTAGCTGTCTCACTAAACAACCCCAACACACTACACGCTCTCAGTGCCTCGCTGACATAAAGGTATGCAACTCTCTAAAGCTAAATAAGGGAATATATATCTTAATAAGGCCCAAAGCAGATATAGAAACATTTTACTCAATGCTGGGTGACTTTACCAAACAGATTAAAAATAATGTCACAAATTTGGGAGTAATTTTAGATTCGGATTTAAATTCTTATTTTAACAAGGTAATTAAAAACAGCCTTTTTTCATTTTAGTAATATTGGCAAAGTCAGACCTTTAAGTCAGAACGATGCCGAAATACTCACTCACCCTTTTATAACCAGTTGTTTAGATAACTGTAATTAATGCAGCAGCATCTAAACTAAAAACTAGGAAAATGGATCACATCAATCCACTGTTTAAGACACTGCACTGGCTGCCTGTATCTTTTAGAACTGATTCTAAAGTTATTTTAGTTGTTCAAAGCGTTATACCATGATCTGGGTGAATAATCAGTTCTGATTGTTTGCTGGGTGTCCAGTAATACCTGATGTAGAACACTTACTAAGTAGTTCCAGCGAAACTGTCTGTTCATTGTTCTAAATTAATGGGCTGAAGTAAACAGAAATCTGAATCTCTCATAAATACATCTCACAACACTGAGTGTAGTCATTCAGTAGTTCATCCTCTGAACACCACACACAAACCCCTACACTGCCCCCACTCACTGATATTTTGTATTAGCTTCTCCAACATCACCTGACTGAAAAGCGCTTGAAAATATAAAAGTAATGATTTTTTTTCCTTTGGCATACCATGAATGATGCTCGACGAGCTGTCCATTATCAGGAATTAATGGATGGACGGTCCTGGCCTCCACACTGTCCACTAATTCCTGATAATGGACACCTCATCGGGCATTATCCCAATGACCTTTCTCCTCCATGCATAAGAGATTTTCTTTCATTTCATGTTCCAGCCAGATCACAACTCTACTGCTTTCCGATTGAATTTTCTTCATGGTAAATGGACTGTACTTGTATAGCGCCTTTCTAGTCTTCTGACCACTCAAATCGGGGTTCAGTATCTTGCTCAAGGATACTTCGACATGTGGCACCAAGAGCCGGGGATTGAACCCACAACCTTCCGATTAAGGAACGACCCGCTCTGCCTCTGAGCCACAGCCGCCCACATGTGTCCCATAAAAGTGCCTCCTGTTTTTATGCCTAAACTATAACTCTCTGCCTCTGGATAATAGAACGGCAAGCTCTCGGCGCCCATTTAGCTCAGTTGGTAGAGCTGGCGACCCATATAAGCAGCGGCCCGGGCTCGAATCCGACCTGTGGCCCCCTGCTGCATGCCATCCCCCCCGTCCATCTCCAGCTGTCTCTCTATCAAATATAAGCCAAAAAAAAATACTAAAATAAAAAAAAGAATGGTAAGTTCTCTCTAGTTTAAAAAAGGAAATTAAAGACCTGGCTTTTTAATGTGGCTTTTAATTTGGAAGAATGTTATAGCCTTAGTTTTAAGGTTTTAACCATTGGCTTTTACATTATTTGTCTCCAGAGACGGCTGGTATATATGGGCGAACAGGGCTAAGCCCCCCCTATCTTTTACAGTAAAGATGAAAAACTATTACTAAAAACCTTAGAACATATTGTTTTGAATTTTGGTGGAACCTAGAGCAGTAACAGCACCAAACTGACAGAAAAAAACCCAGGATATTTCCTGTGAATGGGCTAATTGTATTCAGCCCAAGCACAGTAGAGTAAGCTTCCATTGACTTTTGATTGACAGGTGTTGTGACACGCCCCCTTCATATGCTGCCCATTTGGGCTAAATTCATTCATCCCAAAGGCCAGTGACCTTTGACCAATCACAGCGCAGTAGCTACAGTACAGTGACCGTTGACCAATCACAGCGCAGTAGCTACAGTACAGTGACCTTTGACCAATCACAGCGCAGTAGCTACAGTACAGTGACCGTTGACCAATCACAGCGCAGTAGCTACAGTACAGTGACCTTTGACCAATCACAGCGCAGTAGCTACAGTACAGTGACCGTTGACCAATCACAGCGCAGTAGCTACAGTACAGTGACCTTTGACCAATCACAGCGCAGTAGCTACAGTACAATGACCCTCGACTAATCACAATGCAGTAGCCACTGTAGAGTGAGGCTAGTTCGTAGTAGAACATGGAGAGAGGGAAGTGAGCAACAGTAGTAATGGCGGGCGTTAGCATGAACATGAACGAGGTGGATTATTTACTTTCTAATCAATTTACTTTAAAGTCTTTGGAGGAAAAATTGGAAGTACAGAGATTGGGAACACATCAACCAAACGATGTTCGAATAACACAAAAGAACAAACGACAAAATCGTAATTTTGTGTTACATGGTTTCAGCGAACGGACTGGCTAACAGCAAGTGTAGCTAGGAATTCACTTTTCTGTTTCCCATGTTTGCTGTTTGGAGGAGACACAGCTTGGACCCAACAAGGAATTGCGGATTTAAGACATTTATCCGACAAAATTAGGAAACATGAATGCAGCACGAGCCACCTTGGAAATAGCGTAAAGTTGTCATTGCTGGGTAAAGTGAACAATGCTTGTCAGCTCAATGAGGGTCACCGCACCGCTGTACAGAGACACAACGAGCGGGTAAAAAAAAAAAACAGGCATTCACTATCACGGACTGTGGACTGTATTAAAATCTCTTTTTAGTCAATTAGCCGATCACCTGTCAAACACACAGGTTGCCAAGTACACGTCTAAGACCACAGATTCTCTCAAAGCGAGACAGGGCCTGGAGAATTTTTCGTGCTCCATATCTGAACTGCTGACCACAGATGACAATCAGCCACATCCAGATGCGGACACCGCTGCAGTTGCTGCAACGCCGCGCAGGAAGCGGCGCTCTGATAATGTGTCAGTAGCCGTACAGTGCTGTGACATAATGGTCGAGCAGTCAAAGGCTCACTTTGAGAAAGCCAGGCACAATCTTCAGAGCACTTTTTTCTGAAACACTGAAAGTAACACAAATAGCCATCACAACCCCCATGACATCTGCAGAGTCAGAGAGGTGTTTCAGTATACTGAAGCGGATCCTTTCTAAGAAGTACAAATGGACAGGACAGGCTAAACAGACTGGCTACGCTGCCCATTGAGAGGGACTTCATCCAAAAACCACCAGACTTTAATCACATGTGATTTACCTGTTTGCGTCCCAGGAATGCCGTCGATGTGAGCTGCTTTTTAAATAAGGTATGCCCAAGCTCTGAAACAACTCGTTGTCTTTTACAAATACTGTTATTTTTGCTTTGGTTTTGTAGATAGTTTTGTTTTTAGTACATGGTGTTGCAAATTGTTGCTGGTACTTTTCTATAATGTTGTAATGCAATTGGCATGTGCTTATGTGTAAAGAGGAGAGAGATTTTTTTGGCATCAGGCCATTCATTTCGGTATGTCTCCACAGTGTTGCCGTAGAGCACTTGCTATAACAAAGTATACAATGTTGTTGCTGTAACTTGATGTGATGCTACTGTTGCTGCTGTGTGACATAGTGATGAGTGTAATGCATTTGTTAGCCCACCCACCCAAAATCACCATCACTGTTTGTCTCCTTTGTGTTTATTGTATTTTTTTTATAGTTTTATTTGTTTTGCATGTAATGTTTTCTATTGTATTAATTTTTAGCCTAACAAAACATTATTTATTGTTTTCATATATTGTTTAAGTTTGTTATGTGAAGCACATTGTATGTTTGTGTGAAAAGTGTAAATAAAATTGAGTTGAAATATGATATGAACAGTTAATTAGTGAGTACAATAATAACCACCAGAGATTTATTTTTAAGAAAAAAAGTAAGGGGGCCCACAGAGACTGCTGGGAACAGGGCCCACAGAGACTGCTGGGAACAGGGCCCACAGAGACTGCTGGGAACAGGGCCCACAATCCTGCGCTACACGTCTATAAAAGTGTTTCCCTCTAACTCCACTAGCACCCACGAGCACCCACTAGCCCGGATGACAACAGCCAGCCGCACGTGGACCCGCTCACCTAACAGCCCACTGGCGGCGCTGTCCAGCGTCCCTCCGTGTCCAATCTTCAGGCTCTGCTTCTTCCTCTTTCGCGGGTTTGGGTTTTGAACACCAGCTTCTGAAAGATAACACATTTCACATTTAGCTTCAATAAATGACAATAAACTTATTTCCGCGTTCCGGTGGTATTACCTTTGAGTAACGCTTCTTTCAGCGTATTCAACACGTTTGCCGACGTCGGTCCTTGTTTCTTATATATCGCGAACAGTCCATTTAAAGACTGTAGTTTAGACAGAGAACTAGTTACCGGAGCCGCAGTGTTGCTGATGCTTCCTGCCATGCTTGTTCCAATGTTCTTCTTCTTCTACTTATGTAGTGACCACGAGCTGCGGCTAAGAGCCGTTGTTGTATTCCGCCACCTGCTGGTAAGATTAATTCATCATTATTTCTTATCTAGACTCCAAGGCTAAATAACATAAAGTTATATGACATTAAATTACCTAAATAACCTTTGACTTTTTGACTGAAATAATTGGATGTATTGGTTATGACAGTAAATATCACAAAAAGGTTTTTTCGTAAAAGTTAAAAGAAAATCTATATTAATGGAAGACTGATGAAAAAAATAATATAGTAATTTGGTCAATAGTGTATCTGTTGGACGGAAATGGTAATAATCCTATATGAAGGTGGTGAACAACCTATCACACCAATACCTAAATTACAAAATATTAATACATTTTTGAGGCAAAATTTGTTTTGGATATTTTACCATGTGGAAAAACTGAAATATTGGCTAGAACAAAATTCCTAAAATTTCCAATTCCAGTATGGTTTAATCTAGTCCCTTATTTAATTCATTTAGTTTATTCATTATTATTTTACGGTTTTATTCCTTATTCGTTATCATGTTGATTGCCGGTATTCAGCCATAGGAGGTGTGATCCATGTTTGTACCGAAGTGAGTTTCTTACAGTATTTTATTCTTTTTTAAATAAAGTTTGGAGGGGGAAAAAAATCTTTCCGGAAAATGCTTACGTTTTTGGAACTACGTTGACCAAGATGCTTTGCGCCAATGCACACTTCCTAGTTACTTCGTCGCTTGGCTTCCTTTGCCAGTCAGCTGAGCTGTCTACAACAACAATAACTGCCAGGAAGATATTTGTACTGCCGAGGTCTGTGTGTTTTTGTCTGAAGATACTGTTATTGTTTTCCAGCAAAGCTTTCTCAAAGAAAACACTTTAACCATTTTATAGCCCTGCACGAGCCCTACACTCGCGTGGAAATACTGTAAACATATCGTTACGCGACACTCCCATTCAATATTTGGCAATACAGTTTTAGCCTGCATATCAGAAGACTATGTATCTTGTAAAATAAAACAAACATCATTTTATCAATAGAAGCCTATTCTATATTCTGATTCGGCACACATATGATTCCGCCAAGTAACATTTATTTCATTTAATTCTACGCTTTTGTGTCACTGCTTGCTTCCGCGAACTAGCTAACATAACTGGCAAATCTGTTCTTACATTTTGCATTTCTTTCTTGCTTCTTAGGTTGTATGTTGCCGAATTGAAGAGGTGATTTACTGGGTTGGAAAGATTTTCATCTTGATGTTATGTGTTTCTGTCGAAGTCATATTGGAGTCCAAACTGCTGCAGTTTGTTATTGCGTTTGACTTAGGGGAATACTTGCAGGGTCAGTCCTTGTTGTTACTTGTAACACATAGTTTAGATTTTCTATTTTACTAGTAATTGTCGATTGAATTGAATTCAACGGATTCTAGTGAATGAGTGGAACTATTGTATCTGCAGTATTTTTTAGGTTAGAGCAGTGGTTTTCAAATTGGGGTTTAGTCCCAGCAAAAGAAGGATGTAATATTTGGATTTTGATGACATTTTTTGGAAGCTGGAATATAATGGGAAGAAATATAGTTGGCAATTTTTATTACTTATAAATTATAATTTATAGTGATCCTACTTTGAACATTTATTGACTATGAAGACATTATTATGTTATATTTAATTTTGCAATTTTTATTTGTACAGTGAAAACAAAATACCTCGTATAAAGATTATTAATCAGGAATGTTTCTGTAACTTACACAGCTTACTTAAAATGACTATTTAAACCGGCTTAATCAAGAATTTTCTTTAACCTAACAAATGTTTGATGTAATTAGTTTCAACAATTTTTGAGTTAATTTTACATATCTGGTTTTATAGTGTATTGTATGCCCAACAGTCCAAAACCCAAAAATATTCAGTTTATAATCACATGAGTTTGAGAAAGTCTTGAAGGATTTATCCACTACCAAAATAGTTGTATAGTATCATTTCATCTTTAGTCTCCACATTCAATCTTTTTTTCTCTAGTCAACAGGATAAGTCACAGAGGAAAGAGACGTGAACACAACGTTGTACGTCTCAGATGAAAAGGAGAGACTGCTGACCCAGAATGGAGGATTTCAGGCGCACGTACCTGCGTCTGTGTAAGGAGGGAGGTGTGGAGCCTCAGGAGAGTGTTGTGGCTCAGCTCCAGGAGAACAGGGCTGCTCAGGGCTCCAGACTGGACCTGAGTGGACAGAGCCTCTCTGCAGATACCTGCTCTGTGCTGGCCAGGGCCTTCCAGAAAGATACTGTGTTTACAGAGGTGTCACTTAGTGACTGCATGCTCAGCGAGGAAGGTGTGTAAGTCTCAAGATCCATGACCTTGGGCTTGGTGGTTTGGGTTCACATTGAATCATTTATAACAGTGTCTGCTTTAATGCTTGTGTGTGACTCTTAGGGGCCAACATGCTGCTCACTGGACTGTTTGGCAACACAACTGTAAAAGTCTTGGATCTGAAGGTAACCACATTAGACTGTCCACACTCTAAGACACTAATGAGACTAGCATATTGGTAGTGAGTTGATGCAAAATATTGTTCACAGGGGAATAACCTGAGATTTAAAGGGGCTGAGGTGTTGGGAAAGCTGTTGGCACGTAACAAGACTCTGCACAGGTGAGAATGATAGAGAATATTTTCTGTCGTTTGTGTGGTCATTTTACAATGTAACTTAATTTTTGTGTTATAAAATATCAAACAAATAATATAAATTCTGACACAATAATCTTAATTGAAGGTCCACTTACCAGCTATATTTTGTGGTGCTCATCAGTGAACCCTGAGATGTGGTTGAAAATGTAGGAAAAAGCTAATAAGGGAGTTAATATGATTTTGTTTAACTACTGTTTCCGAGGTCAAGAAAGCACTTTCTTGATCAAGTCTCTTTAAAAATGAAGTAAGATTTGCAGATGTGTTTTGTGTGTTACAATTAAAATGAACAAACAATTTATGAATAATAAACAATTTTTCTTCTTCTATTGATCAAAATGTAGGAAATTTAGGTAGATTTACCTGTTAAAAAAAGTGCAGTATGTCAGATAGCGGTTTCACATAAGTTGCCATGCAAAAAAAACCATCATTTAATAAAATATATAATCCAGCCAATATTGAAGTAACTAAAGAGAAAAACTCAAGAATGTCAGTTTCCTAATTTGAGCTGTTATGTTTGGTGTAACCATGGCCGGATTCAGCTGTTAACTTTGTAATTTGTACAAATAATACTTGTACAATATTGCTTTTAAAAATGCTTTTATGCTAGCACAGTCCTTACTACCACTTTGGAGCAGGTGAACCAGCTCCCATTACAGTCTACCCCATTTAAACATCAAGTACTTCAATTAATCAAAGTTGACTGCTACTTTACGTTATTGGAGCGAACATTGTCCCAATTAGCACATTGTGCTTAAAACGCATAAATACTGTCTGCAGGCTGGTGTTGGAGTGGAATGCTTTGGGGGTGTGGGACGAAGCCTTCTCACTCTTTTGTGAGGGTCTGGCCTCAAATAGTGTGCTGACACAGCTGGACCTGCGCAACAATCAGATCAACCACCATGGAGCGGCCGAGCTCGCACTGGCACTCAAACGCAACAACACGGTGGAAGTGCTAGGTGACACACAATGAAATAACATATGAGCCGTTCACTTTGTAAGCTAACTGTAGATAAGTCTGTTTAACATAAGTGCCAAGAAAGATAGTTGAATGTTGAGTGTCATTCACAGGTCACAAATGCAGACACTTTGGGACACTGGGAATGAGACTCAACAATCTTGGCCTCCAACCCAAAGTGTCTTTGTATCTTTCTTGGCTCTGACTGATTGTTTTTGTTCAGGCCCGGTGGATTCTTGCAAATACCATTAGGAGCGCTAGGAGGAGCCAGAGGAACCTGATTGTTCCACAGATTATCTGTCTCATGTACTACTGTCAGGATATATTGAAAGATTCAGCAAATATGACAAAAAGTTATTTTTATAACAAACATGTAGAATGAAGAATCTATTCCACAACTTGGAGTGGTGAAGAACAAATTCTTGTTGTATTCTGGTGTATATTGCCTGTCTGCCTGACTGATGCACTGACTGCACCACTCTAGCCTTTCTCTCTGACTGCATTTACAGATCTGAGGTGGAACAACATTGGTCTGCTGGGTGGCAGGTCTCTGCTGGAGGCTCTGCAGAACAACAAGAGCATAGTGCAGCTGGAGATGGCAGGAAACAACATACCTAGTGACACACTCAGAGCACTCGGTAAGGGCTGTGTGTGTGTGTGTGTGTGTCTCTCTCTGTCTCTCTCTGTCTGTGTCTCTCTCTCTCTCTCTCTCTCTCTCTCACCCCAACTGGTCGAGACAGACGACCACCCACCTAGAGCCGAAGGATCTGTCCTAGGTTTCTGCCTTTTAACAGGCAGTTTTTCCTTGCCCTTGTCGCTAAGGTCTTGCTCATGGTGGTACTGTTGGGTCTCTGTAAATAATGTTATAAGGAGTTCGGTCTAGACCTGCTCTATTTGAAAAGTGTCCTGTGATAACTTCTGTTATGAATTGGCGCTATACAAATAAAATTGAATTGAATTGAATTTAGCTACTATAATGTGGATTTGAATGTAGTACAGATTATCACCCAGTGATACCTGTTGCTGTCCTTCGCTCCTTCTCTCTCTTCACTCATTACCCTTTTGCTCATGTCTTTAAAGAGCAGACCATAGGGCACAACTCAGACAGACAGTCCACCCTGAGAGAGAGCCGCAGCAGGACCCAGGTCCTCAGCAAGGAGATTCATACGCTAAAGGAGGAGAAAGGCCGACAGGTAAACCTCTCACTAAAGACTGAAAAAATTCTGATGCAAACAGGAACACATGGTTGATCAAGGCTGTTGAACACAAAAATCCCAGGTTTTCAGGTCTGTCGGCTGGTCCACCATTCAGTCCAGACTGAAATATCTCAACAGCTATTAGATGGATTGCCATGACATTTTATTGAGACAGTCAGGGTCCTCACAGAATGAATTCTGTTGACTTTGATGATCCTCTAACCTTTAAAATAACTGCAGAATTAATGACATTGTGCCTCAGCTGCACTGTGTTTTGTGGTAATCTAATGACTAATTGTATAATGTTGGCATGGTAATACAACATAAATATAATATAGTAAGTATAGTATAGTAGTATATATGCTAAACATGTTAGCATTGTCATTGTAAGAGCTCAAATCACCACTGTGCCTAGTTACAGCCTCACCAAGCTGCTAACATGGCAGAAGACTTAGTCAGTGGCGGCTGGTGAAAAATATTCTTGGTGGGGCTGTGCCATACTTTTTTATTTCTGTAACCATCGCAATACAATTTAACACAAACTGCAGGACACCAGTGCTCAGTGAAATAATAGTTATTTAATGCCAATATTAAAAAGTTTAGGCATTCTTACACAAAAACATAAAGATCATATTGCACAAACACAAGCCTTTCATTTGCATTTTAAACTGAACTTGTAAACAATTGACTGTTTCTACACATAACATCTTTTGGAAAGGCTGTTGACTGTTACACCAGTGCCCCCTTGTGGGGGAGGGTCCAGCTGCGCTGTTGAGTGCTTGAAATGGTGCCATTGGTAATAAATAGGCAACGCAACAGGCATGCTGTCAGAACAGAGTGGAAAGTGGACAATAACATGAAATTATAATAAAGTTTATAAGAAATCTTACACTGTATAAAGGATGTATAATATAGAAATGGAAGTGGCTAAACTCAAACCTTTGACTGGAAGAATAGCATACAGTATTTTATGATCAAACTAAATGTAACTAATTGTTAATGTGCTCCCGAACTGCAACAATTAATTGATACAAAACAACATATATACAGTAATAGGGCTGGTCGATATGGAAAAAAATGTTATCACGGTATGTTTTTCCATATTGATCGATCTCGATTCTTATCACGATATGTAGTTTTTGCAGATGCTGCCAGTGTGAGGGACATCCTGAAGCTTGAAGAAACAAGGGATTCACTGAAACTTTATAATAAAGTTTAATAACATAAAAAATGAAAGAATATGCCTTCCAATAATGAGCACAAAATGTCTTTGTTAAGGTCTTCATGCAGACAAAGGATTCACATTACACTCCCACATTGTATGAATCTTTCCATTGGTCAAGAGAGCAGCAGGGCCCACAACTGGCAAAAGAAAATTCAGAGCAGCACTCTGTCGCTCATACAGAGTTTTATATGCTTTCAAACAAGTGCAAACTAGTAAGTGACTGGTCACTTTTCACTATATTTTACATTTTTTGATTTGTGAACAACAACAATTTGTATTTAAACAACTTAAAAAACAATTATTAAATAATAATAATCTCAAATAATCTCAAATATTTTATATTATTACGACTGGATGGATTGTTGTTGTTTAACAGAGCCGCTCCTGCTAGCGATGCTAACGGCAGACATAGTGGTCTTGCTTGGCTGTGTGTGTGGTGTCGTGCCAGCTTGAGCCTGCAGAGTCACACTCTCAGTGTAATTACTGCGGTGGTGCCGTCTCAGGTGATGGAAAAGATTTGTTGTGTTCACGGTCCTGGCTGGTACCAACCGCCGGCATATTTTGCAGACCGGCTTCACCTGCTCCTGGTCACTTTTGCCGTATCCAAACCACGTTTACATAATTGACGTTGTGTTACCTTTTTTTTCAACAATGTCTTCGGTCTCGGGTGATGTAGTGATGTAGTGATGTCGCTTTCACGTTCTGCATTATTTTTCCTGTCCTCGACTTCAGTTTCGCTAATTTTTTCTCCTTTTCCCAACTTCTTTCCCCCTAACTGTAGCCACGCTGCTCACAATGGGAAGTGGGCGTTTCCTACCGGCATACGGCAGCCGGCAGACTCTGATACTGTTGTTGGTGCGCTTACTTTTTCATGTGATATTGAATAATATGCCCCAAGCTTATTATCAAAATCGATCAAAATTTTATCGCGATCCCGAATCGAGATTGAATTATTGCCCAGCCCTATACAGTAATATTAGCAAACACACTATTAAGACTTTCTAGAGTTCCACGTATAACTGGATGATTTTTTATGCTAAGGTCAACTATATACAAAGAAACATGTGGTCAGTGCTGCAGTGTGTGTGTGTGTGTGTGTGAGATCTTATTTGTACAGGAATTTTGCCCGTCTGTCCTTCTGAGTGGCAAACCTCTCAATGACCCTTTTATTAAAGTCTGGAATGTCCCTGACAAGTTTCTTCTCCATGGAGAGCATAGCCAGAGCATTCAGGCAATCCTGTGTCATGCTGTTTCTCAGGAAGGTCTTGATCCTCTTCAGTGTAGAGAAGCACCTTTCTGACTCAGCTGTTGTCATGGGTGTGGTGATGAGGATCTTGAGGAGGCTGACAGTCTCTGTGAAAGTGCTCTGAAGGTTGTTCTCCATGAAGAACTGGTACAGAGGCACTGCACCACTACAAGCCTTGAACTCACTGTTCTCATAGATGAGGGACAGTTCGGTTTTGAGCTTGGCCTTGTTCAACATGGGGTACGCCTCCACAGTTGTTTCAAGCGCTGCATCGGGGAACTTCACACTGTGTTGTGGGAACAACTTTCCGTGCAACAGTGTTGCGCTGATGAGGTGCTGCGTGAAGGAGAACCTCTCCTTGGCATGAATCAGGATGGTATCACATACCTGTAAAAGATACATCATCAGCTTTAATTTGCAATAAAGCTATTTTGATGCAAGTGATCCTGACTGAACACATGCCTATGTCCAAGTCAAGTATATGATAACTAAGGTGCTGATTGTTCAGGGTTTTTGGTTTTGGCTACATACTACCAGGCCTGAAAAAAAGTTCTAGGGGAAACACTGACAATTACATCACAACTTACCTCTGTAGCCAGCCTCTGTTGTTCTCCTGGTCCCAGCATCCTCCGTCGCTTTATGGGCTGCTGCTGCTCGTCAGATGCGCTGTCCCCACACAAAGAGGGAATGGAGGCCCTGGGTCCAAAAAATAAAGTTTAATTTGATAACCTGCCATCAGACTTCTTAACTCACTGTAACCCCCCCTCAACACACACACACACACACACACACACACACACACGCACATCCACTGACTCACACACACACTATGTCTAGTAACTGCTTTTAACCTGTGATGTACATAATTAACTTATGTTATTATGTTTTTTAGCATTGTTCTATTACATTTGTGAGAGGGATGCAACATAATTTTGTTCTCCTGTGCACTTGTCCTGTGTAAGTGATAGTCTGAATGACGATCTTCAATCTTCAATAACAACTAGGCCTCTTCTAGAAATTGACCTGGTGGACATCTTAATAAGCCTGCTATTACAAACTGTGTAATACTTTCCTGCATTATTATCCAGGTCTGATTGTGTCTTCTCTTTCCTTTTTAAATACTAAAACAAATATAATTGTGATGTCCTCTATGATAATCAATCACTTTAATGACAAGACACATTTAGGCTTTTCCACTGTTGGAAGTGAGCTATTCATCTTTCTAACAACAACAGCTTCATCAGCCAATAGTAAATATAGTTATTTACCTGATCGTTAGCATGCTGTCTGTGAACCTCTGGACAAGTTCTTTAATGAAGACAGGGTCGATGTTCCTCTTCTGCAGCTGGCTGAAAAGCATGTCCACATTTGGCATGATCTTGTGGAACAGTGCGAGGAAAAAACAGAAAGCCTCGTCTTCGAGCATCCTCACAAAGCCCCCAGCCTCTCTGACAGGCGGGGGGTCAAAGTTCCCAGAGTCTCTGATGGTCTGGAAACACGTTAGGAGGTCATCCTTGTGCTCGTACACAGTGTTTACAGCGCGACTGTGGAAGGTCCACCGTGTTGTAGAGGCTCTGGGGAGTCTATGCGCAACCACTTGGTCAAGCACGGTGGTTCGCTTGGGAGACCTGGAGAAGAAAGCAGAAAATCCTGCAAGGTCGGAAAAGAAAGTGCCGATCCTGGGGATGCATGAAGTAGCCTGCTGCATGATGAGCTTCAGCTGATGTGCGTAGCAGTGGACGTAGTGCGCATTTTCGTACACATCCACTATTTTACGCTGCACTCCGCCGGTGGCTCCCCTCATCACACTTGCTCCGTCGTACGCCTGGGCAATAAGTTTGTCCTTTTGTCCATGTGAGAGTATGGTGCTGAGCCTCTCCAGCAGCGCTGTAGCGATGGTGTCGGCGGTTGCGTTCTGGATGCTAATGAACTCGAAAAACCGCTCTTGGATGTTACTGTTAGCATCGATGTAGCGTAGCACAAGCACCAGCTGGCAGTGGGTGGAAACGTCAGTCGTCTCGTGGGCTTGAATGGCGATAAAATCAGCACTCTTTACTTCCTCCAGGATGTAATCCTTGAGCACTGACAGCATGCAGTCCAACAGCTCGTTCTGTATCGTCTTTGACTGCCCTTAAAAACGGGAGCTGTGTTCAGGTGCTCCTCCAGCACACTGTCAATGGAGGCAACAAAATCCACCAAGCCCCAGAAAATGGCGGGGTTGTCCGAGGAGTCCGAGTCAGTCTCGTCATGCCCACGCAAGGCCAACTCAAAAGTCCCACAAAACTTCACACAATCGATAATTTTGGATAAAATGTGGCTGTTTTTATCCACCTCCTCATGATGTTTCCTCACCACAGTCCTGTGGCCGTCATCCGGCCCAGCTCTTTCACCCCAACTTTCTCCGACAAAGTTCTCCTCTCAAACGGATCTTGGAGGAGAGATTTCACCGAGTTAGGGTTGGGTCTTGGTCTTGGAGGACTAACGTTCGCGCTCGCAATTGTCGTCTAGTAAAAATGGCGCCGTTAGAGCCCGGTCCTTATTTTATCAGAGGCGAGTTTGGGGCGATAAAATAATCGCCCTTCTTGGATTCGATTTAAGGACGCTGATTGGCTGAATTTAATGTCATACATTCATATCTTAAATTAGCAATTGGCTTAACTGCTACATAGACCCGCCTCCTGGGGGCGCTTTCTCTATCGGCCAGAGCTGATGAGGCTTCAGACAGGCAGAGGAAAGGTTGCGAATAGGATTTTCTATCATATTTTACACATATTACTGGGTGCATTCCATATTTCAAACACACAAATATTGACATACTGATATTTTTATCATTATAATTATTATTATTATTATTATTATTTTTTTTTTTGTTTGTTTGTTTTTGTGGCTCAAGGGGGGCGGCGCCCTAGCGCCCTCTGTTGGCCAGCCGCCACTAGTCTTGTTTTTTTGTTTTGATTTTCTGAGACCGCCCCATTAGTCTTTACTAGAACTACTTTCTACTCGAGGCAGTGTCAGTAGAAACTGTGCACAATGAGGTGTGTGATTTGTTAAAGTGAAGTAAAATATGTTCAGTTAGAATTGTTCATTAGAATGGATTCCAGTAGTGACCAGTTTTCATAGTCCATGGTAATAACTATTAAAACAGCAAGAGAAATTTCAGCAAGATTTTGGGTGGACTATGACTTTCAGTTATTTGTTAAAGGCAGAATGAGTAGCAGTTGTTTTTGCGATTTGGAAACACATACGAAATTTGATGATTCGAATCATCAATAGAGAAGACCCAAGTCTTAACACAGTGTAGAAACAGAGTAGAGTTCTAGTTTCTTTGTGAAATGAAGCCATGCCTTGGACTGTTTCTTCCTCTCTGCCATGACTCCTTCTTGTTGCAGATTTAGGATACATTTTGTTGCTAATGGCTGTGGTTGTTCCTCCTCTCTTTCAGTTCCTAAGCCTGATGGAAACTATAGACAGGCAGAGGGAGGAGATGGGACGCTCTAGCAGGTGAGTTGATGTATTAATGTGTACAGTCCAGCAGTTCTACAGCTTGCTTCATCGGTTGGTTGGTCCATAAAAATGCCCTCAACCCTTGCGGGCCACAGTTTTTCCCTATAGGAGGCTGAAATTTGGCATGTAGGTCAGCCTATCACAAAAAGATTGTGTGTATGAATGGATGAACACATGGAAGTATGTGGCTGCAGCTATTGTGAATTCACACTTGTGAGAGGCACAACCATCACATCAGCCTTTAACCCGTTATATTTACACTGCAAAAGAAAAAACAGAGAGACAGTTGGGAGAAGAGTGAAAAGATATTCTCCATTAAGAAAAGCCTTCAGTGCTGTTCTTTGCTCTTCTTTCAATGAAGAAATACTCTCCAGTTCTCATATAACTTATGCTTGCAGCATCTATGCTAACCTCTTTAGCAGCTGCCATAGCTGTGTCTTCGCCATTGCTGTGTCTTCTCTCTGTGTCACACCTGGCGCCCACCCCCATAGCTGCCAGTACTTCCTCCGATTGTTACCACTGTACTGGCCACAAACACATACAGATTATAGATTAAAGCCTGGCCAGATGGATTCTCGCGTGATCTTGTGATTTTGTGATCCAGAGTCCAGCTGCCTCCCAAGGTTACACGGCAATGACCTTATTACCTCTTTCCTGTTTGATTAGGTCCACCTCCATTCAGATTGGCCAGCTCCAGGAAGCTCTGAATGAGAGGAAGTCAGCTCTCAACTCTCTCACTGCCAAGTAAGTGATCCAAGTTTTTTGGAATAAATTCATGATTAGTCAGTGGTATGATGAAGTCTCTTACGTACATTAAATCAAACCTAGGTATAGTGGCATTACATAATAAAGTGACTATTGCAAAAAGCATATGTAATATTAGATACAGCATACTAGATATAAATAAAAAATATTTAATTGAAAAACTAAGCTAATAGTTTCTTATATGTCCTGATATCTCTCATAAAGGTGACAAAACCCTCTAAGGTTGCAGTATATTGAATATTAAATCAAACAGCACATTCAGCAAAAAAAGGTGGAACAACTGGCCTGTGTGTCTGTGTATTAGATGTCTTTTCACCTTTAAGTCATCAATGTGTTCCCTCAACTATAGTAAGAAGTGCAGTAACTCTGATTACGATGTTGTAATGTACAGATTGCAGATGACAGAGGCAGCCCTCGCCCTCTCTGAGCAGAAAAACCACAACATGGGAGAGCTGCTGACACGGGTAAAGGCTGAGAAGGAAGAACAGAGGGAACGACAGAGCAGAGAGAGGAAGAAAGAGCAAGAGGTATGGACAGATTGTTGGAGAGAAAACAATGCAAAAAATCACCTTAAATGTGATTTGTACAGGAAACAATATAAATATAATTATACAGATATATGACAAACACAAAATAGTTTATGCTTGTTGAAATATTGTCACAAATGAATGCCCCTCATGTCTTTCTATCCTGTAGGATACTGCACTCAGAGAGGCAAAACTCTTCAGAGAGATCCAAAACCTGACAGAAACCAACGTCCAACTGAGGAATAAAGTAAGAGTAATGTCTGTTGAGAACAGTCGAATTTACTGTAAAACTTCTAATAAAAGCAGGGTCCCAAATAGACGCAGGTCTCCTTTACTAGCCTGGTGTGTGTGAGTTCAGTGTTAAGTGATTTAAGCAAATAAATGACCAGGCTATTATTAGAAGTTTTACAGTATGTCAGACACACACAGAGACTAAAGTTGATTATGAGCACTGTTAGATGTGAGCCTAGTTGTGTGTTGCTGTAGGTGGAGGAGGTGGAGTGCAGATGTAAGTCTCAGCAGCAGCAAATCTTTGAGCTGAAGCAGGAGCTGACCAACAGCACAGCAGAGCTAAAGCTGCGACTAGCACAGGCCGAAGGTAACACACACACACACATTCTTAATTACAGATACAAAGAGAATGTAATTTTTTTCACATGAATCCCATCAGAGATTTCCTGTATATCACCCTCTGATAGACCGTCTGGAAGCCGAGAAGCGAAGGTCCAAGCAGGCTCTGGAAGACATGGATAGTCTCCGCCAGAAGGAGGTGGTCTTTCATTATAAATACATATATATATATATATATAGAGAGAGAGAGAGAGAGAGAGACAAATTAAAGGAAAAATCTGAATGAATGTGTGGAGAAACATGACAAATGCAGATCACAAACAATCACATATCATTTATAAATATAACAAGTATTGTGGCAAAATAGTAAAGCATTGAATTAGAAGTGTCTAAAGATGGCATTAGAAATCAATACATTGTTTAATTTTCAAATCTTCAGACATTTTTCTAAATACATGTCTTTGCTCATTGAAATTAAGCATATCTAAATGTGTCTAAAATGTGGTCATAACAGATCATTAAATTAGTCTTTTTCTTTATTCCTATTTTTAACACGTTATTTTTAAAATGAATCTGACTTAAATGAAATGAAATTTGATCGAATTTGACACCAAACTGGGGTGGCCAGGCATGCCACCCCTCTAGATCCGCCTCTGACCGCCACACAATCCTGCAAAACAGACACAGACTTTTTTACATGAAACCCATCAGCGATTTTCTGTATGTGACCCTCTGATGGGTGGCTTGCTCCGGAGGTAGAGCGGGTCGTCCACTAATCAGAAGGTTGGCAGGTTGATCCGTGGCTACTCTCACTACAATGAGGAAGTATCCTTGAGCAAAATACTGAACCCCAAATTGCTTACGATGCTGTGTGCATCGTTGTGTACATGTGAATGAATGAGTTAGTTTCCGTTTGATGGGCTTTGCCATCAGTGTATGAATGTGTGTGAATAGGTGAATGTGGCATGTAGTGTAAAGCGCTTTGAGTGGTCGGAAGACTAGAAAGGCGATATACAAGTACAGTCCATTTACCATAGACCACACTCACACTCTCCACACTTTGTTTAGCGCTGTGCCAGCTGGAGCAGAGGAGAGAGATAAAGACAGCTTTCTGCTTGCTATGTTTTTAGAGTCTTCCAATTTGTAACTCTTCTCTTTAATATTGTAGTCACATGACCTCATGAAACAGAAGTCAGACAGGTCAAGAAACCTGAGCAGGCAGATATCTGTCCATCCATTACAGTTCACAGACCCACTTCCAGCTTCAACTCCGATCTACTGTAACGCCATACTTGGCTGCCTAGTTTTTCTGTGTAATGGCTGATTATTAGCAACATTTTAATTAAATTTTTCAGTCCAATTTTATTTGTGTAGCGCCAATTCATAACAGAAGTTATCTCAGGACACTTTTCAAATAGATCAGGTCTAGACCGAACTCCTTATAACATTATTTACAGAGACCCAACAGTTCCACCATGAGCAAGCACTTGGCAACGGGGGCAAGGAAAACTTCCTTTTAAGAGGCAGAAACCTAGGACAGACCCTTCGGCTCTAGGGGGGTGGTCGTCTGCCTTGACCAGTTGGGGTGAGAAAGAGAGAGAGAGAGAGAGAGAGGTAACGACAGAAGGACAGAGACAAAGGTGCACAGCAACAACAGTAGCAATAACTACACTAATAGTAGTTTTAGTTTTAGGCAATTTCAGTTTGACCTCCTAATAAAGTGCTTTTACTTTTCTGTATGATTTATGAAAACTCAGTATTCTAATAGATATAGACTAGATAGAAAAACATAAAATACTAAAAGTTCACATTTCTGTGCAGGTGGAGAATGTAAATCGACATCTGGAAGAGAGTGAGAGGGCTCTGCAGGAACGCATCTTCAAACTGGAGGGACAGCGGATACAACTGGAAGAGGTCAGACTTTAGAATATCATTGATTAAAAATCTATTTAACACATTTAGTTAAGTGGTGTAGCAGTGGATGTTGATGTTTGTTTCGTCAAAAATCTAATTACACATCGGGACTACAGCAGATACAGAGATATCAAAAACTGTGATTGCTGCTTTTTCCATAGACCTGTATAAAATATGGCTCTGTGACATCACCCATAGGCTTCTGAAGAGACGTTGTGAAGCTTAGTGTTGTCGGCTCTGCCCGTGGCCATCTTGGAAGTCCTGACTCTGCCGGCTCCCAGCTAATCCAAAACTGGGCAAAGAGTGTTACTGAAAACAGCCGCCTGTGACAGCGCCTATCTGTCACTCAGAGTTGCTATTCCCTTAATTATGCAGAACTTTAACATAATTTAAATGAGTGAGCTATATAAAAATTCACCTCTTGTACAGTTGTCATGAACAGGGAATTTAGCTATAGAGACCAAAATCTATTTTGTACTAGGCTGTAAACATGTTCATTTATGCTGTGAAGTTGGACATTTTAATATGAGGCCTTATGGAGCCTCAAGATTGTTCAGGAGACAACATTCAGGAAGTTGAAGAAAGACTCTCTGATCTCTGGCCACACGTCTACTTACTCTATCTAAGAGAAACCACATATATACAGCAAGATACATCCTGATAATGCACAACATGTGTGTAGTGTTGTGGTGGTGTTATCAGTGGGTGAAATCAGACACCAAACTTAAATTTGATTAATTTAACCTGATGAAACCCTAAACTCTGCTAAACTACCCACTAATTGAATGTTGTCAGCTATGTATGTAAATACCCACAAAAGCTGTGGTGCTGTGGCACGAGTAGTCTGATGAGGAGGTTTAAAGCTGCAGGTCATTTTTATAAAAAATAATAATAATAATATATATATATATAAATATATATATAGGGGAGAGTGGGGTAAGTTGAGCCAAAGGGTAAGTTGAGCCACCCCTTGTTGCTAGGAAATGGTAAAAAAACATTGATCATGTGACCAAATATTTAGGAGGAAGGCATCATTTCATGGAGTCTGTGAATGTAAGAACCACATGGGTAAAGTTAGATATTTATTTCCAAAAAATCATTTTTCACTCTTGAAAGTGAATTTAGTCTATCATAAGTTTCATGAGAATTGTGTTTAGACCAAAATAGATCATTTTAAGTTTGTTTTATACATCAGTTGTGGCATCTATGAGCTACAACATGAGGCCATAAACCTAGCATAAAAGTGCACCATTTTAGCTGTGGGGACTAATAAAGTCAAAATGGTAGCTCTGGGGTAAGTTGAGCCATTTGGCCAGGGGTAAGTTGAGCCGGTGGCTACAGCCAAAGTACACTCAATAAGTATATCCAAAAACACAATCTGTGTATATTCCAAAAACACAGCTGTTAATGTTCTCTTCCTAAGCGCACTTTAAGGCATATGGCAATATGGCTCAACTTACCCCGCTCCTATGCTCAACTTACCCCATACACGGGGTAAGTTGAGCTACTTCTGTCAAGATGGTTTTAGCAACTATTACAAAGAAATATTTTTATAAAAACTACCTACTGCAGCTTTAAGTTGGTTAAGTATCCGAAGTAGAATTTAGCAAAATTCTAAGATTATATTCAGGCTTGAATTAATTAACTGTCAGTTTGTTAGTTAGTTAGTCCTCTCTAAGTCTGTATTCAACATAATCACTTATCATTTCAATGAAGCAAATAAAAATTTCTACAGAATGAAATTGCAGTTAAATCAATTGTTATTAATAATTTTTGGTTTGGATCTTCAGGGACACCTTGAGCACTGTGTGAGAAGCACTGCTAAAATCTCCAGTCTACCTGCGTTCTTAATTAAATATCATGTGATAATGTCCGTCTGTTGCAGGAACTGAGTAAAGCTAAAGCAGCATGTGTGACAGAGAGGGCCCAGGCAGAGGAGGAACTGGGACGAATGCGAGCTCAAGTGCGTCAGGAGGAGGTGGGTTACAAAATCTGCACCTTTGATCAGTTATTAGGACGTTACTACATTTCCTTTCATTCATTGACTTTTGTTCAAAGTAACATACAAAAAGGTACAATCCAAGCCTCAGAAGATCTAGGAGAAGACTTTGAGAAACTCAGTTACTGTATGACTAGATAAAAGTCCTTCAAAGACATTATGGTTACCATGAAAGAATCTGGAAGATCATTCTGACTGTAATAATGACTTGTTCAAATGAATTTGTAGGTATTTCAGAATTTGACTTACACACTCACAATACACTTTTTCTCCCTCTTCCTCACATTTTATTACGTTTCTAATGATTCATGATTCCGCATCTGTGCTTCTGCCACCTTTGTCTCCTCTGAGCAGCAGGAGCACGTGTCATCTTTGGAGGAGAAGCTTCGCTCGGTGCGTTCCTCCCTGCAGGAGGTCCAGCTCCACTGCTCGCAGCAGAAACAGACCATCTCTGAGCTGCAGGTGAAGAACAGCCAGCTGAGTATCGAGATGGACGGACTGCGTCGCAGGATAGAGGAGCTCCAGCAGGTCAGGACCCACCAGCTGCCTCTTACATGTTTATATGTTAATATTATAGCTGTTTATTTATTTATAGGTGTGAATGTGTTTATCTGTACTGTATGTTGACTTTTAGAGTTTTAATGATTTCCTCTATGTTCTTCAACAAATTGTAGAAACATGGGAGTCATCTGGATAATCTAATGTTGCTGTAGGTTTATGTGTTGGCCGTTGGTTTCAACTGTTTCAGCTTTGTTTCTCTAAGTTTGGTATGGCAGCTGGTATGGCTCTGAATGCTATAATACCAAAGAGCATCAGCCACTGCTGCTGTGCAGTGGAAGCCCTCATGTCCGCTGGAGGTAGCTGTGTTGTGTCCCAGTATGGATCTATCAACTCGACAGAGTTTGATTGACAAAAGGTTGTCGTGAAAATGTTTTGAGTGCTGAACGGGTGGTGTGCTGTTGCAGGAGCTGTCGGGTAAAGACCAGGAGAAGGTGGCCGAGGTGAGCCGGGTGAGGGTGGAGCTGCAGGAGCAGATTGGACATTTACAGGCAGAGAGGACGGCACAGGGAGGACTGAAAGAGAAGATCAGTGCTCTGGAGAGAGAGATCAAAGGTTTGCCCTCACTGTGTCTTTCTTATCATTCTGCTACAGTCTTTTTTTTCCATTTGCAAAAAGTACATTTCAAAAAGTCAAGGTGCTTCCTATTTTGTCTTTGTTTGTGTCATTTCTTCCAGTACAAATACATTTTTTTCTAAAGAAATATAAAGATACCAGTAGCATGAGGTGTCCTAACTTAAAATATAGCTCAACAGGTTTTACTTACTTGAAACAAAGTAGAATTCTCCAGATTAACCAATAATAACACAGTTAAAAACAGTTTTAAGGAAAACAACGCTAGACTGATTTATTATAGAACATAATATTTTGTCCTGTCCTGTTGTACTGTGACATTGTAGATTTCTGAAGTGTCATGTTTGAAATCTAAAATATTTTCTGCACTGCTGTATTCCATATCTTTCTCCCTCTTGGTTTGCTGCCTTGCAGTACTAAGCAGTAACCACAGAGAGGCACTGCTTGACAAAGAGAGCGAGATGTCTTCCCTGCTGGAGAAGCTTCGGATGAAAGAGGCGGAGATCCAGAGGATGAGGGAGGATGAGGCCCACAGAGCCAGCTACCTGCAGAGCGCCATCCTCACCTATGTTCAGGGCTCCCCTCTGGGACACTACAGCAGCCCCAAGAAATGACCAAGAGACCCTAATCCCTGAGCTGGAAACCTCTGAGACCTCACTGCACAGGTCAGGACAGTCTGGAGGATTAAAAGAAATCATGACTTGATAGATAGAAAAGACTGTAAAATAAGGAGTGCAACAGTAACAGGGTTTAAAAAGTCTGGACCTTTTTAAAAGATAAAACAGTAGGAACCTTGTTCTTACTCCCAGTTACATCAAAAGGACAAAAACTCACTTCTATAGTCACATACACTTAGTTTAAAGTACTCATCTTAAAAGGTTGACTAATGGAGACAACAGTTTTGAGTGAGGTCCAGTATTGAGTGAGAGTGCTGCAGTTGCAAAACAACACAGTGGTGTGTTCAGAAGGGGGTCAATGGCCATCCCTGAAATTTGCTAGAAGCCTCTTCCACATAAATGACGCTCCAAAGTTAGGCTAGATTGTGGCGATGGAAAAGCAAAATATCTGAAATAAAATGTGTTCTATGGGTACTTCTGAGTCTCGCCTTTGCAGACACTTTATGCTAATCTCATGCAGTTTTTTTTACTCCTAGTGTATTTGAATATTTCTGCAGAATGATGTCCATAAACAGTATTGGAATTGCTTAAATTGGGAATGACTGGAAAGCTGAGGCACATACTTCCTGCCAACCCTGTATAAGTCTGTGCCCCGCTTGTGCCACCCCAGTCAAAAAAGTCTGGAGATGCCCCTGAAAAAAACATAATCCTTGTAGGCAATTGCACTTCTTGTTTTTGTCAATGACTGCCTAAGATTGTGTTTATAAGTGTCTTACAACATTATGGAAAGAGATGGACAGAAAGATTTAACGTTTTCAGTAACTTCCACTTGATCCGGTCTGGGAAGTCTCCTCTGTGGGCTTAGGGTCACAGCACCCACAGCACCACCAGAAGTCTTGTGAGCTTCGCAGCCTTGCAGCAACCGGTTCACCTCTGCCTGTTGCCCCTGTCTCTTCTCATCCACTCTTCAGTTTGGTCATTCAATTCAAAGGACAGAAAATATTTTTACACTGAGCTACGCTTTCTTTACTCCAACACAACTAACGCTTTCCTGGTGACTACGCTCACGTTTCCCCTGTTGTCTTCCTGCAACAAGTCACCTCACCTCTCCCGAGATTTCAGAACAAGACTTCTCCTTGAGCAAGACTTGGTTAGACACAGTGAATCAAGAGGGGAACAGAAAACATGTCATTTCTCTGAAGGACCTCTTTTCAGACACTTGCAACAACAATCTTAGCCAGTCAGTAGCAAAAACACTTTTAATGGATGTATTTTGACAGTGCAAAATTGGAGGATTATGTTCTGCTCTCCCTGAATACAGGACTAAATTCAGAACTTGTCCCCATTAGTCACTTTGACACAAAATAAGGTCTAGGTGGAAAAATACCAAAGTTACCATGGTGTATTTCATGGTCCACTGAGTATATGTATAGTACATCACATGAAAGATATATTTAGATACATTTTTAGATACATTTTGCATTTTAATGTCGAGTGGATGAACAGCCCTATTACCTGTCGTCTGTCAGCACCCTCACTACTTCATTTTTTTTCCACTACTGGTGAACGGGAGGGGGAGGCTGGGGGTTGCAATCTGCAACTTCATTACTGGATTCCACTAAATCCTACACACTGGTCCTTTAAATGAAGGGATGACACAGTAAATATCAAAAAGAAGAAAAGGGCTGAAAACATTATCAAGGAACCCTGCTCAGTATGCCAAAAAGTGCTATTGCATCTTCATCACCTTCTTTTTCTAAGATTGATTATTTTAAGAAAAAATACTGCTGGTCATGAAACTAAACATTTCATTTCCTGTGATCACATCCCTGTCTTTATGTTTTCCATTCTACATGCTTGTCTTTAGCTCTCCCATTAACTGAGATGAACTGTAAGTGATCATTTATGTGTTTGGCTGTCCATCCCCATCCTGTTGTACTCCTCCAGTCTTAATGGATTGAAGGCAATGTAGCATTGTTAGCAAGAGTGTTTACATACAAAATGAGATTTGGGTTGAAATATGCCTTATTACTGTATCTGTCAGACCAGATGGCTGCCCCTCTCCAGCTCAGATGCAGGGAGCAGATTCACAAAATCTTATCTGCTGTTTTTACTCATTATATTTAATGAAGCAAGTTCTAATTCAGCTCTGGGTGCAGGCCTTTATAATACAAATAGCTGTTTTATATGTTTGTCATTTTATTTTTCCAGGTGTGTTTTTACCCTTTTGCTTTGATTTTGATTGCATGTGTTTTTATATACATGAAATGTGGTCAATTGTGAATAAATGTCATGATTTTACTTAATGTGCTGATGTTTTAGTTGTTGATTTACATTTATATATTTCTATTCTAGTTCTGTTCAGCAGATTACATGCTGTACATGTTACATAGAGCTTGGTGTGTAGGTGGGGTGTGGATGTATGAGGTCACTGGGTCTTGAAATCACAGCCAAAGAGCGATAACTGCCAAGATAGTTCACACAAATTTGAAGCGTATGAAACCTTTGTCTATAGTTTGCTGTTCTGCCTGCACCGTATTAGGTGATGACATAGGTTGATCAAGTATTTGTAAGTATTTCTAGAATATTGATGCTTGCGTTGTTTCAGAATTTCCCCACAATGATAGCCTTGTCACAATGGAGGAACCTCCGTCTTGTTCCTCATGGGGCCATATCATTATCAATCAAGTATCTTAATCTTTATCATTAATAAATACCCCCCCCCATAGGTTTCCAATTAGGTCATTTGAATGCTATTAGTAAGCATACGTTTCTAAATACCGACGACAACAGTGACCACACTAATTCCGGATGTGAACAATTTTGTTCCAAAGAGATTAAGTCCCCTCAGTGCATTTAATGGAACTTAAAGGAAACATTCACATTTTCTATAATAGGCCTAAATAAAATAAAAAAAACAAATTCATGGAGACATGCAGTTAGTGCTGTGCGAGGCAGCCCCTAATTTAGGTGGCAGAGAAAATTTATCATAGTCACAGAGAAATTAGGGGCTGTAATTTGAGAGTGGTGCATATTTAAGATCAGGAAGTAGCAGTAGTAGCAGTAATAGTAGTAATAATACTATGTAGTAGCAGTAGTAGTAGTAGTAGTAGTAGTAGTAGTAGTAGTAGTAGTAGTACACTATAAAAAAGGATATGAGGCTTTAGTTGCCTCAGCTCATTTCCTTCAGTCAGTTCAACTAAAATGTGTGGTGTAATAAAAGTTTTTCTGCGCCCAACTAATCAGTTCAATCAGAGTTGTTCAGGCAACATACATTTCTTAGTTGACTCAACTTATGTACGTGTGGCCCCTGCAAAAGTGCATATGCAACCCCACACAGCCAACAAGAGCTATACAACTCCATGTGCCACAATAAACATACTTTTCGGATCAGGAGGAGGAGGATCAAGGTAAGAACACACTTTTAGCCTGCTTGTATTTATAAAAAAATGCTTGTTTAATGCTTGGTTAACTATTGTTAGATAGATAAATTAGATAAATGTTACACTAGATTGTCAAATTAAACCTGGCAGCAGCGGTTTTTAGTAACATTTTTTTTTTTACGGTGAATTTTAGAATTTGGGTAATTTTTAGTTGCTGTAGTTAGTAACATGAACAGTAGTAATAACAGTAGCTCAACTATGGATTTTGTGCACCATATCTGAGTGTGTTACGGAAGCCGTAAGCAGTCATGCATTCATACATTTTATTTCCTCCATTTTCTCATGATAACAAGTTAATTTGACTTTGTTTTCCTAAAATAACAAGATAATTAATTCGAGATCTCGAGATAACAGTTCAGATATAATAGGCCTGAGAGTGTGCAGTGAATGTGTGTGTACGGCGAAGCAACAGAGCAGGTTAGCAGTAGGAGTTCGGTTAGAAAGAAATGTACAGTATGTTGCAATACACACTTAAATAAAAGGCTACAGCGTTTCAAAGTCTGGCAGCCAAGCAGCAAAGTTTAACACCAGAAAAGCAAAGTCTTATTATCTCAAGATCGCTGGACAATTATCCCGTTATCTCGAGGAAACAAATGAAATTAATTCCTAATCACAAGAAAACGGAGGAAATAAAATGTATGAATGCATGACTTCTTAGGGCTTCCGTAGTGTGTGATTTTAAGAACAGACAATTATTTTTTGCAAGTAGCTAAATAAGTCATGAGCCATGTTATAGCTAGACAGTGCACATAATTTTTTTTCAGCCTGGTATGGTTGAATGAGTTTACAGTACAAAATGTATGTCCAATTCTTAATCATTAAGCTTATTCAGTTGTCCAGTATCAGTGCTAAAGACAAATGAGGTACACTAGAAAGATGATGTCTCACTCTTTTTGATTTCATCCCACATCCTGCTACATAAGCCAGTGGAAAGTGATGAATGTAGAAGTGAGCCCCGACAGGTGGGTTTATTTTTATTACGTCTGTCATCATACCTTTGCGATGTCTCTACAGGAAACATACATACACATTATATGCTATACCAGGAGGAGGAAGTAGTCTTGAATCACAGCGACGGTAAAGAGAGACCATTACAATTTTTGGTTGTTGGAAACATCATGCTTTCAGAACATATTAAAAGTTAACCCTCTATGGTATGGTGTTGCCCTCAGGCAACACACCCATTTTTGACCTGTCAAATCTCCACAATGCATCTTTTTGAATGATACTATACTTTTAAAAAGAGGAAGACCACAGGGAACCAATAACAATGCTTTAATTTGTCACATGACTTTCAGGGAGCCATATTGAAACCCTTTTTTGCAGACATTTTCAAAGGAAACAGCTTTGCAATTTTGCGCCACAAAAAGGGTCTGAAAACATCATTTCCGGGAACTTTTCCAGCTGGAAAAAAATATATTCACACTACTATGTGACTAACCCTTCATTTCTGATAGTTTAATACAATTTATTTGCTAATTAATTAATGGAAACTTGATAAAATGCAACTGTTGCCCAGAGGCAACAACGTACCATTATGGACAATTGCACATGTTGCCTTGAGGCAACAGTGAACCATTATGGAATCACCATGGCAGCATGAGATTTTGGTAGTGTGTGTTTAGGTATATATAATGTTCAAAAGCATTTGATCTTTACAATTTAACAAAGATACATTTGATGTTTGTTGCAGTAAAGTTCAGACTATTACTATACTCTGTAGGCCATAGTGAAGCCTTATTTAGCCTTATAACTTAGTCTTATTTGCTTATAATTTCCACACATTTTCCTCCATTTACAGAATGAATTCAGCCTCATTCTATACCCCTTTAAGGAGGTAGAAGGTAGAAATCACACTTCAGGTTGAGCATAGTGAAGTTGAATAAGAATTAATTAGTGATGAAGAATGCAGTGCCATCATCACCTGTGTGTCAGGACAACACTGACCATTGACCTATTTGGGTGGAGAAAAAGGGCAGGTGCAATACCCTGATGTAAGGGTATAGTGGAAGTGCAGTGCACACAATGTGTCACCTAGCTGTTCTTCACTCCTGAAAAAAACTGCTTCATGGAGTTCCATAAGCATTGAGCAGCAACACCACAAATGATGGCAACGCATGTCAGGAAAGACACAGGGGACTGAGAGGAAACATGCATTGAAATGAAGGAATCAAACACTGGGATCTAACACCAGTTTCTTGTTTTGCAAATGGTTATGATCTTTGTTTTGATAATTAGTTCATTTAAAGTTTGAACTATTACGCTTACGCTTATAATTACAACTCTTCGAAACATTCATTTCAGGCAACGTTCAGACAAGAAACCCTTTAAAATAGTTCCTTTTCTAATATTTTTCAATTTAAAATGGCATGTATTGTAACCTGTTGAAGCTATTGAATCTTGTACACATGTTTATGAAATAAATTATGTTCAAATTTAAAAAAAAACTATTTTTCACTTTAGCACCATTATGGTACAATGTTGCCTACAGGCAACAAACCCCAAAAATGTATTTAAAAAATATTTTTTATAAAATTGTGCGTGGCCACGCGTTATTTTTTTTTAATCCAATGTCACCAGGGGCTCCGTACATTTGGTTATAATCACGTGAAAATGGCTTAAAGCGAGTCTTTTATGTCTACAAAATAAAAAATCACAGACCTGAGGCAGCAGTAGCAGTAGCAGTGGTAGTAGTAGTAGTAACAGTAGTAGTAGTAATAGTAGTAGTAGTAGTAACAGTAGTAGTAGTAATAGTAGTAGTAGTAGTAACAGTAGTAGTAACAGTAGTAGTAGTAATAGTAGTAGCAGTAGTAGCAGCAGTTATAGTAGCCTACTAATAATAGTAGTAGTAGTAGTAGTAACAGTAGTAGCAGTAGTAGCAGTAGTAACAGTAGTAGTAGTAGTAGCAGCAGTTATAGTAGCCTACTAATAATAGTACTAGTAGTAACGTACTAAGTTCAAAAAGGATAAGCGAAGACGGAAGTGAACGAAGTGAGTCCTCTCGTCTTCTGATAGGATTGCTCTCTGTCCCTTTAAACACAGTCGCTATTTTCCGGAGTCATTCGGCGCTTCTCGTCATCGACCCCTTTCACTGCGGCTCCATCGCCGAGCGGACTGGCCCGCTGCTCTCATCCGAGACCTCAGCGCACACTATCGGATCTATTAAACCACCAGCGCCGGCTCCTGAAAGCCTCCAGAGTCTGCACAAATGCAAGCGATCAAATGTGTGGTGGTCGGCGACGGGTAAGAGCACGCTCACACACGCGGAGCAACAGCACATTTTCTCTTGTGATTCAGTGAAGCGTCCACGGATGGATGGATGATGGGAGGATGCTATGTTGGAAAAGGGGCTGGGGCTCACCGATCTGTCGGTCGCCCTGCTTTTCTGTCGTCTGCCCCCCGATGCTCGATGGATTTCCCGCTTTGTGATCGCATTCGGTTTGTTCACGTCTTGGCCTCCGGTTCATTGTGACGGTGGCAGCGGAGCGCCTCGGGATGCTATGCGGGAACACCTACACGCCTCGTAGGCCACTGGAGGCAGGCTGAAGTGCTGATGCACGCTAAGGAATTTGTGGCCCTGTCAGTGACAAACAGGCCCCGCTGCCCTAATTCTGCTCACACTGAGCCTGTCTTGCGGCATCCAGACCCCAATCTGGTTCATGTGGGTTGATATTTGAGGCAGAATTTGTTATTTCTATTTTAAAATCTTGATATCATTGCTAGGTGCAGATGTAGGAGGACAAATTAGCCCAGGCAATAATGTCAGTTAAAAAAAATTAAATATAGGCCTAAAATTGAAGTCAGTTCAGGTCAGAATGCCGGAACTAAACAACTTTGATGTAAAATGCTAAAATCTGAGAAGAATTTTGCCTTTTTCTCATGATATTTAAAGTCCCCCTCCAGTAAAAAAAATATATAAATCAGTATTTCTTCTTGTTGCTATGGTGTGCTTTTTATCTTGACTGTGCAGAATGCTGTCTGTGCAGAGTTTGACACTAGAAGGATGTTTTCACATTCATCTGCTGAAAGTTGAAGTGTGGAAATGTGCTAATTGAAAATCTGGTTTTAAGGGGCAGGGCCTATGAGCATGATTTGTGACATCACAAATAGTTTGGAAGTCAACCCTGGTCCAGTATGCAATGTGTGATGTAGAAACTTAAAGCCACCAGTGCACACATAATTGGTCCAAGCAGACTATTTGTATATACTGTATGTCTTAATACATGTCTGCAGGGAATCTTTCACTCTAGGATTAATCTTAAACTCCTCCTCTAGAGTAGATTAATACTGTATATTACAGATGATATGAGCAGAAAGAGATCGCTGGGAATTCCAAAATGTTAAAAATCACTTAAAGTTAATGTAGCATTCAGCTTGGAACATTGACATATAAAAATCTCTGCGCAGTAGCGATTGGGGTTGGCGCCGCAGTATCAAGATCTCGCCCATACACCTGGCCGACTCAACTGCAGGCAGGGCTCAGCTGTCAATCATGATGTGAAACCCCCTTTTTTATAGCTTAAAGTAACTAATTAAAACCAAACTGATAATGAAAATGAGCACTTGAACATATATCAGCGTGAAAATGCCAGAAACTATCTTTGTGATTTGATGTGTACTTTTTTTATTTGGCCTATGTCCCATCTGCAACATGGAAGCATCGGGCTTCATGATCTGTACTGCAGTCAGCCACCAGGGGGCAATTAGAGCCGTCATGTCATCCATTTTTATATATGTTGATGGCTTGGAAACTGAATTTCTAACAGAAAGTCTGTATTACAAACTGGGGGTGTGGTAGGGAGGGTGGGCTCAGAGGTACTTCCGTGATTCGTACAATTTTGTCATCAGTTTTTGCTCGCCACAAAGTACAAGGGATGGTGAGATTCACATAGAAGTTCAAGAGGTGACTGTCCTAACTAAAAAAGTGTGTATTGGATACAATTTGGAATGAATTTCAGGATGCATCACTTCTAATATATAGTATAAAAATGTACATATAATTATTAGTAGAGGCTTTATGCCTTTATTATTTATAAATGTGACCAATCATTTTATATTAAATTGATTCCTCCTCTCTAAACTGTTCCTCAAGCTGCTAAAGACCAAAGAAATACAATCAAACTATGTGTACCATATTGAATTGCATAGCATCATATTGCTTTGCATCGTATCGTATCACGTGGAATCATGCTGTGTTAAATCAAACCATGTAAAATTGCACTGCATCGTAATAGTGGTCAATTGTATTATTAACATTGGTAGTTCCTTCATATGTATCTTTAATGTATCGGCTTGTTGGCCAGGGGCTTAGCCCAAATCTGTGGGGTGGGGGGCCCATGCTCCCGGCGTGATTTTTTTCCCCCATTTACGGCAGATATATACACTTGTATATACACAAGTTGACTCCTCATAAAAAACTTCCACAGTCCATGAGATATCGTGCCTCTGGGGTCCTGGAAGTTGAAGTCACACTCATTTCTTACAGTTTTAGGTGACAGTTGGAGGACAAGAGAGGTGTTAACCACGACTCCCCAAGGTTCAGTTAAGCTTTTAAGAGAGCCGATAATACAATATGCAGTTTTAAAGAAATCCATTTTGGATTCTGGGTCAATTTTGGATGAATTCTGCAACTATGATCCAGTGTTTTGGTTCCTCTTGCAACATGATTTAAAATTTGTTACAGCTATGATTTGCACTTTCTCCATAGCAACAGCAACCAAGGCTCATGGGTAGCTACAGAAAAGAGTTATGATAGTGTAACTAAAATTTTACTGTGAAAAAGTAGTTTGGTTTGACAGTGAGTCCACTAAAAAGACCATCAGAGATAAAAGCATTAAGTAATTTGGGTAGTGGAGCTAAAACTGACCTGTTTTTTTTTTCTCTGGCTCCTAGTAAAAGTCGATTAATAAACATAAAATGCTATCAAAATAGTGGTTCTGCTTTGCCACAGTGATGTAATTAGATAGATAGATAGATAGATAGATAGATAGATAGATAGATAGATAGATAGATAGATAGATAGATACTTTATTTATCCCGAGGGAAATTCAAGTATCCGGTAGCATACAAAACATACATTAAACATACATTAAGATGAAATTAAAAATAAAGTACTAAAAACAACACGACACGTATGGAGCTACTGGATAAGCGTCCTGCTCGCACCGGCGCCGGATATTAGTTTACAGCAAAATTGTCTTAACAGAAAAATTGACTCTCACTAGTCCACCAATGTTATGGAAGTGTAATGCCAGATCACAGAAGTGTCCCTTTAATGAGAAATAAATATTCTTCTTGGTTATAGTGTGTGAAATGAAGAGATGAATTGAAGCTGTGTGTATCAGGACCCTGAACTTTCATCTCCTCCCCTCTTGTTATTTTCTTGTCCTCTATTCCTCTCTGTCCTGCTCTCTGTCCCAACCAGAGAAACTCACTGACCTCAAATCAGTCTCATGGCACCCTCACACATATTGGCACTGTGTGTCACCACCATTTGCTGTGTCCATGGAGACATGCACACAGAATTGCTCATTACTCCATGCATGAGCCAATACCGATACCCATCCATGTCACCTCCAGTCTGTGTGGCATCCTGCGGCTTGTGTCAGTGCAGTACAGTATCGGTGGGTGTAGGTTGTGTCTGTGCATTTGAGTGAGTGACTGACTGTGTGTGTGTGTGTGTGTGTTTGTGTGTGTGTGAGCGGGGGGTGGTAGTGTATCATAGGAGGCTACTGTGTCCCTCAGGCAACATGAATATAGGCCAGTGTCTGTGGCACAGTAAAAGGGAGTAGCAGCTAGCGCTTGCACTCACACATACAGTCATGCATACAGAAATAGTTTGTGTGGAATTGTACTATACATTTGTGCTCACATATCCTCTGCTGTCCCTCTTCCTCAGGGCTGTGGGTAAGACCTGTCTGCTGATTAGCTACACCACCAATGCCTTCCCTGGTGAATACATCCCCACCGTGTGAGTAAAGCACCCACTGCTGCAAATGCTCACTGTATATTTATATAAACAGTGGCTTCATGTTACAGGACCATATCAGTGCTTTGGTTTGTCAGGTATTTCATTTGCTGGATTCACCAAATACACTGGTTATTTTATCTCGAAACACTGAGCTATAAATTCATTATTGACTGTAGAAAAAATATTTTGACATTTTCACTCAGAAATTGTAAACATATTTTATGGCCTTCATCCGCCCAGTTGTCATCATCTGACCTAAGTATGAATCACATCATATCACATTTAATATATATTTTATGGAAACATGACCGAGTCTATACATATGTTGCATGATGACAACTGATGCAATTGAAAGCTTCAGAAAAGCAAGTGAGTAAACCTTGATTTCAATTTTTTTTTGTCAAACAGTTTCTCGATGAGTTTCCATACCATGATGTTTATCTTGATATTTTAGTGGATGACTACACAGTTCAATTCAATTCAATTCAATTCAATTTTATTTGTATAGCGCCAATTCATAACAGAAGTTATCTCAGGACACTTTTCAAATAGAGTTGGTCTAGACCGAACTCTTTATAACATTATTTACAGAGACCCAACAGTACCACCATGAGCAAGACCTTGGAGACAAGGGCAAGGAAAAACTGCCTGTTAAAAGGCAGAAACCTAGGACAGGTGGGTGGTCGTCTGCCTCGACCAGTTGGGGTGAAAGAGAGACAGAGAGAGAGAGAGAGAGAGAGACAGCAACAACAGTAGCAACAACTACACTAATGGTAGTGACTGATGATGATGAATGTACAATAAGCTCAAATGATTTTATTGAGTCAGATGCTTCGACCACTTGATCTTTTCAAGACAAGTTTCCTCAGATACAGTCTGAACGAAGAGTTTGACATTTTGGGAAATGTTTGCCTTCTTGCCGAGAGCTACATAAAGAGATCAACCTCATGTCTGTCCAGTAAACAGAAGCTGGCCTGGTCTACAGTTCAAAAAGACACCTCCTAGAACCTCTAAAGCTCACTTATTAACATGGAATATGCAGAGATGTGGACTCGAGTCACTGTTTTGATGACTTGCCTTAAATAAGGACTCGACATGACTTAACATAACCTGTTTCTCGATTTGACTTGCACAAGGAAAAATGATTTTGGACTTGCTAGAGACTTGGACCAAATGACTTAAATCACATGTCTGGTAATATTCAATGTGTTTAATGAGATATAACACAAACCCAAGTGAAAAAACACTAAGTAGTGGTTTTAATGTGGGTCATGGGCCGGGCTATTTCTGCTGGGAGCAGTGATTACTTGCCTATGCTGGTTGCCTGGCAACCTCAGGCAAGAAATGTACTGGTGTATGTGCACGTAACCTCTGTAAATCCACAACTTGTTGTTTTTACACTTCAGTTTTTGTAGGGAGGTGTGTTAGGTGTATTTTGTGACCTTTGGACAGTGTCAGGCTAGCTGTTTCCCCCTGTCTCCAGTCTTTACGCTAAGCTAAGCTGAGCAGCTGCTGGTTGTAGACCATTTAACAGATAGAGATGACACTGGTATTGATCTTCTCATGTGACTCTTAGCAAGAAAGTGTCAAAGTGTAGTTCCCGGAAAGTTGAACTATTGCAGTAAGTATACTATACCACCTGGTGGCTTGCTCAAGGATGCTTCAACAAGTGGCGGCAGGAACTGGGGATCAAACCAACAACCTTGCGATTAGAAGACGACCCACTCTTCCTCTCAGCCACAGCCCCCCAATAATTACTATAACAAAATCCTTGTAGAAAAATATCATGATTTCTCTGTAAAATGAAACTTGCCCTCCTTATGTACCTATAAGGAGTGAAGTGCATAAAGTACTATCAAGTAAGGTAATGTTTGAAGACTTGCTATTAATAATTAATGTCTATGATTTAATTTACTGACATTACTGTATAATGAGTACAGTCTAGACCTGGTCTATTTGAAAACCTTCCTGAGATAACTTGTGTTGTGATTTGGCGCTATACAAATACAACTGAACTGAATTTAAACTAAGGTTGTCTTACTTTTGGAGCAGAATCTAGAGGTTCTGGTTTTTACTCTCTATATTGGGTATTCCATTCCCTTAACAAATAAGTTTGAAAATGCAACAGAATCCACTAGGTGTGCGTTCCCTTTCTGTTAACTGCCTTTTACTCAGTGTGCTGTCCGCCTTCCTGCAGCTTTGACAACTACTCTGCCAATGTGATGGTGGATGGGAAACCAGTGAATCTGGGCCTTTGGGATACAGCAGGACAGGAGGACTACGATAGGCTCAGACCACTGTCTTACCCACAGACGGTATTCCAACCCCTTCCCCCCAACCACACATACACTCATGCATTTACACATACATGCTCAGCTCTATCCGAAGCCTCTAAAAGGACAGCTAAACAATGTTTCAAGAATAAAACACAGAGCTCTCTGTTGCACATTCAGAGCCAGTTGCAACAGTTGTTTGTTAGTTAAAAGTTCAAACTACAATATGTTGAACAAAAAACACTAGTTCTTGCTTAGAAATAGGTTGTTACTAAAAGTTTACACCTGCTACCAGGTGGCAACTGACTGACAGAACTAATATGCTAACTTTTACTCCTTCCATTTTTGCATAAATATCTGTACTTTCTACACGTTTTACTTTAATCAAAACATTGCAGCTTCTGTGATTGGCATATTGAGCTTATATATTGTGATTTTGATCATATTTTGATTGTGCGGCCCTAATTTTCATCAAACTTTCCTAATGTAATATTACAAAATGAGCATAAAAATAAAAATATGTTGATGGAAACAACTACTGACTTGCTTCCCCCACAAAACCTGGTTTGTTTTGGACTTGGTTATGTATGGCCTGTGAACAAGTGGGTACTGGTTGCAATCAACTTAATTGCGTGACTTTTTTGTTTTATATTTTGTTTAAATAATGATAATAATAATAATAATAATATATAATAATTTCATATCAGATGTACATTGTCAATTTGATCTTTTTTCTTTAAAGTAGTTTGATCTATTTTTTCTAAGTAGCTTGAGTTAACCAAACTCAATTTCTCCATACACTAGCTTTACTGTAGTTCAACTCCTTCCAGCTTTCTAGTATGAAGTAATTGGTAGTTGCTTTCAAAGTAGCTTCCCCAACAATGGTTACATTACCATAGGCTTCCACAGAAACATTATACTTTGTTTCTATAGAAGTCCTTTATTATGGAAGCTTTTTCATTATTTTGAGATGCTATGTCAAAATGTTGAGATACTAATAAAAAATATTGAGATGGTTTCTCAATATTTTGAGGTACTAACTCATTATTTTGACATGCTGTCAAAATATGCATGCAGTGTGCTAAGAAAAGGTTCTCATTAGTATTTACATTGTAGTTACAATGACAAAACATGGTATGATTAGAACATCTTTTTTCATCTTTAATCAACACTTTTTTTAAATTAAAGCCGCTAATCAATTTGTCACTAATTGTTAGTTCTCTCATAAAGAACGCTTTTAATAAAAATAGACCTTAGTTCAAAGTATCACACACTCCCTCACACACACACAGATCTCACTCTCAACTAGCCATCTCTCTGGTTCTCTCCCAGGATGTGTTCTTGATATGCTTCTCCCTGGTCAGTCCGGCCTCCTTTGAGAACGTCCGAGCTAAGGTCAGTACGCTGACTGACCGCCCCTTCCCTCCCTTTCTCCCCCTCCGTGCCGAGTCTGACCACAAGGAGGCACATCTATGGCTCTGCCTGGCTTATCACACTGCTGCCCCGCCCGCTCAGACCTCGGCTTAGAACAGTCCAGGTTTAAACTGATCCCCTTCAGGGGACGCAGTACAGAGACGTGTTATAAGGCGAGGTCCGACCGAGTCCAAGCGCTCTGCAGAGGGAGCGTGATGGCCGGCTGTGGTTTGGTCTGCTGAGCATCATGAGATGCTCTCACATCAAATCACACTTTCCTGAAGGTCCACCCTCCCTCTGTAAAGTCTGTATGCTTTGGTCTGACGGAATTCTCTCATCATGTGATGTGATTGGAGGTTACTTTGCCTGAGGATGTTTTGTGTTCATACAACTATGCTTCCATTCAGACAGATTCTATTATTTTTTTACTTCCACAACTCACAGAGTGTGTTCAGTGTCATCGTGTAAAGGCACTCATTGCGCTGCCTCTGCTACCAGCTAACTGCTCTCTCTCTCCTCTCGCACTGACTTTGTCCTTTGTATATGCATATGTACGTGTGTTTGTGTGCGTGTGGTGCACCAGTGGTACCCTGAGGTGAGACACCACTGCCCCAACACGCCCATCATCCTGGTGGGCACCAAGCTGGATCTGCGAGATGACAAGGACACCATTGAGAGACTGCGGGACAAGAAGCTGTCCCCCATCACCTACCCACAGGGCTTGGCCATGGCAAGAGAGATTGGTGAGGCTGTGTGTGCCACGTGCACAGAAATTTGCTGCAGTACATTTTGACATTTCTTATCGAGGTATGAATGATGAACTAAAGAGTCCTCAAATCTCAAGCCTTCAAGAAATCAAAAAATCATCTAGCCTGGCTCCATCCAAAGTTCAAAAATACACCTGCCAACATCTCTAAGGTTCACCAATTAACATGTTGTATCCATAGAATTGTGTATTATTAAAAAATGGACGTAGTCACTGTGACATCACCCAAAGGTTCCTGCAGAGCCATTGTGAAGCTTAGTTGCCATCTTTGAAGTCCCTGCTAATCCAAAAGTGGGCAAAGAGGTGGAGCTGAGGCGGGCTGAATGAAGCCTGGTTACTGAATACAACCGCTTATGACAGCACCCACCTGTTACACAAAGCAGCCACACCTTCAATTATACAAAACTTTAAGCAGGAATGTAATTTAAACAGGTGAGTTATATAAAAATTCACCCCTGTACAGGGTTTATTTCTGCTGTAAAGTTGGGCATATTAATATGGGGCTTTATGGAGATTGACTCATTTCTGTAGCCAGCCTCAAGTGGCTGTTTGAGGAACTGCAATTTTTTTTACTTCCATGTTGGCTTAATTTGCAGCCACAGAGGTTGCCGCTTAGGTGGGACAAAGGAAGAGTCATACTATATATGTTACAGGTGTTGTTAAAGGACTTAAAGCGCTTTATTTGAAGCATCCTAGTGCCCTAAGGTGGAAACAAATCTGTTTTTAACCATCTTCATTTGAACCTTGCTTAAATCTTTTTCCCATCATGCCCTCTCCCTTCCTCAGGGGCCGTGAAGTACCTGGAGTGCTCTGCACTGACCCAGCGAGGCCTGAAGACGGTATTCGACGAAGCCATCCGAGCCGTGCTCTGCCCTCCGCCCGTGAAGAAGAGGGGAAAGAGGTGCACTATGTTCTGAGGAGGAAACACTGCTAAAACACTACACTACATCACCATGTACAACAACCACTACTTCTCTGAGAGGATGAGAGAGAAAACTAGCGAGCGTGAGTGTGCACTGCTGAGATTGCTTTCTTTATATTGATGTTTTTTCAAAGCGATATTGGTAACAAGACCAATATTTAATCTGATTTTTTTACCATTACTGAATAGGTTCATAGGTTCTTTGTGAAAGACATTGACTGTCCACCTACTTTGTACGCATAGAACTACATCAAGTTGCCACGAGGGCTGACAAAGGTTTCTATTACTTGTCTTCATACTACATCTATTCATTCTCAGCCATGCTTGCTTGAATTAATGCAGTGTTGACTAGATAGAAAGTGAACTGTGAATACGCCTTCAGGTCAGAAGTTACCCTCAGTGCCTGATCTAAGATCAGCATGTGGAGACAAAACACATTACTACTGACATGCACACAGAAATCTGTTGGACCTGACAGTAAAGACAAAATACTACTGCCTGCATTCACTAAATTTCACAAATAGAGCATGGTGTCCTAAATGAAAATGTAGTTTTATTTTCAGTTTAGTTCCAGTTTATTTTCATAGTTATAACCCTCCAATCAGTAATAACGCTGTACTCACAGAGGTAATTGAGAACGAGTCAAGAAAGTGCTTTACAGCAACTCCAGCTTTTGTCCTTAATCTTGAAGCCCTATCTTGCAGAGAGTGTCAAACTCTAGTTTAAGACCTCATTATCTCTGTTTTATGCTTCTATGTTGGCTATTACCAAATCAGTGATTTAAAGCTGCAGTACTTTTATAAAAATAACTTTTTGTCATATTTGCTGAAATTTTCACTATATCCTAACAGTAGTAAAGTAACCTGATTTTTTTTCACAGATTATCTGTCTCGTGTACTACTGTCAGGATATAGTGAAAGTTTAAGCAAGTTATTTTTACAAAAGTTACCAACTGCATTCATTCATTCATATGACCACACAGAAAATCTTGGACCAGGCAGTGTTTTAGCTTAAAGACTGACTGAATGCCCTTTTGCATATCTCAGAAATTACCTCAGTGACTACAATGTTACTGATACTGATAGGAATCATAGAGAATTTATATGGAAAAGACCTAGTATAAGATTTTAATAGCAGTCAAAAGTAAGAGTGGTGACTTTTAACTCCAGGGACTCTTCACACGTTTTCTTCATTTCTAGCTTTTCTCATTTAGCCTTGCACAAATCATTAGTCTTAAACTAACCATTAGTCTGAGTGTGATGGCTCATTCTTTACCCTGTGAAGAGCCGTTTGACTCTCAGTTATCAGGTCCACTTACTCGGTTTCACCCTAACTTTCAGCCACATCCTGCCGCCTGATCAGCAGCTCAATCGAAGACTACGAGATGTGGCTGCAAACTGCTATTTACAAGCTCAATAATTTATCTTCCAGCTCAACTTGAGAATTGTAATTTGACAAAATGGTCTTCCTTTTGTGCAAGCTTTCAACCGTATCTGATGGTGAAGACTTCTGTGGGTGATTCTTCTAAGGCTGTGTATTGGAAAAAATTGGACAATATGTATCACAATACAGAGGTTATATTGTAAACAATGGGATATATTGTAATTTTTTTATTTTGTAATTTAGGAAAAATTCATTGTATAAAGAACACACCAATAATTGCTGAAAAATGCTGCAAAACGCTGAAAAATAAATCATATTATTGAATACTCATGTGTATCAATATTATCTTACACCGCTATGAGATGTGGTTGACGGCTCTGGAAAACGCTTGTACTTTGAGTTAAGATCATTTTGTCACATTACCTTAAGTTGTTGCTAGAATGTTGTTTCCAATGTGTGCTATACTTTTATTACAGTTGTGTTCTTCCTTTGGACAAACATCTGATCTCAGTCAAGTGTCTTTGGGTAACTTTATCTAACTGTGAACATGTGAAAGACAAGCATGCCAAACATGGGGGCTGTACAACCTTGCTGCCTGAGTTCTGCCTCTGGGGGTGGAGAAGCTTGCATGGGTCTTAAAATATTCTGTCTTAATTTATCCCATTGTTTAGATCTTGTCTCTGTTTCTGTGTGTGTGTGTGTGTGTGTGTGTGTGTGTGTGTGTCAGAGAGAGTGTGTGTGTGTGTGTCACAGGCGTGTATATGAACGCTGGTTGTTTGTGTGTGTGGACGAGCATGTGTCGGTATCAGTGAGACAGCTTTGTTTGACAGTTTGGGGTAGTGCATAAAAGACAGTATTGTTTTAAGCCAAGTTTTTTAGTGTCCAGTTTTTGGTACTATTTCATATTGTATTGTAGTAATACACAAGACTTTTCAACAATCTGTGGACATAAAGAAAGAAAAAAAAAGGATATTAATGACATCTAGTGATGTACAGAATAATCCTCAGAAAAGGAATGCGTTATGAATATCTATCTAAATGTACCTGAATATTTAGCTCTAAAACAATTCAACCTAAAGGGATTATAGTCACTCATGTTGAAGTTAGAAGTGTTGCTAACAGTGTACAATAAAGGGGCCAATCTTTGTGGGGTTTGTCATTGTGGCAAACAGTGCAGATTGCACCTTTATGAAATGCATTTCTGTATGGTTGCAAGGCCTGCAGTGTGTCTGTCTCCCCCGCGTGGTGAGACGCAGCACTGCAGTCCACTCTGTCACGCTGTCTTTGGTTGGCATAGCAAACTGTGTGGTTGAATCATGTCGTGTGGTCCTGCCTAGCTAAGGTGTCGAAATGTAGCTCAGAAATGCAGCGAAAAATTCTAATCTACTATTGCATGGAAGTTATCTGGTTATTTGACCCACTGTAATTCTTAGGAGAGGCTGTATGATGAAATGCATTGGCCATGTACGTATGTAATGTAAGATGACTTGTATACTTGTTCCAACTGTTTGTCTTATTTTTTATTACTTCACATGTCTGTGTGGTGAAATATTTCAATTTTTTGTATACTAAATACAAATGTATATGTAAGGTAATCTGCATACTGTCATAATTTATTCTTCACCTTTTCTTTCTTTCACAACAGCCCCTAGTTACACATAAAATAAAAGTAATTTTAGTGGACAGCCTCACTTATTACCAAATAATTTAAAGGTCCAGTGTGCCACATTTAGGAGGATCTTTTGTCAGAAATGGAATTTAATATCCATAGGTATGTTTTTATTAGTGTATAATCACCTGAAAATAAGAATGATGTTTTTGTTACGTTATAATGAGCCATATTTACTACTGGGGCTTCTTATGGTGGGGTCCGCCATGTTGAACCATCATGTTTCTACAGTATCCCAGAATGGACGAACCAAACACTGGCTCTAGATAGGGACTTTTGCAAGTTTTACAGCCACCGTAGTTTCTCCTACATGCTTAGAACGCAAATGGTATTCTGTTGGTTGCAACCTGCAACTTCACCACTAGATACATATAAATAAGGACAGATAACAAAGGGAAATTAGACGTTGAGTTTAATTACTGACACAAACTGATCTATGTTTCTTTGTATAATGCAGTGAGTTGATAAGAAGAAGTATGTTTCCTTTGAGCAGATGGTCGCTGTGCTTGTGTTGGTCAGCAGGCCAGGAAGCCTCCGTCCACTGGCAGAGTGACTCCATTAGTCATGTTGCTCTTATCACTCAGCAGGAATAAAATACTATTCACCACGTCCTCCACCTCTGCAAACAGACACACAGGAAGATCAGTTAAAACTTAAGGTAAACATTTGATGTTAATATATATAAGTGTAATTTAATGTACACACTGCATAATTGCAGCACTGGAGACATTTAGTTTATACCTATGCTGACAATAAGATTAGATTCAAAGTCCCCCTCCAGTCAAAAATTGTTTTCTTTCTTGATCCTACAGTGATGTTTGTCACTGTGCAGAGTGAAGTAGTAGTAGTAGCTGTTTTGCTGCTGCAATGGTTAATCTTTAAATGTGTTTGCACTCTTTGGTGACAAGGCACAGCCTTGGAAGAGTCCAACACAAGAACGTGCTGGACTTCATTGCAGATAATAATAATAATCCCTGTTCAAGTCCACATAACCTATGATGTGGATTGGTAGACAAGAGCTGCTCCATTGTTCCACAACCAGGATGGAATCCACATTCCTGAATCTAAATCAGCTGTCTGCCTCCTTTTCAGCACCGTGGTATGAACTCTGTGTGGAAGCTGAGCACTGGGAGCACACCCTCCATGTGTCTTTTGTAAAGAGAAGCACAACCTAAATTTCAAGAACTAGTCCACAATTTCATTCATGATAAGAGTGAGATGGGAAGATGTGTGTAGTGCAGAACTGGAGTCAGGACATAGTTAGCCTAGCTTAGCATGGAGAATGAAAGCAGGGGGAAACGGATAATTCTGAAGCTCCAGCTCCAAATGTTTTCTCAGAGACCCCAAATCTTTTAGGCTTCTTAAATAACTTCAACCTTGTGTCATTTCCCTTCAGCAACAGTTCTATTAGTGTGGAAATATGGCATCTAGTATTATGGGATGGGTTCACATGTAGCAGATTTGTCAGCTAAACATTAATTCTGTGAACTCTACTCCTGCATAATGTAACAAAAATAGGTTTGAAGATTCGTAATGCTGTTTATACCAAATTCCACCAAGTTATGCAACTTGAAAATACTTATTATACTAATACTTATTATAGAGGAATAAGAACTTTTGCCTTTTTGTAGGTGGCAGGAGTGAAAATAAGTCATCCTCAACATGTGTTGTGTTCTTGAATGATGAAGACAGTTGGACAACAATGGAAGGGATGAGTTTTTTTATCATGTTTTTCCAGAACTTTAGGCATTCTATTATCACAAATGGGTTGAAAGTCCAGGACTTATTCCCCCTCATTGTCGTTGGTGTTTACACTGTCCACCAACCTTTATCAAGACAGAGACTGATATATTAGACACACTGAGATATAACCAGGATTGGGTCAGGTTACTTTGAAATGTAATTAGTTATTTTAATAATTACATTATTAGTAATTATAGCAGGATATTAACTAGAATACTGTATCACACGAACTTACCAATCTTACGAAAAAACGATTAAGATTTGTTACCCTAGTTCTTGTGTTATGACTTCTTATAATAGCTGTGAATGTAGCTGGGAGAAATTCCATGTAAAATCCTTTAAACAGTATTGTGATATCAGTCTCTTCGTCACTCTGGGAAAGAAAGCAAATCATCATATTTCCCAAAATGTTGAACTATTCATTTAAGATGTGTAGTAACCAGATGGACTGGAAACCTATCCATGGTGCACCTTCCCTTTCACCTAATGCATACAGGCTCCAGTGGTTATAGATAGGAACCACATATCTTTAAGCTGTACAAAAGATGGATCTGAAATTAAATGTCACTGTATTACAGAGTGGAAGAATCAAAAGAGAATCTGTGTATTTGCCATACAATCTCCTGAGAAGATAAACCAGCTGCTGTCTCCTGCTGTGTCAATAGTATGTGTACACAGGCTATGGTGTCTGACCTGCAAAGCGGCCTAGGGGTATGCGGGACGTTATGGTCTTGGCTTTTTCGGGTTCGCTCCAGCCCAGGCGACCCATCTCTGTCATCACCACAGTGGGGTTCACACTGTTCACACGGATCTGATCAGAACACAACATTTCAGTTAAAACAATTCCAACATCCATCAGTGAGAGTACCATTGAGATCCTTACTCTGTGCTTAAACAGCTCCTTACTTTAGCTCTTTAAATGTTATTTATTAATAAGATGTATTGATCAATGATTACTGTCATCTGACTCCACCCAAATCACCAAACCTGTTTGATTAAATGTCTATAAGCCAATCATAGTGTTCCACATCATCTAAAGAGGACTGCAGTAGAGCCACACAGCAACATGGCCGACCATGAGGCAAGGAGCAAATGTAAGGTACATTTAAGTCTAGCCATTGAAATGGACAGAAAGAACAGGGCATAACAACGTTTTTTAATCATTTTTTTATTGTTTATGATTTATGAGTGCATTTAGACCATAAATCCACTATAGCACAATTGTTTGTTTGTTTGGAACATAATTGGGTGTTGAATAGGTTAAAATAATTTAATTTAGTAGTACTTGCCAACATTACCTAACATTAGCCACAATAAGCTACTACTGCTCATAGCAGAGCAAGTCAGGCCACGTGTACAGGAATTATAGTGAGAGGGGATAGAATGATTGTACTATAGAGAAAATCTATTTCAATAGATTTAATTCTGTTCAATTAAATGTTATAACAGATGTTATCCAAGGACACTTTTAAATGTCTAGACTACTTTTTCTAGACTTTATTTTTCTGATCATCAGTGAATGATGTAAAACTAGATGTAGTCTACTTTAAATTCTAATGAGCCAAAATAATATCAAGGAAAGATGCCGTGCTGTGTAAGCATGAGGGTACCTGGTAGGGTCCCAGCTCTAGGGCCATCACTTTAGTCAGCATGTCCAGAGCTCCTTTAGTGGCACCTGAACAATGACAGAAAACACAAGGACCTTGCTCTTAAATATCAGCATGGAAACCCCTCTGCCCCTATAGTCTCCCTGCTACTAGGGAATGGAGAGGATGGATGGCTAGAAGTTAACAACAAGAGTGCATTTTGGTCATTTGGCTAACAAGGGGGCATCTCCCCTAAATTGTCTACTGCACAAAGCCTACCTACAGGTGGGATGCTGAATCAATACATTAAAATGAACATTTTATTGTTATTAATGTACACTTACATAATAAATACATGATGACCGGTACTGCCTTTTAAGAGAAGTTTTGTGGGGCAAGCAGTACTAGCTGTCAAACATGCATGTACTATGTCATGTAGAAACTGAGGCCATATTTTGGAAAAACGTTCGATTCATTTACATGTATCAACTCGAAGGAATTCTGTTAAGAGTTGGTCTGCCCATCACTAGCTGACATCAGTTCACCATCATGGATAAGCCATGCCCAAAGTTCCGCCTCCAAAGCTGTGATTGGACATGTTGGCATGGATGATTTATTATTGGCAGGTCTATGGTGCCCCCTGCAGGACAACACTGAAATGCAATACACCTCCTCACTGTATTGTGATTTGATTTTAATGTGTGATGGAAAATTTAATTCATTCGGTTATTGAAGACAAAAAACGAAATAATTTTTAATTGTTGTTTTAACAGCAGACAGACGGCGAGCTGGCTTTCTAGCTGTTGGACCACTCAGTAATATTAGCTGGCTTGCTATGTCTTGTTGTTGCACTTGTTTTGATCATTAGTAATGTAATCATAACAAATACACGTGTCCATATTTACCACAGTGGTAACCAAAATCTTACATAGTGTTGCTTTAACAGGCAATGAATGACCCCACTGTTTATAAAGTTAACAGTTTAGCTGTTAGCTGTCTGCAATCACACCAAAATGTTTCTTTGGCTTCTTCTAGTAAGCTTTTAACCAGGAGGCATCACTCTGTATACCACCACTGCTAAAAGCCACTGATTCAGTCAGTGACTCAGTATAATTAGTTTAGGTGGAAGATTCCATTAAAGATTTGTTTGCACAGAACACCTCTCTCAGCTACTTTCATTTCAATCATTTTCTCCAGGCTCCAGTTGAATTTTGCCACAAGCTGTTTCCTCTGGTACTCACAGTAGACAGCGTGGTCTCTTAGGGCACACTGTGATGCCTGGCTGGACAAGTTGACAATGGAGCCTCCTGATCCTCTGGCCTTCATACCACGAGCCACTATCTGACCAGAGACACAGAGCTCCATTTGACCAAACAGAAGCAGTTTGATTAAGCAGACATTTAAATTGAAAGGTTTTGTAAGGGATATTTTTTGTTTTAAATAGCTCTACATTCTGACAGCCATCGCTGATATAGCGTGTTCAGTCAGTAACATGAATGTGGCATGACAACTATCTTTTATATGTCGATGAACCAACAGCTAATCAAAGGCAGAATAGGGCGGGAGTACGCGGAATGCCGGACGGGGGAAAAAAACAGGGTGGGGTGTTTAGGGATACATACTAGACCCACGAAGAGGTGGTGGTATGAAACAAGAAGTAAGGGTACTTTATTGGACAAAAATCTAAAGTGCCATACTCAGTACTGGTGTACCGGCCCATTTCAGGTCCTGATCTACATTTGGTCAGCTTACAACAAAAAGAAGAAGAGCAAAAAGGAAATGGAGTCATTACTGTACCTGGGAGACATGCAGCACAGCTTTCACATTCACATCGAATGAGCTGGAGATGAAAGACACCATAGAACATAATAAACAGATGGACCAGCGTAGTCTGGCTCATGTCTCGTCTACATTGTGCTGGATTTGCTGTTGCAGTATCTGTTTTTTGTCTTACTGGTTAAACTGGTCAGGTGTGACCTCCAGAAAGGGCTGCAGGCTGGCACAGGCAGCGTTGTTTACCAGCAGATCGATGGGGCCGATGTCCCGCAGGGCCACCTCCGTGGCCCCCCAGTCCGCCAGGTCCACACACACCGGGGAGATGGAGGCGCACTGTGAGAGGGAGTCAGACATGTCGATAACAGAAGAAGTGATAAGTTTATTAAAGGCAGATAGACAAACAGTATGGATCCATTGAACACAGGAAGCAGTTAAAAAGAATGATATCCTGTTAGTAGTGATTTTATGTGTACTGACTCGCTAAACAGTACACTATGAAAATCAGTAGGCACTACATACTCTGTACTGTAGTATTTAACATAGCTCCAGTGTTTACCATTAAATCTCCTCACAGGAAGACACCAATCCAAATTACTTTTCAATTCAATTCAATTTTATTTGTATAGCGCCAATTCATAACAGAAGTTATCTCAGGACACTTTTCAAATAGAGCAGGTCTAGACCGAACTCTTTATAACATTATTTACAGAGACCCAACAGTACCACCATGAGCAAGCACTTGGTGACGGGGGCAAGGAAAAACTGCCTGTTAAAAGGCAGAAACCTAGGAGGGTGGTCGTCTGCCTCGACCAATTGGGGTGAGAGAGTGAGAGAGAGAGAGAGAGAGAGAGAGAGAGAGAGAGAGAGAGAGAGAGAGAGAGAGAGAGAGAGAGAGAGAGAGAGAGAGCAACAACAGTAGCAACATCTACACTAATAGTAGTGACTGATGATGGTGATGATGATGAAAAAGATGATGACGACGACAAAGACGACGATGGTGGACAATGAGCAGTGATTATAGTAATAATAGTAGCTGTAGTAATAATAACAAGAATATCAGTGATATTAGCAATGGCAGTCAAGCAGGACCATGGCAGGAGGCTCCACCAGGATCCATAAGAACCTGCGAGACGAGAAAGCACAAGAACTCCGGGGAAGAAGTGAAGTTAGTAACATGCATTAATGGGATGCTAATGCTTTAGGCCTAGACTATCTGGGGATTTCCCATGATGCACTGAGCTCCTCTCTTCCTCTCTCTTTCTGCACTCATTCATGTTCCATTAATGCATGTTACTAACTTCACTTCTTCCCCGGAGTTCTTGTGCTTTCTCGTCTCGCAGGTTCTCATGGATCCTGGTGGAGCCTCCTGCCATGGTCCTGCTAGATTGCCTCTGTCTGTCTGTCTGTCTGTCTGTCTGTCTGTCTGTCTCTCGGCGCTATACAATTAAAATTGAATTGAATTGAATTGAATGAAGATGAACAGCACAATGGTACAGATAAAACAGAGGAGGGTGTGTGTGTGTGTGTGTGTGTGTGTGTGTGTGTGTGTACCTCCTGCACCAGACTGCTCAGGTCGGCCTGCGTGCGTGTGACCGCTACGACCTTTGCCCCGCAGCGTGCCAGAGCCAGAGCCGTGGCCCTGCCAATCCCTGAGACACCAAACATCCATAAACACAAAGACTTATTACAGAGCAGAGCGGAGGCTGTGACACCAGGATTGACACACACACACACACACACACACACACTCACACACACATTCCACACATGTCTCAGCCTTTGCTACACTGCACTCCATGAACAAAGCTTTTTTAAATTCCACTTTCTCTCCACAAGACTCTTTGAGACAAATGGATCAAATGCCCTCAGCAGTCCTCTGGAGTTCACACGTTATTTCATCAGTTTTAACATTCTAGTTCAGCTTTTGTCAGACCCAGCATTTATAAGTATTGTAAGTATACAAACATTTTATATATTTATATTTATTTCCTATATTTACATATGGAAACCCTTTTCTATCATTGAGTAAACTGACAAAGTGAAGTGATATTCAGTACATAACAATACATACATAAGAGTACAGAACAACTGAACAATGAACCCAAACAGTGAACACAATAACTGCAGGAAGTGTAAAACCAGAGATTTGGATGAATTCTGAGCTGATTATTTCTTGTGAATATCAGTCAGAGATGAGTTTTCCTGATATTTTAAGGAACTTTTTATACAATTCTCTGTCTGTATTATATATTCTTATAATTTTCATACTTTTTGAAAAATTCTGAAACCTGGGTGTAATATTTGACAGTGATCGCAAATGTTGTTCAAACGTATTTTTTATCAGTTAAGGAGCTTCTCAAAGATCAGGTCCTTTCTCTCTTGGCCTGATCTTGAAAAGGTCATCCATGCCATTATTTTCTCACGCTTAGACCATTGCAATTCTTTGTACTCAGGGTTAAGTCAAAAAGCTGCTTCAAGACTCCAGCGTTGCATTGTATAAATGTTTTTAAATGTGTTATATGAGCCTAATGTTGTAATATGTAATCAATTTTTAAACTAAATGAACTTATCAGGTTTTACAGTGTGTCACATGCAAAAACTCCATGGGGTTAGCATAAAGTGGGCATGTTTGCAAAGATGACGTGGGTACCCATAGAACCAATTTTCATTCAGATATCTTGAGGTCAGAGGTCAAGGCATTCCCTTGAAAATAGCCATGCCAGTTTTTCCATTTCCATGTACCCTAACTTTGGAGTTTTTAGCCCACTTTCCAACATGCTAGCATGACATGGTACCGATTGATGTGTTAGGTCATCTAGTTTCGTATGATACCAGTATCTTCACTCTAGAAGCTTTTTTTAAAGCCTCTGAAAGACATTGTGGAGTGGAAGAGGTAAGGATAATTGGGTGGCCAGTGATACACCAGGCCCCCTCCTCTGGACACGCCCCTGTCGACTTGCATAAACAATATGTGTACTATTGCCACCTCTGGCTCTATATGTTCAAGAGTGTGTTTCAGTTGCTGCAGACAAATTGCTATTTTGAGGACAATAAAGTTACATTTGAAGCATGTCGAAATATAAAACAAAGTGTGTGTGTGTGATTCCTAAAGCAGCCTGGTGGTGTCACTGTACACCGTGTGTGTGTGTGTGTGTGTGTGTGTGTGTGTGTGTGTGTGTGTGTGTGTGTTCAGAGTTGTCTTTACCTTTTCCTGCTCCAGTGACCAGAGCCCGTTTGCCTGTAAATGAAATCTCCATGTTCGATCAGCTCCGAGATCAGCTGTAGATCGATAAACAACACAGATCAACAGACTGAGCAGAGGTCACATGAAGAAATCACGTGAGTCGTTATCGTCAGGACTGATCGAGCTAAACTCAGCTCCTAGCTCTGCCTCACATTATTTCCCTGCACACACACACACAGTCATTCCTCACTGGGAGTAATGGTTGTAGTGGAAGTGGAGGAGCTCACCAGTCTCCGTGGGTCCGCACTGCAGACTGCAGGAAGTGGAGTCTCTGTGTTCCGCTGGGCTCAAACATTAAACCGAAGTTAAAGGCTAATGGTCAAAACATGTTTGTCTTCCAGGTCAGTGTGCACAGTCACTGTGAGGTGGCACACAGCACTTCACCCAAAGTACAATAAGACACACAGCCGGTAGAGGGAGTCCAGGTTTGAACTGTAACACTGGGACTTAATGGAGGTGAGTCTGGTGTCTGCTAACTGTGGATCATTCACACACCCCACTATCAACAGTTATCATTGGACAAATTCTTCGGTAAACACAGTAAACACAGTAAACTAGTGCTGGGTGGTATCACCAAAACATTCTATCACAGTATCTTTTAAGATTCGTATTTTAAATGTAAAGAATATTTTTTGAATGACTGGGCCTTTACATGGTTTGGGGCGGATCTAGAGGGGTGGCAGCAGCTGCCCTAGAAAATGCCTGACCACCCCAGCTGCCACAGTTTGCTGTCAGTGCTGTCAAATTTAACACATTTACTGATAATAAAAAGAAAACTTGGAAATTAATTTAATGATCTGTTACAGCCACATTTTAGACTCAGTGATGGTTCAGTCAAAAGTAGTGTGTATAATGTAATGTTAGTTTAGTTAATTTGGGGGCTTTTCCAAGTAAATACTGATATGATGTGATAGTGATTAAATCAGCATGTATTTCTGCCACCCTCTGTACAATTTTTTTTTATTATAATACGGGAGGATGTTAGTTCAGAATTGGTATTACAACATAAACAAATTAACTCAGTCATGTAGGCGTCCCAGTCTCAATAATAATACAAAAAATTGTAGTTCAGTTAATACACAATATTGTTTGTTTTTTTTAATTAGGTAACTAAAATGTTTTTTCAAACCTAGTTTCAGCTTTAACTTTAGTTGTAAATAAGCATGCCTTACAGACACACACAAATATGTATACACACACAAGTGTAGCCTTTTCTTCATCCACATCCACCCAGTTTGTGATATGGGAGCAGCACTAAATCACTGTTCTCCATCAACCTCATTAAATGAAATATGTACTCCAGTGTTTATCTCAAGTGAGCTCATTTGCCTGTCTAACAGGGGTTTAACTGATTACAGAGGCAGCTCCCAGGAGGATGAGAGAAATGCCCTCCTTTAAATCTGTTTTATTGCACATGATGTCATTAACTTTGCAATGGAGCTTGTTTGGTTACATGATGTTCTGTCCAATGACCCAAACTAAACAGATGCATACATCATCTCTGCAACGAGGTGGCAAATCAACAATAAAAACAGTTTAACACTTGAGAATGCTGAAAGGTTTTTATTTTTATTGAAACAACACAATAATACATCAGTGGTAAAGAGTTTACAAAAACACAACTCTCACTCAGTGTCACCCACCGACCTGCAGCGGGACACATGCTCTGGATTTTGGATTCTAGTCTTGTGTGGAGGTGTTTCCCACAAATACTTTTTACAGGCAGAAATACTGCAGCTGGTTGGGGTAAGCTGAGTGTGTGGAGCCAAAGAAGCAGTGTGTACAGTTAGTTTACAAGTCAGAAAACTGGTCCAGTGCAAAGAAGGAAAAGCGGTCTGCAAGGACTTCCTTTTCTATTTTCTAATGAGCATTTGTAGTTTTATTTATTGTTTTAGGAAACAATATGGCTGTGGCTAGTGAGGCATTTCTTCAGTTAGTTTCTAGAGAAGAAAACTTTTCACCTGATTCCAGTGTAATGTTAAATAGCTAGAAACATGACTACTCTGAGGCTGTACTTAAATGCTCACAAGGGTGATGTGGGATATGGTGATAACAGGCATGTTTACCATGTTCATTAGTTTAGCTTGTCAGCAGGCTAACATTAGCTAATTAGCACTAAATGACAGGAATAACATTAGTTTTGTATTTCATTTTGACTGACTGGCTGCTGTGAAAAAGGTCAATTGGACAAATGATAAATTTCACCTGATGAAGTGATGAAACGTCAGAGGATCCCTTAAGTGATTGCAATCGACCCTTTTTGCTCTGTGCTCCAATTACAGTTGAGCAAGCCACATTTTGAAGATGGTTCAAATGTAAGAACGGCATATAGTTAACATCCATTACATTGAGGCCCTTGCTAAACAAGTTCACACAATGCTGATAAAGCTTCCCACCAACAGGTAAACCTCTCTATATTTCACAGATATTTAAATCTGGTGTCTGCGGCAATATCCCCTAGAAGTGTCAGAGAAGTTTCCTCTGAGTGTGCTTTAAATAATGTATAACTGCACTTTTTTGTAACTATTTCTGAACACAAGTCTAGGCCTTTCCAGGCCTATGAGCGTTATGTAATGTCATAAGTATGCAGTGACAGTGTTTGTGTAATCACGTCTTACTGCCAGGAGTGTGAGACAAGGTTCCTTTGACAAAAAGCCAATGAGATTTTTCAGCTGGATTTTGAATTATTGCAGAAAATAATTGTAAAACTTACAAGTTGTAAAGTTTGAGTTAGAATAGTTTGCTTGAGTGCGAGTATTAACACAGCGCAGCTGTAAAGGCGGAGTAGTGAGTAAACCTCTGTGGTCTCACTTAGCCGCTTGTTAACAACCACCTTTGTAAGACGTAAAAGCTTCAACATTCACAGGTGGGGTATTTACTGATGTGTTTTATGTCGTAGAACAAAATATGAAAAATCTGTTAAGCTTGTGTTAACCACAGACCTTATTTCAGGCATCTAACCAAAATCCCATTTAAAAAAAACCATCGACTTTAAGGAGAGGGAACTGAAGGTGCTAAAATGCTAACTCAGTTCTGAGTTTTAGGACTCATTCCTGCAGCGCTCTAGAGTATTAATAAGAATTTCTTGAAATTAGCCTTGTTGATATCATTGAAAGACTTTTTCTTGGCCTTATTTTAAGAACTCTTATCAAGTGAAAACGTTTACTGATGGCCACATTTGCTTACTTTTTTGTAATTTTGCTCATATCTATCATGTTTTCACTTAAATTTTGGTCGGTCAGGGGTCAATTTGATGGCAATCTTTGGCTCCACTGAAGTCAAACTCCAACAAACTCACTCTTTGTTTATCTTTTTTAGCTCCGCCTTAAAGAAGTGTATGCAGAGCTGAAACTACAACATACTCAAACAAAGAATACATAATGAAATTCACTCATATTTACACCAACACTGTAAAATTTAATTCCAGTCAGTAACATACAGGAAGTAACAAGATCAAAGTATCAAAGTAGTGCAAAACTATAAAGATGGGCCAGTTAGAAACAGGCTAATACAAGGAGAAGGTATTTGGCTGAGAATATGAAGGCATCAGAACAATTCCAACAAACTGAAATAAATGTGTGCAGCAGACAAACCTTCCACAGAGGTTTCCTGTCAGTCACTCAAACATAATTTCATATCTGGTCACATTAAACATCGGTTCTGTTCATGTTTGAGACCAAAACGGTCAATCAATAATTGCAATACATTTTAATCAGATTCCTTAAAAGTACCTCAACAATATTTCCTTCTAAAGAAACCATCTTCCGTTCTCTTATGTTAACCTTGTGGTAACATGAAAAGCGAATAAAGTGGCGAAATGAACTTTAAAACAATAAGAGTCAGTGGTTTGTGGATGACAGAATCAAGTAAGCTCTTTGATTAAATACGGACACATCCAAGTCCTCATAACAGTTGAGTATGGAACTCAAGGCAATGATAATACTGTGGGGTCCTTCAAATACTGTAGCATATGCCTCAAGTGCTTCTCGACTCAGTGGAAGGAGCATGGCACTGACATACAGAGTGGAGTTTCAGAACTATTTCTAGTAGACGGAGGTCGTCTTCGGTTGAGCCAAAGAGCCACTAGATTTCAGAGTAAAAGTTAGCCGTCTGGAAAACATGAATGTCAAAGCAGGAACTGTAAATGCACTGACTTCCTTTATACTCTATTATACTACTATATCATTCATGCACTTCTGTAGCCTTGGCCAGTAACCTAGCCCAATGATGATAAAAACGCACAATTCAAAGTTGGCCCCTGCACCCTGGCTCAAGCAGCAATGGTAGAACATGGATTGAGGGAGCGCATTGCCGAAATCAAAGATTTGTTTCTGATCGCACCTCCACACAATCCTGCCAGACCTATCTCCACACAACAATCTGCTTGCTATGTTTTTACCCAACCTCACCCTGTGTGCTGACCAAAGGTTGACACCCAAAAACATCCTCCACACAGCAAAATCAGAAAATACTCTCTGCAGATACAGACACCGCCACAAATTTCTAGTGGGTCACAAGTGATGACTGAGAGGGATTCTGTTGTATGAGTCTATACATTGTTTTTACCTACCTACATAGTATGCTTTTAAACCACAATGGATGGATGGGAATATTTGAACTAATTTTTCCTTTATCGATTCCATGATAAAGGCTGGAAGTAGGACGTCTTCTACTGTCCAAATATGTCTTAATACAAGTTAAACATGTTCATTTATATTTTAAAAGAACGCTGTAATCGCTCCTCCATACTGACTGTGAGGGGATCCTTTTATTAACTGCTCTGTAAGAAATAGTTGACAAAATCCAGAATTTTATACTACTGCTGAGCCAACAAAACAGTGCTACACCAATCTTAGCTACAATGCTAATACTGCTTGCAGTAGATTGCCATGTTTCAGAGACTCAAACAGTTTCTGTAACAAACCTGGTAGTTGCATCTGTTTGCCAATATTTTGCCTGGTCTCAATATGAGGCCAATGTTTTATTGTACAGTTCTGGAAATTCTGAAACACAAATTTACCATCAAGATCGATCGGCTGTGTGCACAAACATCAGTGCAGATCGTGTGAAAGCCCGACAGATTTGAACTTACTGCGGACATCCATGCAGAGCTCCATAAATGAAGGCAGCACCAAAGTTGTTTCTGCACCAGTGTGAATATGCCTTAATGGTGGAGTGAACTTGGAGGCTGAGCTTTGTAGAAGCTGGGGATTACGTTCAGCAGCTTGAATCAATTTTATTTTTTGAGTCCATTTCTACCCAATGGCCATGGCATTAATGTATACATTTGGTTAAAATATCAAATGACTGTTGAGGAACATTGAGGTTAGTGTTAATACGTAATGCTCAAAAGCTGATTTCCACTGGGGCCACTTGTGACTTTAGCCACGCTCAACTATCTAGAAAAAGTCATTCTTTGGCTACACTTCTTATTGACTTGATGAGTTCTGCCTGTCAAATCAACAGCACTGTGCATTCATGAAGTGTGAGGTGAGGTTGCTTTGGATAAAGGCATCCATCGAATGACGTGTGAATTATTTCCAGCTAACCGTAGCTGGGTCCAAACATGGCAGGAAGAGGCAGTGGGACCAAGGTTCAGCAGGTATCAGTGCTGCTGGATGAAAACACACAGTGGCTTTCAGTTTTTGTGGCGGTGTTTGAGTTTTGGACACCAGTCAGTATCTGCATACAGAAGGCAGTGGACAGTCTTAAACCTGCAGGGCGGGAAGAGAAGAGAGTCAGTTACTAACCAAACGTCAAGTGCTCAGCACTTCCCAGAGAACATTAGGTAAATCAAGTTAGGAGACTTAGGTAAAGAGATTAAAAAATCTGTAGAATTGACAATTCAACACATCCTTTGAAAACCTGTCATCTAGATTGTGTTTTCTTGGTTTGATCTGGGCCTCTTAATGAAGGGATACTGTTCCAGCATCATACAGCACAGATTTACCAGTTAGCTGTGGCAGAATATAACTTCCATCTAACACTTTTGGAATGAACTGGAATGCTGGCTGTAAGCCACACCTTATCAGTTGCTGACCCTCACCAATGCTGAAATGAAGAAAATCCCTGCAACCAGGTTCCAAAAGTGGTGGAAAGTCTTCCTAGAAGATTGGAGGCTGTTGTAGTAGCATATTAATTCCCATGGTTTTTTAATCACATATTTATGGAAGCATATTGTATTCACTTGAAAAACTTCTGTCTTTGTGGTCCATGCCCACAGCTGAGTGCACCAGCAAAGTACCAAGAGTTAAAGGCTAGAGGAAACAGAGCCCTGCATTGGTCAGCTGGAGCTTGCTGGAAGCTGTCTTAGGCCTCAGTGTAGGGGTTTTGGGTCAGGATTAGAGGGCTGAGAGCACTGTGGGACCACTGGAATATGCAGGAAGATGGATACAGGATTTGGGTTAGGCTCAGGGAGGCTGAGAGCCAGCCATAGGCATGGAGAGCATGCTAGAGGCATCATGTTAATTCAGAAAACAGGGCAGAATGTTTGTTTTTTTATTATGAAAAATGATATCAGAATTATGAGATAATGAGTCATTAATTCAGAAAAACAGAGCAGATTTTCTTTCAAGAGAATGCAATACATTTCCATGCATATTTAACTCTCGTGTATGACTGGGACATACTGGCCATATTGTATACTTTGCACTACACTACAGTGCTAAATCTCTACATTATATAATTTTCCCAACGAAACTAACAGACTGTAAAAGTACCACAAATAGCTCTACACTACGAGAACATTAAGCAAAATTCTACAACAAGCTGAGAACCTCAATGATTTAGAAGCTTTTTTAAAATATGAGTTTAGTTTAACCCTAGCTTGTCTCACAGTAGTGTATGATAATAAATGCAGAACAGAACTATGGTCGAGTGCAGTGTATGGGGGAGCAAAAGAGCAATATTGCAGTGTTTTGGTATCAATATGCTTACCTTGTGGGGTCTTCAGCCAGTGAAAAGCCCCCAACAATGCTGACCACATTTCTTCTGTTCTCAAAGCCTCCATAGCTAAGAGTCACCTGTTGCAAAACAAACAAATATACACAGTTCAACTTTCTTTAATCAATGGAACAGCTTCTGATGCAAAAATCTGTCACATCTGAAAATTATAGGGTTCACTGCCACATTTGCTCAAGATGTGAAATGTCATTTCATACTGCACACACACACACACACGCACACTCACACACACACACTCACACACACACTCACACACACACTCACCTGCTCCAGCACAGTGTCAGTGGGCAGCTTCTGTAGGTTCTCCAGGTGAGAGTGGAAGAGGTGTGTGTGTGTTAGGGTCACCTCCAGCAGTGCTTCAATGATGTAGCCGATGGTGCAGTCGTCTGGTAGTCGGATCTTCTCCGCTGTGCTGATGAAGTTCCCCAAACTGAAAGCAGAGGGCAGAGTTTAAGCCTACCAAGCCTGTCTGCAACTTCTTTCAGTTTCCCTTTCAAAATTCCAGACTTCTTACAAGTTTTTGTCCGACTATATTTGACATGGTAAATGGTAAATGGACCTGTACTTGTATAGCACCTTTCTAGTCTTCCGACCACTCAAAGTGCTTTTACACTACATGCCACATTCACCCTTTCACACACATTCACTCAGTGATGGCAAAGTCCATTGAACACAAACTAACCAGTCATACACATTCACACACCAAATTCCTACACATCAGGAGCAATTTGGGGTTAAGTATCTTACTCAAGGATACTTCGACACATGGCCGAACCAACAACCTTCCGATTAGTGGACGACCCACTCTGCCTCTGAGCCACAGCCGCCCCACCTTAGTACAAATATTTTAATGACTTTTTTAGGTAAATGAATGATTTTAAAATCCAACTGTTAACATGTACGTTACATTCTGACTCTGTATGCCTGTCTGTGCAGCCTTGTTTATTCACTGTGTCCATGGAAACAATGATGAACGCAACCCCCTGCTCTCTCATGCAGTGATAAACATTTTGGCTGCCTTTTCCAAACACCATGACAAAGACTCTGCTTGTATGATTGATAACAACAACGCACCTAACTCACAATAAGACCTGAAGGCAGGGTGCTGGATCCTTAATGTTTTTAATAATATTAATAAAGAAAGACTAGGATAGCACTCCAATTACAATTATTAACTTCGCCACACAGATGTTGGGGTAATCTCCCTGCGTTTGTTTTGTGTTAACATTTAACAATACATAATGATTTTAAACAATGGGGGCGAGGAAAGAACCCATTTCCCTTTTAGTTCACTATGCATCTAAGCCATATTATATGCTATGCGGAACCTCATTTTCTACCACTACATGCAACAAAATGAGTACCTGGCTCAGTTCAAACATTAGTTGAGTACCTAATCCTAGATGTCCTACCTGGCCCATGGGCTCATTTTTAGTGCCAGACCTCTGCTGATACAGAAACCTGCTCCACCTGTGGCAAACCAGAACTTGACAGACACCTGAAATGAGAAAGGATCAGCCAGCTGTTAGGGGTGTAATAGTCACATAACCCAGTTAACATTCTGAAGCCTGGATTTAGCTTTATTGCTCACTCCTATATTTGTCAGTTAGTGGAGCCAGAAACTCCTAATAAAAGGTGTAAGCTGACTGACCGATCCGTCACTCTTGACCCTCTCTGCAGCCTCTATAGGATGATCCAGACTGGGCCGGCCCAGGTACACATCCTGGCTGTGGTGGTAGGAGGAGAGCAGATGCAGCAGGCTGGGCAGGATCACATAGTTATCATCATCCACATGACAGAACCACCTGTAAAACAAACACACAGACACACACACACAGAGTCAGTGTTGTATCTTAATTTGTAGGTGAATGTGTGTCGTGATGGTTGCCTTGCAATCAACTGCTTGAAATGTAATCAATACCTCTAACAGTTAACAGTCTGCTCAGATCAGATCACTTTGCACTTACTTTTTCTGAGACTCAATGAATTTGTCGTACTCTACAGACATCTTGCAGCATAGAGCCTGCCGGGTGTGAGCTGCTGAGCAGTTAGTGTTGATGATGTTAGCTCCTGGGAAAAGACAGCAGACGACAGCACTGTATACAGTATCATACTGTTCCTACAGTCATCATGCATCCCTAGTTGGTAGCAGATGGTTCGCCTACAGTACAAAAGCACTGGAGATACTGTACATCATAAATGTTACCATTCGATGTACATGACTACATATTCCTGTGACACATACACTGCAGTACAAACACTGTACTATTTGAACTACAATTATTAAGAGGATGTAAATCTGCACATCTGCATTGATCTACCTCTGTGCTAGCTAGACACAATTAAAGAATTTCTCAATTTGGACCAAATAGTTTTGCATAATTACTCAAATGTAATTGGCCCCTTTTACCCCAAATGTTATACTCAGTGTAAAACATTATTTTTTGTGCTTTACATCTTTATGCCCTATCTTCATTCTGTTCTTCATTGTTGAAACAACGGGTTATTATTGTTTCTGATCTTTGGCCACACAAAATGAGTCAGGAAACTGTCCCACTTCATACCTGTTCTCAGCCGCAGCTCCTTGTCCTCCCCGTCAGTGAATATGTAGGTCTAAAACAAAAGGCACACTGTTAAAAATGTTAGTGCAAGCGCACACACACATTCTTGCACTCCTACTGGGACACAATGAAGAGATCCATTGTTTGCTCTTGTTGTTGAGGATGTGTGTGAAGTCGTGAGAGGAAAAGCAAAGACAGAACAAAAAATGACACACACACACACACACACACACACACACACACACACACACACACACACACACACACACACACACACACAGAGAGAGAGAGAGAGAGAGAGAGAGAGAGAGAGAGCACATTTTACAACTCTCCTCGGTGCTTCAACTTACTGCACTTTTACCAACAGGTGTGCTGTGGAAACGAGTACCAAATCAGTCCAGTATTTTACAGAAATTACAAGAACATGAACTGTATGCTTCTTTTCACCTTCTCATCTCTCTTTGGGTTATGTTGTGCAAATAAAATTTAAGTTAAATTTGTGGTCAACTGCTCCTGCTACACTGGCTCTAGTTCTAATTTGCCTTATAATAAGAAATCTCTATTAAATCTCAATTAAAAGTACTGCTCTAGCGCCAGGATCAGAAAAACCTGGACGATACCCTACCCTTCCTGTTAGTCACCTATAGTGTACGACAGGCAGACGCGTGCATGTTCAGCCTCTTCAGAGCCATGCAGGCAGGTTATTTAATAGATGCTACCCTTAAAGGCATCATTTGTCTCACAATGTGATGATACCTTCTCTACACACCACACTGACTATTACAGTAGAAGAGCGACACGACACACTGACATGTTCACATTAAAAACAAAGTGGTGTGAGCAGCTTTTAATTTTACAGGCAGTTGTAAACATGAAGGGCAGACTTTACTGACTTATGAGCAGTAAAGTAAAATGGCAACAGGCCTGTAATGCCTCCCAGTATCTCATAGTAAATGATTAGTTAAAGCTGGCAGCTAACACAGAACAGACTCACAGTGGAGCCCTTTCACAGCGGACCTGGACCCAGAGCCAGTATACTGGGAGCACACAAACTGACCTGGAACTCCTCCACCCTCTCTGGCTGTGACATTTCTGAGTGAAGTGGGACAGAGTGTTTCTGCAGTTAAACCTCCTTCTGTCCACACTGAGGCTCTTTGTCCAGCAGTGGGACTTACTAATTGCTTTTAATAGAGCTCAAAGCAGAGCTGGTCACAGTGTTGGATACTGTATATGAGGTACTTAGTACCACTTTGCACCAAAGCCTTTCTTCATTCACATTTGACTTTGAGCATTAAAACTGGCCATGTCATGTTTGTTGAATATTAATGACTCTCTAGTGGACAGTCCATTTGACAAGATTGTAAACTTAAACTGGTTTCTTGCTGTCTCCAGCTGCTCAAAATAGAGCTGCAACAGTTAGTTAGACACAATTTCCTTCAATCAGCATTTTTCCAGCAAAAATACCACAAATTCTATAGACTCAGCTTCGAACGTGTGAGGAGAGGGTGTTTGTCTTGGTCTTTTTCTTTGACAGTGAATTGCTAATTTTGCCCGGTCAGGTAAGTGAGTCAGAAATCTACTTTCCTGAAGTAAATGTTTTCTTGCCCATATAGGAATAGTTTATTACTGGTTATCAAATAACAACAAAGACTCTCTTAGCTGCCATGCAAGCAAGACGCTGTTGGCTTTTGTTATGGCACATTTTTTGTCTTTGAAAAACCCACTTTATCCACCTTGCTCTCAAACTTGATACAATCTTCTTAAGCCAGCCGCCATTTTCTCAACAATACTGAGATCTGACATAGTAATACTGAAAAATGCTGCAGAGAATAACAGGAAAAAAAAAAAATATATATATATATATCTATTGTTTGTAAGCTCCTACAGCTTAATGATAATTTCAGTTGGTAGAAAGATGTTTAAAATGACTGCTACATACCCCGTAATGGTTCCTGTGTCTTGTAAACATTGTGCTTTATTGATCCTCAATCACACTCCAAACTCCCCTGTCCCAAATTTCTCCACTTCCATCATCAGCTCCAGAAAATTCCTTCTTTTTACCACTTGCCTGATCGGGCAAATGAGTTGTTAAATTTACTAACCTAACGTTGCATTTTACTTGCCTCAAGCTAATTTTTGGACATTTTATGAACAAAATAATCTATAAATAGCCAAAAAAATTATTGGCAGATCAAACAATAATAAGAGTCATCATTAGCTGCAGCTCTAGTTCAAAAGTTTGAGTGTTTAGAAAGTGTTCCTACAAGTCCGGTCTACAGCAAAACTAATTCTCAGTATATGGCATTTTCCTTCACAGCTGCACCACATTAGAACAAGCAGAAATTCAGTATATATGTAGTCATAGAAATGTACCAATCAGAACATTAAAGGCTGTACACACTTTCAGATCACCCCAACAGATGTTTCTATTTTGTGTAACTAATAAGACCTCTTCTCGAATTGTGAGGGTTATGGGTAGGGTTAGGGTAGAAGTTCTGAGCATGTTTAAGACTTCTTGCATATGTTGGCTTAAAGATTTTGTTTGACAACAGTTTCTCAGCTTAGAAATGAATTGTGAAGCTCAAGTATGAAACTGTTCTGTCATATTGGAAGAGTCAGCGCTGTGGTGTGGTGAGTGATGAGTGTGTATTGATATGATGTAGTATGGTGGTTGGTGGGGCAGACACTCTTGCATTAAGAGAAGGAACATGGCGCACACGCACACACACACACACACACCTGAATTTTAAGTATTGGGTATTATCCAAAGCGAAGAGCAACATACAGCTGTTGAAACTGTTTCCACGATAAACAACTTGTCTGATAGAGGGGACTCTGACACAGAGCAGATGAGGGGCGAAGTCAAGATTTATTTTCTTATAAATGTCCTGTGGTTCCACTAAATGTCAATGAGGACAAACTCTAACCGCATCCACAAGGAATCTCTGGTGGTGATAAGTTAACACCCCAAAAACCACCCTAACAGACACAGGGTGTATGCAAGCAAGGGCCAAATCCATTAGCACCAACCATCATTTTATAAGCCTAAATCCATGTAAACTAGTGGAGTCCACATGGTCATCAAGGTCCGCTGCTTCCTGCACCTTGCCTCACGCACCACAGGAGCAGCTACGCGCTGCAGGAATGTGTTTATATGAGATTCTGCTTATTTAAAGATGTGCTCTGAATGTTATGACCTGCTTATGCTAATGATCACAACTCATTAATTATTATAAAAGGGCTTTTAGATCATGTACCACACCCCTGGCTATACCACCTTAGAAGGCAGACTTCAGGCTATGGCATATTTGGCACTTCTACGATTTGACGTATACATACTTTTCCTGTAAGTAAGTCCCTTTGGATAAATCTGTCTGCTAAATGGATGTTATGGGCTGTAATGTTTTATTTTACAAAGATGTGCCCATACAGCTTTGATGAAAATGCCAAACTGAGATGGATGAGACTGACCCTGAAACAGAGTACAATATTCAGCCAGCAGCATCTTAATGGCAATCTTCTCCTTGAAAAACTAGCTAAAATGATACCAAGTGTATAACAGCATGATTACAACAAGGACTACAGTACCATATTTTCCGGACTATAAGTCGCACTTTTTTTCATAGTTTGGCTGGTCCTGCGACTTATATATGAAATTTAACATGTTTTAAGGCTTAACCAAAGCACGACATCTCAGTGAACCGGAGCTTTAAGGCAGTCTTTGGTCGCCTGTGGGAGGAGTGGATGGTGGATGGAGAGCACAGCTTCACAGCAACCGGAAGGATGCGCCATGCAACTTTCCAGCAAGTCATTGGATGGATCGACACAGCATGGACTTCAGTGACAACCGAAACCATGTGTTTAACTTGCATTTCCTAATTGAATGTCTGTTCTTGGTCTTGGATGCTGACTTATAGTCCGGAAAATACGGTATATATATAATCTGTTGATTATTTTTGGATTGGTCATTTGATCTCGAAAACTTGCCCACTGCAATGTGTCTGAGCCCAAAGTGATATCTTGTTTGTTTTGCCTGACAAACAGTCCAGCTCTCAATATATGCACATATATGTGTGTGTGTATATATATAAAAATGATATAAAACAGAGAATTTAATAAGTTGAAGCCAAATAAACAAATAAGTAAGTCCAGCTGTCCTCACCTGTTCTTTAGCTTGGGAAACCCAAGTCTGAATCAGCAACTCTAATCTGGACTTGTGGTACTTCCTGGTAGTCTTCACTGCAATAAAAATGTCCTTAAAGTCTAACAGGTCCCGAGACCTAGACCCAGATAGTCCACCACCCTTTCCTCCAGGGAGAGCCCCTCTTTTCATCCCACTCTTGAGAATATTGTTATTATTCATGGTAACGTCAGTCTGAATAGATCCCCCCTGCCCCGCTGAGCTCCCATTGAGCCCCGTGGCGGATTCAGTTTCTCCTGCATGGACAGACACTGCTGGAACATGGTGTGACGAGCCTGCCTGTGCAGGTCTCACTTGGGGTCGGGGCTGAGGCAGGTCTACCTGGCGTGCTGGGGGCTGCAGGGCAGGGATGAGCAGAAGCAAGAGGCCACAGAATGCAAGGGAGAACAGGAAGCAGAACTTGCTGACACCCACTGATGCTATGTGCATCCTGACTGGCCGATGGAGCAGGTTCATCAGCCTCCAGGGCTGCAGTCAGTCCCGACACCACCCTGTCCCATCCTCAAACCGTCACATGGAATCCTGCACAGAAAGAGGGAAGATTATTTAGAGGCATGTTTAATATATATCATGTGATGTTAGAGAACGTCTAACATTTTGATTTTGCTTGTTTATTTCCTTGTCACAAATCACTCTTCCACAGTTCATATGAGAACAATAGATGAGGCAGGGATGCAATGCAAAGAAAGCATTTACCCACAGCTACTTTAATCTGCTGACCTTCCTTTCTCTTCCCCTTACACACGCTAGCAACTCCGCACTGCTCTGCGCGCACACACACGCACACACATATATTACTTTGCACTACAATTAGACTGCTTATTTATACATTTTCTATACATTTTTTATATTGCATTTTATATTGAATTTTTTGATATGTCTGTGTGTAGTTACTGTGTGTAATGCTGCTGCTACACTGCAATTTCCCAGCTTGGGATCAATCAAGTATATCTATCTATCTATCTATCTATCTATCTATCTATCTATCTATCTATCTACACACACACACACTCCTACTACAATGGGCTATACATTCATATTTTACTTTTTATGTCATGCTTAATTGAACATTTGCATCTACATAAAAGGAGAATAATAATCAATTATCAGGGATAATCAGAGATGTCCCTGCTTTTTTCAGCAAAATGTATGCCACGCCACTTTCAGCACGTGTGGCTTTGTAGTAAAAGAGTACAGTACTAAACTGACCTCTGCCTGCACTTCAGAACCATCTCCCATTGAAAATGTGTGGCAGATTATGAAGTGCAAAATACGACAACAGAGAGCCCAGACTGCGCTTGCTTGTGCCCCCCAAAATAAAACCTCCCACAAATCTGTTTCCAATACTGGTTTCTGTCCCCCACAAAGGGCCCTGTTTAGTTACAAAACGGAGGACAGGATTCCCCATTGAGCCCCACCAGCAACAGAAAGACACTGATGTGGGGAGTGTTCATACTGGTCTGATTTGGGTAAGTCATCAGTCAGAGCCAGCAGTTTATCAATGAGTTCACTCAAGTCACATCTGATAGCCAGGCTTCCCCACAGACTGGAGCATATGTACTGGTTGCAGGGACACCTCAACAAACAGAGTGGTTGTTCTCTCTCTCCTTCCCCATAGGGCTACAACTAACCATTATTTTCATTATCAATTAATCTGTCCACCATGTTCTCGATTAATCGATTAGTTGTTTGGTCCATAAAAAGTGAAAAATGTTCACTGTTTCCCAAAGCCAAAGATACTCAATTTACTGTCATAGATGACGAAAGAAACCAGAAATGTTTACATTTGAAAAGTTGAAAAGTTACTCAAAATGATTAGTTGATTAACAAATAAGTTGGCAATTAATTTAATAGTTAGCCATCAATGCAGCTCTAGTTTTACTTTTCAGGTTGTTTTTGTAAAGTTCTCTGTCAACACTGAGAATATAATTAAATCTCTTCTTTCAGTTGGAAAACAACTAATGCTGAAACAATTATAGAATTGATCTATTAATGGACAGACAGAAATTATTGGGCAACAATTCTGAATTTTCCGCTTCTCAAATGGCTTTGCTATTTTTTGTTTCTTTTTCACAGTTTTCTTTGTTTATCATGGTAGTGTTGGTCAGACAAAACCACAATACATCTGTCACTGTAGGCACTAGCCAAATTATGATGGCATTTTATACACCAAATGATTGATAGAAAAATAATCAAGAGATTAATCAATAATGAAAAAAATAATTAGATGTCACTCGACGAACCATAAAATTGTGCATTCGATTTTTAGAGCTGCAACTATCTGGCGATTAATCAACTATTTTAATAACTGATTAATTGTTTTGAGTCATATAGTTAACTGAATATCTTTGGCTTATGGACTCTGGCTTTTTCACAATTTTCTGACATTTTATGGACCAAACAACTAATTGATAAATTAAGAAAAATTCTCGACAGGTCAGTCAATAATGAATGAATGAATATTTGTTAGTGGCAGCCCTAATGACCATAAATACAGGTTAATAAGACATATGGCAATTCAACATGGAAGGCGACCGCAGCATCTGTAGATGTAAACGGCTCTTTCTAAGTTAACAAAAACACAACAACTCTAATTTTCAGGTGGTTATACACTAATGAAAACGTACTTTATGAATATTATATTTCATTTCTGACAATAGATCCTCCTAAATGTTACACACTGGACCTTACACCAGCATGCTGTGGACATGCTTAAAAGTGCTGAAGGTTTTAGTGGTGGTGTTCTGTAGCTGTCCATTACCTCCCAAAAAGGACAATGGTATGGGGTTGTTGAAGGGCAAGAGAGGAGAGTAGGGGGCAATAATTTATTATTATTATTATTATTAATATTATAAAATTACTATAAATAAATAAATAAAATACATTATACGGGATGGTTTCTAGTCAGGCAACAGCTGTAATTTATACCTAGTCCACATTTAAAGTTTATATATTGTGTCAAAATCCCTTTGCTATTCCATTGTAAAGACAACAATCTCTTTCAAATAAGTTGTGCTACAGATGCAGATATACATTCATTAGATTGCGTCCCATAAAATAAGGAAGTCTGGTTGCTAATCTGCGTAAAAAACAAACCGGATACTCTAATCACAGCCACTGCCTGACATAGTTTAATGCTAACACTCAAGCTAGCTTTGGTAACTTGCGTACCAAACAGCTATACTACTTCCGTTTAAAAAAACGTAAATTTAACTTATCGTTTAATTATGGAAGAAGTGATTATAAGCGTCAAAGAGACATACTGATACATTCGGCATGCTTATAACTTACCAAGCAACTCTAACTTCCGTTTACATTTGGTTAACGCTAGAGCTTAAACACTGTTGAGCGGAGAAAATGTGTGAATTCTGGCATAACAGAAGAATTCTTCTCATCAAAATAACGTTGTATGCGGACTGAACAGTGCTCCTCAAATCGCCATACGTTTTATGATGTGTTCAAACTGTACTTCGCTTTCTGTGTTTTGTTCTACGAGACACAAATCAGCCTCTAACAAGCGCACTCTAACGTTAAAGAGAAAGGTTTCCAAGTGGAGTTTGGCGTGGTGAAAGAGCTTTAGAAAGAATGGCATTTGGGACTTCGCTGCAGCACTTACCATGAAATATATCAGAGGACACATTTGACTTCTTTTTTCAGCATGGTGTTTAGGTCGCTCGGGAAGCCGCGAAGCGTTTACTAAAACACAGCTAGCTTGGTGGAAAAAACATTCTTTAGTTTCGACGGTGTTGAATTAAGAACGCCACCGGACCCACTGCTCGACTCTTCCTTTTTGTTCCGACCTGACTTTAAATTCACATCAGTTGTCGTAGTTCCTCTTCTGCCCTCTCGGTTTATATCGTCGGCCGTATTTGGCGTTTAGGAAGCTGTTTAGAAGACCTGTACAAGAACAAGATTACTTTCACTGCCATCCCGACCGCTTCTTTTCAACCAAATATTCCACAACCCACTAAACTCATCTCGGACCGCCGTGCCAAGCTAGCTACGATAATAAACTCGTTATTCCGGTGAAATATTTCAAAATAAAAGATTATCGTCAGCAAGGTAGGTAAAGCGAGATGGCCTGACGAGACACCGACAGTAACTTTCACAAAGATCAAAAAATAAAAACTTTATACTGTGATAAAAGTAAGAACATGTAAATTCAGCGTTACCCATAGTGTTTCTCTCTATTAGTTACATTGTTACAAACATAATGACTGCATAATAACAAAATCATTTATTACAATTGTTGGTGTCAGTCAGTCGTATTGCCCACTTATTAAACATTATGTCACGTTCCCTCTTTTATAGGGTTTTAAGTATGAATATGCAAAAGCAATTATTATTAAAAAGGAATGCTTTTATTCTTAAAAGAAAGTGTACTTCTGGTATTGCTCCGAGTAACTCTCGTCAATGCTCAGTCACTGTTTATGATTCTTCTAAAGTTGACTCTTTCAGTTGCAGCTCAGCGCCCTCTGCCGGTCGTGATAAAGCAGCACTTCACTGTCTGCTTCATTGTGTTCAGTTCTCTGCACAGACCTTCATTGTGCTTAAATGATGGGAAAATCTGCGACCATAATTCAAAAGGTTGCAAATGAATGAGAGACATTCTTACTGCATGCACTGTATTTAACACATATATAAGAGTATACACACTAGTGGAATTGGAATTAATTAGATTCACTTACACATTATAACAATACAAAATTATGGCCGTATTCTTGCAATATTGTGTATTTTTCTTATTGAACAACAAATCTCATGTATTTCAAATCAACAATGAATGCATCTAAAAACAATGTGTCCTCTCCCTCTGTGCCACTGTTCTTCTAAAACGATTACAAAAACTGTTTATCAGCCTCACTGTTGCACTGGGTGACATGTTTCAATGTTGAGCTTGTACTATGTATATGTGATGACTTTTGGAGCAGTGGAGTATATCATCCCTCATAGACGACCATTCCTTAACATAACATAAAACTGAGACTATGTTCTCTTCACATACATACATTTCTCTTTAGTGAAAATAGTCCATCTATAATCTAATAATAATCCATCTGTCCCAGAGACAACCAGCTGGCAACCCCATACGTAAACTCAGACCGAATCCTAAAGGCTGGGTAGAGGGGTTCAGTAAAGGTGCAGTGGAAGGTGTGGATGTGGCTCAGTGAGTCATGGGAGACTTTATAGAAGGACACAGTACCAGCTGGCCAGTCCACATATACTGCCACTGTGTTCCAGACAGTGGAGGGGGCAGGTTTGCGTATGATTTTGACTCTGTTATTGTGCCAGACAGAGTAACTAACGGCAGAGCAGTCCAGACTCCAGGACCTGTCATTCCCTCCGATACAGCTGTCATCACTGAATCCACTCCTTTTGATTCTTTTGTAAGTCACTCCTACAGACACCAGCCCTGCCCAGCTGACCTCCCAGTAACACCGAGCATTAAGAGCATTTCTACACAGCAGCTGGTACCAGGACTGGAACCTCTCTGAATGATCAGGATATTGCTGCTGCTCCTCCTCAACTGTCACCATGTCGTTCTCTAACAGGACCAGCTTCCTGTGTGCTGTGTCTGGGTCCAATGTGAGTTCACAGGCATCTGATGGAGAGAAAAGGGTATTATAGCAGCAGTTATTGACTACACTGTAAAAAAAAACAAATGTATTGTATTGTATGTATTTTTATGGTAAAAAACTAGCAGCTGTGGTTGCCACAAGTTTACCATAATAATAACGGTAGAGCTCTTTTTACTACTACAGTAAAAGGATATTAGTATTGTTAAATTTTAATCTATATTTTACCATATAAACAGTTTTGCCATATGAATTTACCATATAAATCATATGACAGTGATTTTCTGTGCAATTTACAGTCTGTAATACTAAAAAATAACTTTATTCGATATAAATTCCAGTTTTTGCCATGAGATATCCAAGTGTTTTACAAATTTACCTACTGAGAGTTTATGGTCTTTTACTGTCATGGTTTGACAGTTTTTCAACGTAAAATTTACAGACATTTTTTACAGTGTAAATTAACTTGCTGTGTGTGCACTTGTGGGAGAGAGGGACTGACATGCAGCAAAGGGCAACAGGTCAGATTCGAACCCTAGGCCACTGCAGCAAGGACTGCCTTGGTACATGGGGCACCAGCTCTACCAGGTGAGCTATCTGTCTTGCTTTTTAACAGATTTCTTCTACATATAGAAGAAATTAAACAGAGTAGAGGAAGAGGTCGAAATTACAAATCACTTAGCTGATTCGCTGATAATGTACATCATTTTTCAAGGTTAGCACATGACCATTCAAATGCTTTTCAGTATGTAAATCAGTAACAGTTACCATTCATAACACTGTCAGGTTACAGCGCTGCCTTTGACTGTTCAGTCTGTTGATGGTTTGAACTGTTTAGTTCAGTACAAAATCAGCTGATATTAGAATATTTTGTAAGGTTAATAACCCAGCAACCACCTGCAGTATCTGTAACAGAGGTCCAGGAATGCTCAAAATGAACATGTCCTGTTAAAATCCACCAGCAGACCCACCAGAGCAACTTCAAATGGATGGTTCCATTCTGTAAAATATATTTTGCTCAGACAGCTTTTTCTGTCAGAGGACCAAAGTCCTGGAACTTGTGAACTGATTACTTGAAATGTGTTACTTTTGCTAAAAACACATGTTTTTAAAAAGTTCTACATTCATACAAACATGTTGGGAAAACGATCCTCGTGCACACAGATCTGTGAAAACGTTGTAGTATGCATGCCAGGCCAGTAGGTGGCGGTGTAACTTTGCAACTCAACACAACAGAAGAACACCGCAGGCCAGCATGCAAACGCTTTCCTCTAAAGTGTGGTGAATATAAAGAGGAAGAGAAGATGGTGAATGGATGCTGAAAACAGATGATTTTATCTGGATGGATGATGAAGTGTTGTTGTTACTCAGTGTTGACTGAAAATATAATACTCATGCGCGAAGTGGGGCCATGTGGTCATCGTTTTCACAGCAAATGCGTTTTGACAGTTTACATGGCGATGTTACCATTTCCAAAAAACGGTGTCTTTTTTTTCGTTTTCCGAATTGGCATCTGCACAAACTCTATGATGCTTGCTTCGGACAGCTACTTTCAGTCTGTCTGTGTTTACTGTGTCTGTCCCTGTCAAATAAACCATAAATAAAAACCCACCATGTTGAACTAGGGGTGGGCGATATGGGCAAAAAATAATATCTCAATATTTTTTGGGATTTTGGCGATAACGATAATCAGTCGATATCCTTCAAAATGTGATTAGAATTGTCTGAGCTGGACTTGTGTCCACCAAACGCATTTACAGCGCTGAGAGCGCTCAAAAACTCATTTTCCGAGCGCCCAGCGGTGTTAAAAGTTGAACAGATTTCAACTTGAAGTGCTCTGAGCGCTGCGCTAAAAAAAAACGTCTCTGCTGACATCTTTTTACCGCTGAAGGCGCTTAGCGCTCTGAACGCTGAAGCCCATAGGACCCACGTCTCGGCACTAAATCATCTGAAGTACCGGTAGCTTCAGGGACTGGAGGTGTTTGCATTTTCTCTCTATCATCACAACACGCTGCTAAACTGTTTGCAAGGAGGATGCTAGCGAGAGGTCAGCCCACTAGTTGTGTGACTGAATCCTGCCATGCTGTAGAGAGCGTTGCTGCACCGTGTATTAATGGATGTGAGGAGTTTCCGCGGGCGTTTCATTGTTTTTGTCGAAGTAATTTAAATACTCGATAGTGGAAATTTGCACATCGTCAAAACAACAATGACGATATTATCGCAAACGATATATATCGCCCACCTCTATGTTGAACAACTATAGTTTGTTGTATCCCAGTATCCCAGAACAGACAGTGTCATCCTACACACTTCACAGCCTGTTGTCATTCCCAACTTGATGCAAGCAAGCAGTTTTCAGTTAGTTACAATCTACAACTTCACCACAAGATACCACTAAAACCTACAAACTAGTCCTTTAAGATCCAGAATTACATAATGCAGTTGATCATATTCACTTTCAAAAGAGTTTAAATGGATGGCATGCCTTTGATGAGTTTCTGTCTAAATAGTTGAAAATATTCAGGTTTGCTTTCATAAATAAAACTAAAAACACTTACACTTCCTCAGCCCTGGTTTCAACCATTGGACTCCAAGATGGCCCAACCTGGAAGGAGATTAATGGAGTCAAAACAGCATAATCTGTTTTGTTAATGGAAGAAATATGGATAGTAAATTGTTTTCATACACACTTTTTTGTTTGGCTTATTTCCAATACCTGTACTATAAATGATTTTTTTCATTTGAATTTCTAAGGCAGTTCTTTATAAAAGCAAATAGCTTTTGACCTCTCCTGCACTACAGTACAGTAATGCGTATTTCTCATACCTAAATGTATCTATAAAACACAAGTTGACAGTATGACTGAGAAAATAGTTCTCAGGTCTAGCACCTGTACCAGACATTGGCTGTAGCTGGCAGCACTCCCTTTCTCCCTACCTGACAGTGTCCAGCCTCCAGTGTGGATCCTCCAGTCCAGCAGACAACCCCTTTACTCCTGAGTCTCCTGGATGATTGTAGCTCAGATCCAGATCTCTCAGGTGAGAGGGGTTGGATCTCAGCGCTGAGGCCAGGGAAGCACAGCCCTCTTCTGTGAGCATACAACCTGACAGACTACAAACATCCACAACCAAAAGACGATACCAGTCAGATAAGGAAATCATAAGCAGTGGCGGTTCTATCTTGAACGACACCCTGGGCAAGACCCCCTTCGAGCATAAGTGAAGCAGAGAATCATATTTCTCGATTGCACAAATCCTTCATCAGAACAACAACAACATTTTTGTAGCCATTTCACACAATTCAGAAAAAACAAAAATGTGCATGAACTATGCCTGTATTTATTATATTATGAATGAAATTCATAATGGGCACTGACTGGAGAATTAACCTAACCTATATGTTTTGATGGAGCACCTGGAGGAAACCCACGCAAACACAGGGAGAACGTGCAAACTACACATGGAAAAGCCACTGAGGTGACCGCGCTAACCACTGAGCCACCGTATTGCAAAAGGGCACTTTTCAGGTGATTGAATGAACTATCTGTCTATCACTGTCTAATCACAGGCAAACTTCAACCAATCAGTTAACTGAACCATTTAATGTAGTCAAACACCCGACTTACCGGTCGGACTCAGGATAAGAGCGAAAACATATCTTCCATCGAGAAAAGCTTTCAGTTCCGTTCTTAGCTAACTATATGAATTGTAAGCTTCCCACTGGTGCTGAGAATATCAGTGACAGAAAACAAAAATATCACCTGTAATAATATTTTGAAAGTTGTTGGATTGTGGAAAATTTTGCCTATGTTTCTTCAATCCCCTACAAGGAACTTTCATGGCAGGTATTAAAAATATTATATAAATTAGGAATGTCCTATAATATCGGCCCTCCGATATTATCGGCCGATATTCACTTAAAAATTTAATATCGGGAATTATCGGAATCGGGTTTTTATAACCGATGTTTGTTCTGTAGGCTTCAGCATTTCCGAGCCTGCATGAACACAGCATGGGACGTTTACCGGCGTGCGCTAGATGGCGTATAACAACAACAACTACACACTAGACTGGTTGGTTGCTAACCGTGGCTAACAAGCAAACAATTTAAAGCTGAATGATTTTAATATTAACACAAAATAAGTGCAATGCACCTTAAATATTTGACCCTGCTATGAGCTGTTCCTTAACCAAACTAACAATTGGTTAGAATTTACTTTAGAACTCCTTCAGGTACATAATACAATTAAACACATTAACCAAAGCTAGCGCTTAGCAATTAGCATCAGCGCTCTTTTCAGTATTAATACAATGAAAGTTGAAGTTGTTCTCTTATTGTGCACAGACAGTGTTTACATTTGGAAAGCCATGTTGCATTTATGTATGCATCCAGTGGGGCATCACAATAAAATGAGGCATAATGTGTTAATTCCACAATAGGAGATATGTTATGTTGTTACCTAACAGTTTTGGTGTAAAAAGCCTGCATATATCGGTATCGGGTGATATCGGTATCGGAAATTGAGAGTTGGACAATATGGGAATATCAGATATCGGCAGAAAAGCCAATATCGAGCATCCCTATATAAAATATATATAGAAATAGACAATTTTCTCTTCCTTGTCTTGTTTGTTTATGTAGGTAATAAAGGCACCAGTATTAAAACAAGACTGTTTCATAACCAGTTAATAACTCCTTGTAGTATGTTTAACCAATGTAGGAAAGTTGTGACCACAAATGATACAATTATCTGAACAGACTGAAGTAAATAGTTAACATAAAATGTTACGATAGTTACGATATTTTGGTGCAAAAAAGCATCATCAAGCCGATCTAACCTGAGAGTTTCCAGGGTGCAATGTGGACTCTGAAGTCCAACAGACAGCAGGCTCACTGCTGAATCCTGCAGGTCATTGTTACTCAGGTCCAGCACTCTCAGACTAGAGGACTGGCTGCTGAGAAGTGAGGCCAGAGCTTTACAGCTTTCATTTAACAGGTTACAGCCATTCAGCCTGAAGAAAAATAATGAATAAATAACTAAGGTCAATGTAACTCAGGGCCCAAAGTATGCTTCAAATATATCATGGGTAACATGACCTAACCTGAGCATTTCTAGTTCACAGTGTGGACTCGCAAGGCCAGTGAAGAGATGCATCACTCCTGAATCCTGCAGGTTGTTGTTACTCAGGTCCAGCTCTCTCAGACTAGAGGACTGGGAGCTCAGAACTAAGGAGAGAACTTTACAGCTTCTCCATGACAGCTTACAGCCATTTAGCCTGAGGAAGCAATGTTGAGAGAAAAAAAGGATCATTTATATAACACATAAGATGGGTGGTCACTTTTAATGCTGAGTGTCTGATCAAGGAAACTCTGAATGACCAAACTAAACTGTCCTGAAATGTTTCTTTGTTTTTTTTACATTGGTATTCAAATCACAAAGTAAGATTTGAAAGTTAGAGTTATTACTCTATTTTAATCAGAGACACAAAAAGTTATTGACTATTTATAGCAACTACAGCAACTTCAGCACATGATAAAGTAAGTGTTTTGACTGTGCGGCTCTACGGTACAGTAAGTCATCAGATCATTTAAGATTTCTAACCTGAGAGCTTCCAGTTTACAGTATGGACTTCTAAGGTCAACAGACAGCAGCTTCACTCCTAAATCCTGCAGGCCGTTGTAACTCAGGTCCAGCTTGATCAGACTAGAGGACTGGCTACTGAGAACTGAGGCCAGAGCTTTACAGCATCTATTTGATAGGTTACAGCCACTCAGCCTGAAGAAGTGAGGGGAAAAAGCAACAAGTTATTTCCTTTCTTGTTTTACAGTAATGTATTTAAGGTTAATTTAATTTATGTTGTTATGTATGAACGTACAGAGATGTACTGGAAGCTTTGACCACTGGCAGCAGCCACAGAAGACCTTCCTCTGAAGCAGAGTACCTCCTCAAGTCAAACACATCCAGATCTTTGTCTGAAGACAGTAGAATGAAGACCAGAGCTGACCACTGAGCAGGAGAGAGTTTATCTGTTGAGAGAGTTCCTGAACTCAGGTACTGTTGGATCTCCTCCACTAAAGAACAGTCATTCAGCTCATTCAGACAGTGGAACAGGTTAATGCTTCTCTCTGGAGAGAGATTCTCCCCGATGTTCCCCTTGATGTATTGGACTGTTTCCAGGTTAGTCTGCAAGCTTTTCTGTGACAGCAGACCTTGTAGGAGAGTCTGATTGGTCTGCACTGACAAACCCAGGAGGAAGCGCAGGACCAAGTCCAGGTATCCATTTGGACTCTGTAAGGCCTTGTCCACAGCATTCTGGTAGAAGAATTTTACTGCAGATTTGGCCTTTACTGGCCTAGACCTCCGAGTGGTTGTCTGTTCTTCTGCCAACAGATTGCCACCAGAGTTGAAGAATGTCAAATGGATATGAAGAGCAGCAAGAAACTCCTGAACACTCAGATGGACGAAGCAGAAGACCTTGTCCCGGTACAGCCCTCTCTCCTCTTTAAAGATCTGTGTGAACACTCCTGAGTACACTGAGGCTGCTCTGATATTGATGCCACACTCTGTTAGGTCTGATTCATAGAAGATCAGGTTGCCTTTCTGCAGCTGCTCAAAAGCCAGTTTTCCCAGAGACTCAATCATCTTCCTGCTCTTTTTAGTCCAGTGTGGATCTGTCTCAGCTCCTCCATCATACTTGATGTTCTTCAGTTTGGACTGAACCACCAGGAAGTGGATGTACATCTCAGTCAGGGTCTTGGGCAGCTCTCCTCCTTCTCTGGTTTTAAGCATGTTATCCAGAACTGTAGCAGTGATCCAGCAGAAGACCGGGATGTGGCACATGATGTGGAGGCTTTGTGATGTCCTGATGTGGGAGATAATTCTGCTGGCCTGCTCCTCATCTCTGAACCTCTTCCGGAAGTACTCCTCCTTCTGTGAGTCAGTGAACCCTCTGACCTCTGTCACCATGTCTACATACTCAGGAGGGATCTGATTGGCTGCTGCAGGTCGTGAGGTTATCCAGATGCGAGCAGAGGGAAGCAGTTTCCCCCTGATGAGGTTTGTCAGCAGCACATCCACTGAGGTGGACTCTGTAACCTCAGTTAGGATATCATTGCTGTTGAAGTCCAGAGGAAGTCGACACTCATCCAGACCATCAAAGATGAACACAACGTGGAACTGTTCAAACCTGCAGATTCCTGCTTCTTTGGTTTCAGTAAAGAAGTGATGAACAAGTTCCACCAAGCTGTACTTTTTCTCTTTCAGCACATTTAGCTCTCTGAAAGTGAATGGAAATGTGAACTGTATGTCCTGGTTGGCTTTGTCTTCGGCCCAGTCCAGAGTGAACTTTTGTGTTAAGACAGTTTTCCCAATGCCAGCCACTCCATTTGTCATCACTGTTCTGATTGGTTCATCTCTTTCAGCTAGAGGTTGTAATATGTCTTTACATTTGATTGTTGTGTCCAGTCTGTCTGGTCTCCTGGATGCTGTTTCAATCTGTCTGACCTCATGTTCATTAACCACTCCACTCCCTCCCTCTGTGATGTAGAGCTCTGTGTAGATCTGATTCAGGGGTGTTGGGGTTCCTGTTCTAGAAATCCCCTCAAACAAGCATTGGAATTTCTTCTTAAAATTAGATTTGAGTTTATACTGGCACATAGCAGCACTAGTTCCTGTTGGAGGAAGCAAAGAATGAGACTAGAGTGTAATGTAGAAATAAAAAGGTGAAATATGAGGCTTTTATAGTTGCTTATATACACAGGCAGCAGATTTTAATTTCTTCACTACCACAGGATGTTACAAGTAGATTTTTGTTGGCTTGGTTGAGCTCAAGCTGTCAGAAAAAGGCTGGGGGACAGAGCCAAACCTGGGTCGCCTTTGCAAGAACACGGGGCATCCCCAGATGTTAAGAATTTTACTTGCCATTCCAACAATGGCGCAATTACACTGAACAAAATTATAAACGCAACACTTTCGTTTTTGCCCCCATTCATCATGAGCTGAACTCAAAGATCTAAGACTTTCTCTATGTACACAAAAGGCCTATTTCTCTCAAATATTGTTCACAAATCTGTCAAAATCTGTGTTAGTGAGAACTTCTCCTTTGCCGAGATAATCCATCCACCTCACAGGTGTGGCATATCAAAATGCTGATCAGAAGGCATGGGTATTGCACAGGTGTGCCTTAGACTGGCCACAATAAAAGGCCACTTGAAAATGTGCAGTTTCACTGTATTGGGGGGGTCCGGCGTGGTCTGGAAAGCCGGTCAGTATCTGGTGTGACCACCATTTGCCTCACGCAGTGCAACACATCTCCTTCACATAGAGTTGATCAGATTGTTGATTGTGGCCTGTGGAATGTTGGTCCACTCCTCTTCAATGGTTGTGCGAAGTTGCTGGATATTGGCAGGACCTGGAACACGCTGTCGTATACGCCGATCCAGAGCATCCCAATCACGCTCAATGGGTGACATGTCCGGTGAGTATGCTGGCCATGCAAGAACTGGGATGTTTTCAGCTTCCAGGAATTGTGTACAGATCCTTGCAACATGGGGCCGTGCATTATCATGCTGCAACATGAGGTGATGGTCGTGGATGAATGGCAAAACAATGGGCCTCAGGATCTCGTCACGGTATCTCTGTGCATTCAAAATGCCATCAATAAAATGCAACTGTGTTCGTTGTCTATAACACACACCTGCCCATACCATAACCCCACTGCCACCATGGGCCACTCGATCCACAACATTGACATCAGCAAACCACTCACCCACACGACGCCATACACACTGTCTGCCATCTGCCCTGTACAGTGAAAACCGGGATTCATCCGTGAAAAGAACACCTCTCCAAAGTGCCAGACGCCATCGAATGTGAGCATCTGCCCACTCAAGTCGGTTACAACAACAAACTGCAGTCAGGTCGAGACCCCGATGAGGACGTCGAGCATGGTTCCTGACAGTTTGTGCAGAAATTCTTTGGTTATGCAACCCGATTGTTGCAGCAGCTGTCCGGGTGGCTTGCTGGATGTGGAGGTCCTGGGCTGGTGTGGTTACACGTGGTCTGCGGTTGTGAGGCCGGTTGGATGTACTGCCAAATTCTCTGAAATGCCTTTGGAGACGGCTTATGGTAGAGAAATTAACATTCAATTCACGGGCAACAGCTCTGCTGGACATTCCTTGAGTCAGCATGCCATTGCACGCTCCCTCAAAACTTGCAACATCTGTGGCATTGTGCTGTGTGATGGAACTGCACATTTTCGAGTGGCCTTTCATTGTGGCCAGCCTAAGGCACACCTGTGCAATACCCATGCTGTCTGATCAGCATCTTGATATGCCACACCTGTGAGGTGGATGGATTATCTCGGCAAAGGAGAAGTGCTCACTGACGCAGATTTTGACAGATTTGTGAACAATATTTGAGAGAAATAGGCCTTTTGTGTACATAGAGAAAGTCTCAGATCTTCGAGTTCAGCTCATGATGAATGGGGGCAAAAACAAAAGTGTTGCATTCATAATTTTGTTCAGTATAATTGGAAAGTAACAAAAAAACCTCTCTAACCGAAAGAGTTTTAGAGGCTGCCACCAACCAGTAAGGACAACAAACATATCTGACTCTGTATGCTTAAATACACAACCAGAGTTTGCTGTGTGGATTGTGAAATAAATCCAGTTGCTGAGTTAGCATTGCAGTTTTAAGCAGTGCAATTAACCATGCTGACCAACATGACTTTGAGAGACAAAAATACGAAAATGTTGCAGAAATACAGCTGGGGGCAAAAGAGCTGGTACAGAAAGATGTCATGTCAGTTGTGTAGGCAAACTTTGGCTTAAAGATCCATTGTGTAGGATTTTAAGCTGTGAAGTTGCAGATTGGAACCAACTGAATACTGCTTGCCTCAACCAAGCACCACATACCACCTCAGAAAATATCAGAGTGTCCAAGTACCATCATTAGAACTGACGTTAAAATACAGTAGCGTAGACCGACGCTGTTTAGCTATAGACAGTTCACACAGGAGTTCCAATAAGATTATTTATTGTTGACTGAACCAAATAGTTCCTGTTTGGAGCCAAGATTGCAATGTTTTTGAACTGTGTTAATTTTACCTCTGCTTACTATTTTACCATCACATTTTAGCTCCTAACTAATCATGGATGTATTTGTGCGCTACATTCATGAACGTGACTACGTAGGGTGATGTTGAAACAAAATATTACAGGAAGATCGGGAAACGATCTCATAGGTTAAGCACTTAGTATTTTGATGATATGTTTTTTAATTAATTTATAAAATCGACCAAAAATATTTCAAAGATTCCATCGCGTACCACTAGAGGCAGCTCGCATACCACCAGTGGTACACATACCATACTCTGAGAACCTGCAGTGTGAAACTGACAAAAAACATGAAAGGCACTATCTAGAACTGGTGTCTGGACAGAAACTCATCAAAGGCATGCCATCCATTTAAACACTTTTGAAAGTGAAGATGATGCATTTTGCCATTCTGGATCTTAAAGCACCAGATTGTAGGTTTTAGAGGTATCATGCTGTGAAGTTGTAATTAACTCTGCTCACATCTGTATTTGACAACCTGGGAATGAGAACAGGCTGTGAAGTGTGTAGGACGAACTACAGTGAAACTCCCCCAAAAACGTGTTTGTTTGTTTGTCCGTTCTGGGCTACAATAGAAACATGGCGGTTCAACATTGTGGACTCTTTGTGATCATACACTAATGAAAACATACCTATGAATTTTATATTCCATTTCTAACAATAGATTCTACTAAATGAGACCTTTAAGTCAACCCAATACAGGACAAAACAAAGCTGTGTGTTAATAGCAGAGTAGCACAGCTTAATTGGGTGTGTTTGGTGCAGTGTGTGGGGAGTGTGCAGGACAGACAGAGGCGGTGTGTCTGAGGTCAAGACAAGCAGGTAAGCTTGATGTCAGAGCAAAGTGAGGTTAGTAGTAAACAGTTAATGTAACAGTGAATGTACAGTCTGAGCTATAGCTCACGAGAGTTCCTGAGTTTTGTTTGCCAGCACCTGAGTATAGTGACAGAGGTTGACCCCAAAGTTAGCCACAACCCTGAACTTGAGCATTAAAGGAGTCATCCCTAAGGATTAAATAAGCCATTTAAGGATAGATAACGTCACTGTGATGTCCCACCTCTCTGCCTGCTGCGTGTATGGACCCCTCCTGTGTCTATTTTTTTACCAATTCCCTTTGCAATAATGTTGAAGCTCTACTCTATTGGTCTACAGCGCCTTCCCCATAACAATTCACATGGTCTGGACAACAATACAAATGCAAACCACGTGGACTGTCCTAGAAACAGTGTGCACCAATGGCAGACTGAGCTTGGCTTTATTGGAAAATGCTCTTACTCCACTGCAGACAGTCAGCCAGGTCCTCCTTCTTCATTCTCCTGAGAAAGTGTTGTGTGATCTTCACAAAGGCCTCCCTGCTGCTCTTCATCTGCTCTTTTTCCTCACTGCCCACAGCAGCCTCATCCTCTCTCCACTTCTCTGAGCATTCTGGGTGGTCTGTCCTGAGAATCCTCTGACACCTCTTCAACTCGTTCTTCACAAAAGTGACTATGTTTTCTTCAAGCAGCTGCAACACAAGCATCAGATTCATATGTAATACACAGATCCTAGATCACTGTCACTGATCATACAGAACAGGTGGCATTTGCTCTGAGGTTGCTAATGTTAGTTATAAAAAATTAGATTTGCGCACCATAAATATATAGTCCAGATCTGTTTGGTGTTGCTGGCCAGACTGACCGCAGGGGACCTCTGATGTGTGCTGGTGGACTCTGCGAACAACACACACACACACACACACACACACACACACACACACACACACACACACACACACACACACGCGAGAAGTGAAGTGAAGCCAATGCAGTAGTATCTAAAACCTGCATTATTTTTAGTGGCCAACAGGAGGCAGCTCCATGGGCTGCAAAAAGAAGTCCAGTTGCATTTAATGTAATGGCAAAATGATGCTACTTCTCACTTGATTGATTAGCTCAGTAAACAGTTTCCTAATGAGTTTATGGTCTTAATCTCTAGTTTCAAGTCTTCTTCCATACAGCATGATGTTCATTTAGTAAATTAGAGTAATATAGATGATAAAGCATGCTTTAGGGCGTGGCTACCTTGTGATTTACAAGTCATTCTCAGTCAGGGGTATTTCCAAACATTGATTGATTGATTCCAAACATGACTGGTATTTGACCAAAAACTGCAGGGGATAAAGTTGGGGTGTGTGCAAAAGGAAGACTTGTCATGCTAGTTTTTCCATCACTAAAATTTTGCGCTCTTGTTGACATGTTAGCTTGACATGGACCCTGGGACCATGGCAACAACCATAATGCCGAACTCAAGGCTTCAAAACGGTACTCCAACAGGTGATGTCACGATAGGTTCACACTTGGAAAAACCAAGCCCAGCAAAACAGGGAGTGGAGAGCAGGGCAACACATTTGTGATGGCTAAAGTACACCACTATGAATGAAAGGATATACATGCTGACTGTTAGACTAGCTTTGCAGGCGCACTTCATTAGCAACTGCTGGAGTGCCCTTAAAGGCCAGGACACACCAACCCGACGGCCGACCGTCGGCAGAAAAGCAGTCGGACTGATCAGTTGGCTCCTGTCTCCCGAGTCACTTCAAAAAAAGTAATACGTCCCCATAACAGCAGGCGGCGCTAATCTGTGTTGTTGCCCAAGAAAAATGAAAACTGGTAATGACGGATCACTCTAGACCTAGTAAACCCAGAGCACGCTGTCGTCAGTCATTGTTTTCATCAGTGAGTGTTGATAGTAGTCAAGAAGGATCGTTATTGTCATTACTCGCTGAACGGAAAATACGATGGCTAATAATAACAAGAAACTGGCGTTGGCGTAGTATGTTTACCATCGTCACTGCCGGTTTTCTCGGGCACTGACTGATTTGCTAGTCAAGGGCTAGCACTCCACCAATCAGATTGGTCATAGAGGCCAACGGCCACTGGCCGATTCTACATGTCGAATCAGCCAAAATGAACGCCGACTCCGACTGACGACGGCACATCAAACCGACTCGAGTCACCGACCTCGCCCGACTGTCCGACGACAGCCGATAATCGGGTTGGTGTGTCCGGGCCAGCGTATTTAAGCCCCAGCAACTCCAGCAAAACTGGTTGTACTGCTGTAGGTGCAGTGACTTCCAGTAGTGTGTGGGTGTGTATGAGTTTTAAATCCTTACTTTGTATCAACACAATGGCGGTCCTCTTTGAAATTTAAAGGAGTCTCCATAGACCAGTTGCTCTTCAAGGACACACAGCTTGGTACAGGGGAGTCTGATCTTTGCTGCATCCTGGCAGAAATAAAGCATGTACTATATACATTACATTGGCACTAATATAGTAAAATTAATTAAATCAGTTGTATCCATCTAGTTTATGGTTACTCTTCCACTCCGAGTGCCATAGCTTGAAAAAACAAATAAACATACAACATGTAATTTCTGCCACCATGTCTCTCACATAAAAACGAAAACAAAAGACAAAGTTTGATGATGTCGAAGGTATTGTGGCTTCATCTTGGATTCAACCCTGGAGCCATGAGCCAATACTAAATAAATAAAGACGACATTACAAAACAAGAAATTGGGAAATAACTGGTGGACTGGAGGAATGTGGGCTAAACAAGTTAGGGGTGACAGGTGACAGCACTGCTGTTAGGAAATGACCCACTATGAAATTTAAAAAAGTGCCCCTGTGACAATACCTTTAGAAATGAAAACCAGTCTTTTTAAAAGACAATAATGTCTACATTAAATAAAAATGACTTTTTATTTTACAATTTATTGGTTCATTCATATATTTGACTCTATTTATTCATCTGTTTCATTATGTCTAATGTATTTATGTATGTAATATTGTCCCCTGTTCATATACATTAGCATGAATCAGTGTTGAATGCTAAACTGTTACAGTTAGAAACCAGGAAAGATGGATTTATGTATTATAAAATCATTCCAGATACCATCAGTATAACCCGGTACACATCAAAGAGAAGGTCAATTGAGAAAAAAGCTGTCCCTTGACTTACTATGCATGTTCACTTTAAGAGTACTCATTTTTTTCTTCTTTTTTTTGTTGCCGGTATGGGTGGAGACTAAATAACATTTGCACACCCTGCTGGATTTAGTCCTTAAAATGCTCTGAAACATGGCTTACTGTGCTTCAGCAGTCTGCTGTTTAGTGAATGAAATGGGGACTCCCATAGAGTGGTGGCTCTTCATGGACACAGCACGGGGTTCCGGAGATTCTGCTCTCTGATGCTGCTCTTGGCTTCAACACACACACACACACACACACACACACACACACACACACACACACACACACACACACACACAGCTTTAGGTCACAACTATGACGGACGGTGCAGTGATGTTTCTGTATGGATCTCACCTCAAAGCCTCAGCCTGGCAGCCTTGTTCCCCACTCAGAGTGGGTTTAGTGGGGAGGCCTCCCTCCTCTCCGTCGTTACTCTGATCCATGGCAGCCTGAACACCTTCACAAATGCATCATCATGATAATGTAAATAGTTCACTACCACGGATTGATATACTTCGATTATCAAGGAAACTAATAACAGATATTTGGGACTGATATAACTTTACTGTACCTGTTTATGTTCATGAGCTAACACCAGCGACGCTGCGCCTGTAAATGAAACTGAAAGTAGAACACAGTCTTAGGGTTGGGCGTATCAATCCTGCGGTATCGATATATCGATACTCACGCGCTACTCATTTGGCATCGATTTCCTTAAACAAATATCGATATCAACTAACAAATAAGAATTGGGGGTGCATCACTTTCAACTGTTTTGGATAGCTTACTTCAATTACTATGTGCCGAGTCACCCCCGCACCTGTTGGAAAAATCTGTTTTTCTAAACTTCCTCGAAATAATAAGAACATTCGTGCCTTGTTTCAGAGAGAAATTATATCTATTCCAAATGTGATGTTTTATTGGAACCGATTTGTAAACGACATTGACTGGAAAAAGTTTGGATGATTCCTCACAGATACCTGAGAGTAAACAAGGTGAAAGAAGTGTGGTTCAGAATAATTCACAGATTTTACCCTGCTAATCACTACATGGTTAAATTTAAAAGAGACATCAGTACAAACTGTTCTTTTTGTGAAGACCACCCAGAAACTGTTTTGCACCTCTCTTGGTATTGCTTACACACCAGAACATTTTGGCAAAACTTCAGCAGATTCGTCATTGACCATATTTATAAAGACTTTGCCTTATTGTGGGAGAATGTGGTATTTATTGCCAATAAGAAATGATCAGTATCGGTATCAATGAAATGCAAGAAAAAGTATCGGTATTGTATCGAATCCTAAAAGTGTGGTATCACCCATCCCTAGTCCACAGAGTACGGTGGCCCTGAGAGCTCAACGCACTGCAACTAAAAAAAACACATAATATAAAACAATACACAAAACACTGAGTGTTCACAGACATGAAATGAAAATGAATTACACTGCTGAACTTGGCGTACAGAAGGTATGGATTTGTGGCTGATTGCTAAATTCCATTTAGCTGCCTCAGTTTCAGGGTCCTGGTGTTGTTCATGCTAGATCACTGAAGTGGTATATATAATTGATATTAAAAGTATTTAGTAGCCTACAATGTTGAAGTACTAGTATATTAATTGGGTATATCAAAATGTGTCCTTTTTTTCTAAAGCAGTGTTATTTTTGCTTTATCTTACAGCCATTGTGTGTGTAGGTAAGTATATATATATATATATATATATATATATATATATATATATAAAACTTCCCTCTAACCCTCTTGGGGTGGTATCTGTCTCATCCTCAGGCTCGGGTCCTCTACCAGAGGCCTGGGAGTTTGAGGGTTCTGCGCAGTATCTTAGCTGTTCCTAGGACTGCGCTCTTCTGGACTGAGGCTTCTGATGTTGTTCCTGGGATCTGTTGGAGCCACTCCCCCAGTTTGGGGGTCACTGCCCCGAGTGCTCCTACTACCACGGGGATCACGCTCGCCTTGATCTTCCACATCTGCTCCAGCTGTTCTTTCAACCCTTGGTACTTTTCAACCTTTTCGTGTTCCTTCTTTCTGATGTTGGCGTCTGCTGGTATGGCCACATCTATCACCACATCAGCGCTTAAATGAATGTAGTGAAGTAAAGAGTACAATATTTGCCTCTGAAATGTAGTGGAAATAACACAAGTAATGTGCAAGAACTTTAAATGTAGTTAGTTAGTACAGTACTTGATGTAATATACAGTTTAGGCTCACATTACAACACTGGTATATACTGGTTGATGGCTGCATATTATACCCAGTGATTTTGTGATTGTTTAGTGAACCTGATGGCTTCAGGGCCACAGAGGATGTGAGGACTTACATGCTCTGAGAGAGTAAAACAAGACACATGCAGAATCCCCAGATCTCTATTTATTACTGATCACAAACACATATCACCAGTCATCAGTTGCATGTGTTATATTGAGGCTCTTTTCTTCTGCAGCCTTTTTGCATCGTAATGAAAATACAACTGATGTAAACAATAAGTATGTTTTTTAAAGGAAAACAAACACAAATAACAAATCAAACAATATCAATAACTTTGATTATCACTTTGACTAACATGACTGTTACTGAGAATATGAGCTGTGCCCCGGTTTGAACAGAAGAAAGATGGCTCACACTTTGTAGCACTCTTCATGTATGTGGTGACCAGATGTGGTAATCTGTTGAAAATGCTGTGTAAAGATAGATATGTTGAAAAAGTACTGTGCATTTTTCAAAAACAAAAGATGGACAAATCTTTCATGAGTGATATTATTTCCCACATTTCTGGAGCAACTGGAGAGAATTCTTAGATATTTTAGACTAAATGTATCAGTTCAGTTCTTCAACTGGTTTACAACAACAATTCACACAGAATGAGCACGGGGAAGTTAAAATCATCACAATACAGAGGACGTCTTCACCTCATCACAGACAGCTCTGTTCTCTTATAACACTGAGTCATGGTCAGAAAATAACAAATCAATAATTCATTTGATCCATACACTGATTGTATAAACAGCCAGAGTGAAGTGGGTTTCAATTGGCCCTTCCTAAGTCCCGCTCCTTTTTGGAACCTCAGTCAACTGTCCCTTTGCCTGTAGGCTACTTAGATATGCTATATGCTAGGCTCGTCTATGTTGTAAAGACAACCACATTTTAAAGACGGTTAAAAGATAAAAGGTAAGATATCCACATCTTAGTTAGCTAATGTTAGTAAAATGCAAGCTAACTGGCTCCATAAGCTACATCAATTTTAGCTAGTTAGATAGCGTTTTGCTGACATTAGCTATCAAATGTAACTAGCTAGCTGAAGATTAACACAGATTAGTTTGCTAGTTAGCAAGCAGCATCTGTATGTGATAATGTGTTGCTTTTATCCATTGTCAAAATGTCCTGGTCCTGTCCGAGGCTTGCTAAACTGGTGTTGCACAGACCAAAAAGGGGTGGGGTTTAGGAAGGGCCAATTACCATGACTGGACCTTTAATACTGTGTTTACCAATAAAATGCATTCTTACTGTTTACAAATGTGTCACAGAACAATTCTTCTGTCTTATGTCTCTGTATTCTTCTTCCCCTGCACTGTCTGATGATTTGTCAATTCTGGCACAGTAAAATTTTCAAGTTTAAGAGTAAACACTGGGATTTCTGCAACAGATGTATGTAAAGTATCTGATTACACAGTTTTTCACAAGCAGGATGACTCTTCAAAGGTAATTCCAATGCGTAGCTGTTCCAAGCTGTACATATACCTAAGGTTCCTTAAGATGTTCACTTAATATTTAACATTTATCCTTATCTTGGTCTAATACTTAAGGAATCCCTTAAAGTTGGTTAAAATGTTGCACATTAGACCTTACCAACCAAAGTAAGAAAAAAAAAAGTACAGTCCCCCTCCACTCAAACTTACAGCACTGAGTACAGTGATGGTACTGTGCCACACAAACTCCAGTATGGGTACAGCTTGGTACATATGCACTGGAAAAACCCTTCACAAGCACTACATTATGGTATAGCTCACACAATAGAAGTTTCACAAATGACCACTAGAGGGTGTAAGAGGGCTGCACTTGGTCTCATGCACACACACAAACACATATACACAAAGAAGAGGAGGGAAGGCTGGGGAGCGCTGGCTCATTCTAGGGGGCTGAGGGGCCAGATCACTCGTCAAACCGTCCCTCCAGGATGCTCACGAATGAGAAGGGGATGAACTTGAAGCCCTGGCCGGAGTAAAACTTGTTCTGGAACTCCACCCTGAAAGAGGAGGACAAGCAGGGAGAAACTGGTTGTGAGAACCGTGATTTAATGGGGCTAGTTATATGTATCGATATATACAAATCACACAATGGAAATGGCCAAGTAATGTAAGCATTTACTGTTGAATATCATGTAATAAAATGTGTAATGAAATGAACAAATTAAATTAACTAATTTCCCCCCGGGAATCAATAAAGTACTTCTGATTCTTATTCTAAAAAAGGTCCAGAAAGCTTCCTACATTTATCTGATATTATTCCCACAATGGCCTATATGTTTGACCCTTATAACCCCACTAGGTAAATATATAACAAAGAAGCATTAACATGACTGAAATCATCAGAATGTTAAACAGCATGTGAAACCCTCTTATCTGGAATATTGGAACTATTTATTTGGTGTTCTTGGCTATTCCAACCATGTACCTGTTACCATTAGCTATGTCAACTATTCTACTTCTGCTCTACTTCTCTGCTCACTTACCAACTAGTTTTCATGCACTGCACTGAAAACTGACAATCACTCCCACTTTATGCAGTTATGTGCCAGTTGTGTGTGTACGTAAGAAACCTAGGCAGTGTTTGAACAAAACTATTTCTGTCAGGTGTAAAACTATGAGGGCCTCTGAGGAAAGATTGTGCATGGAGATTCCCATTTGTACGATTAATGATGTTAAATAACACTAAACACAAAGTAGAGCTGAGGCTGATGGGAATATGATTAGGTTTGCAGGTACAGTATTTAGTCACCCATACCAAAGTATTGGACACACTGGAATTTTTCAATGAATGATCACCAAAGTTATTACTGACACACTTGGAACAGGAGGGTATGCAAGGACATTGCAATTAGCAACTACACCGCTAAATGCCGATAAATGCCACTAAATCCTACACACTGGCCCTTTAAGTGTGAAACCAGGACCTCAAGACTGAAGTGCAGCGTTACACATTTAATAATTTTACTCTTGTTGGAGTGAATTCATTTGGCTGTGATCTCTTTAAGGCAGGGCACATTCCAATAAAGTATGTCAAAGTGAAATCCTCCCACATAACAGTGGAATTATTCTCCGCACAGTCCTCTGAAAATGTTTCAAAAATAACATATAACAATAGTCTTCATCTTATCAGCAGCACATGACAGTGACTGGCTGATAAAAAAGCATTTTGGCTTTGTTTGTCGGTGAACTGACACTTGGGCTGGTTGTAATTCTACCTAGGTAATTCCACCTAAGTTTTTGTGTCTACATAAAAAACACACTGCACAGTACTGGTTCACTCCAGCAAATAGTATTGTTTCCACGTGTTGTCTGGGAGCTGAAGCTCTGAGCCTGCTTGTTGTGCTGCTGATGGAGGAAATTGAGAATTTGAGACTCATATTATACTGTACAAATTTAAGTGCCACTCTGTAGTAAGGCCCCTTGGGGGGGTTAAAGGGTTAATGTTTTAACTAATGGCTAAAGCGCCAGTTTGTAGAACAGGGGTATTCAACTGCAATTCTCCAATTAATTTATTATTGAATCAACTTTAACCAGCTTTGATGCTATTATGCAGTTGCACTGTTAGTGTGCATGTGTCATCTGTAGTTACAGATGCAGTTTAATACTATACACTACCGTTCAAAAGTTTGGGGTCACTTAGAAATGTCCTTATTTCTGAAAGAAAAGCATTGTTTTTTTTCAATGAAGATAACATTAAATTAATCAGAAATACAGTCTAGACATTGTTAATGTGGTAAATGACTATTCTAGCTGGAAAAGGCTGATTTTTAATGGAATATATACATAGGGGTACAGAGGCCCATTTCCAGCAACCATCACTCCTGTGTTCTAATGGTACATTGTGTTAGCTCATCGTGTCTAAAGGCTTAATGATGATTACAAAACCCTTGTGCAATTATTTTAGCACTGCTGAAAACTGATTAGAGAAGCTATAAAACTGGCCTTCCTTTGAGCTTGTTGAGTATCTGGAGCATCAGCATTTGTGGGTTCGATTATACTCTCAAAATGGCCCGAAAAAGAGAACTTTCTTCTAAAACTCGACAGTCTATTCTTGTTCTGAGAAATGAAGGCTATTCCATGCTAGAAATTGCCAAGACACTGAAGATTTCCTACAACGGTGTGTACTACTCCCTTCAGAGAACAGCACAAACGGGCTCTAACCAGAATAGAAAGAGAAGTGGGAGGCCCCGGTGCACAACTAAGCAAGAGGACAAGTACATTAGAGTAGTAGATCTAGTTTGAGAAATAGACGCCTCACAGGTCCTCAACTGGCAGCTTCATTAAATGGTACCCGCAAAATGCCAGTCTCAACGTCCACAGTGAAGAGGCGACTCCGGGTTGCTGGCCTTCTAGGCAGAGTGGCAAAGAAAAAGCCATATCTGAGACTGGCCAATAAAAGGACAAGATTAAGATGGGCAAAAGAACACAGACATTGGACAGAGGAAGATTGGAAAAAAGTGTTATGGACAGACGAATCTAAGTTTGAGGTGTTTGGATCACACAGAAGATCATTTGTGAGACGCAGAACAAGTGAACAGATGCTGGAGGAGTGCCTGACGCCATCTGTCAAGCATGGTGGAGGTAATGTGATGGTCTAGGGCTTTTGTATTCATTTTGCAACTCATTTGATGAATAAAAGTTTGAGTTTTCATGGAAAACATGAAATTGTCTGGGTGACCCCAAACTTTTGAACGCATACGTCACAGAATATGTCCATAAGTGATAATTTAATACTGCATTCTCTGGGAATTTTGGGAAGTTTTGGTGGGTCATATGTGGCCTGTGGGCCGCCAGTTGAAGACCCTTGGTGTAGGATTTAGAGGGCATCTAGCGGTGAAGTTGCAGATCGTTTTGTAGGACAAACTACAGTAAAAAGGCCCTATCTAGAGCCAAAACAAAACACAACAATTCTTATTTTCAGGTGATTATACATTAATTAAAACATACCTATAAATGTTATATTCAATTTTTGCCCACTAAATATTACACACAGGAGCTTGCTAATAAATCATAAATTATATACTAAAACTCAGCCTCTCAATTAAGAATGAGAAAGAACCTGGTGTTGTTCATGCTAGATCACTGAAGTGGTATATATAATTTATATATATATATAAGTATTTAGTAGCCTACAATGTTGAAGTACTAGTATATTAATTGGGTACATCAAAATGTGTCCTTGTGTGTTTAATATTTATAACTAGAACATTAACATGCATAAGTACATTTTTACCAAACAGAAAGGATAAACACAAGTCAATGGGAGTTTTTAAATTGGGTCGTTATTAATGTCTTATAAGTAATCTATAAAGCCATAAAGTTATTGTTATAAGCTATAATCCTTTCATAAAGGCTACCTATTAGACAGTGGTAGCAAAATGTGCCTTGAAAACCACAAGACTGGTTCATCTACTTCCAGCACATGATTTTAAGGTCCAGTGTGTAACATTTAGGAGGATCTATTGGCAGAAATGGAATATGATATTCATAGGTAGGTTTTCATTAGTGTATAATCACCTGAAAATAAGAATCCTAGTCAAACCACTAGATGCCACTAAATCCTACACACTGGATCTTCAAGAAAACCTCAGATTTGTTGTAGCTACGGTACAGAGCTTTCCACATGCAGAAACCCACTCTGCTCAAGTTCCACAGTGAACAGACTACTACGTCTGTAGAAGTAAGCTAGCAGGACGTTCAGCCTCCTCAAGACCTTGAACTCCTCACTTTGTTGCTTATGCAGAATATTTGCATAGACAGAGATGACAGCAGTATGTAAATTAACTGTGAGTCAGTAGATGGGACATTTATGAGGAATACACTCTTATGGTCTGCACAGGCTCTGCTTGAGACTCGGATGTGCTGTCTGCTCATCCAGGAAAAGTTATGTTCATGTCATACAGAAAATTGACTTTTTTTATGAATATGTGAGTTGATCAGTTTTAGAAAAGAATTATGCATATGCAGACTTTTTAAAGTAAAAAATCAGTTTCTCTTCTTGTTCCTACAGTTAGATGTTTGATATCACCAATCATATTCTATGAGTGTGTCAACAAATTTCTACCAGTGAACTGCACTTGGTACATGGAACAGGGTACCATAGATTTCTGAATTTTCCTCAGCACACTTAATGTATTTTTGTCCACAGTTGAGATACTGTAATTCTCAAATCCTGACAACCTCTGATGTCTTCTTTTACGAGGAAAACACTAAGAGTGGATTTTCAGTTCCTGCTGGTTCCTGGCCTCAGCAAGTGAGGGGAGTGCCCAGGAATGTCTCCCAGCCGTGGCAAATATTTGGCCTGCCAGAGCTGTGAGAGGGCAGCACTTAAAAAGAGGAAAGAAATGAGGGATCCTCTCATCCACACAGCTGTGGAGGTGGAAAAAATGCTCGTACCTAACACACACTAGGCTTGACTTACTCTGGTGTGTGTTTGTGCAGATAACCCATCAGCATGTGTGTGTGAAGAGCAGACAGCAGAGCAGAGGGTCCAGGTTGACTGCTGTTTTCTTTGAACATGACTATGTCTATTCAATCACCTCTGTGAAAAATACTCCACTACTCTTTTTAACCTTAGCAGAGACCTGTTGAGCTGACACGCTGCTGCCTTATTAACAAAGTGCCTCACATTTATACACTGGAGCCTGAGAGCTGCCTAGTATAACCACAGCCTCTTTCTGTGGGCCACTAGAAGCTTATGCCTTCACTTGTGTTAGAAAACATCATTGATAGAATCACTTTGTGGTGGCTGAAGCACTGAGCTCCAATCTGCTTAGACAGTGTGGCTCTGCCTCAAGGGACACCCTTCCTCTCAGCTCACTTTTTTACTCAGTGTTAATGTCATTTGAACCTTAAAATTTAAATTCCAAATCCATTTTTACACCTTTCTGTTAGCTCTCTATAAGCACAACCAATCCGACCAATACCGAATATTTAAAGCCGGTAAAAAGGAGAAGATGGCAATTCTTTACATTTTTCTTACCTGTCTTACTGTAATAACTTCCACAAACAAACCAATAACATGCGAGTCTGTCTCTCAATTCTTTCTGACTTACCCTGTCTATGGCTCCCATCAAAATATAAATGTCTTTTGAAGAACACCTTTTAATTTCAATGGCCGTTCATGACAGGCTCACTATTATTATACTATTATCTGATCAACACTATTATCTGATTAAGACCCTCTCTGATCATCTATGGACATTAAACGCTTTCGATGCCAAATATTCCAAAAAAAAAAAACCCAAATAGTAACAACAAAAACTAAAAATAGATATAGACAACAAATATACAAACATAACATATGTGTGTATCTGCAGAGACCCTGCAGCCCTCTGCCTGAATATTCTTATTTTGTTGTGTGCAGGACATTTCTGGAGGTCCTGCTTTGGGCAGCACACAGGGTCTGAGGTCAGGACTCTATAAAAACGTGCAACCAGGTTACATCACTGTCTCTGTCTATAACAAGCTATAAGTCTGTATGTCAGTATGTGTTTGATCGAGGGCAGACAGGATGGAGCGTGTGCTTCAGCTGCATTCACAGAAAATACTGAAATATGCCACCTTCCTGCAGGGTTGGTCGGAGGTGTAGCCATGTTCTTGTGAAACAATCAGATTCACGACATTGAATTTCTCTGATTCACTGCTTTATTCTCACTAATGTCACACCTTCTCCTCATTTCAGTCTCTGTGTAGCTCGACCAAAGGTGTTCTCTCTGGCTCGAATAGTTTCCAATGACAAATTCTCAGATGGTTCTGTGTAACAAACCACCTGGCACAGTCAGGAAAGTGCATGGTTAATAAACTATAAAGTCATGTATCATGTATCCAATTTATAGAAAGGAGCTGAGGGCAACTTTTAAGGATATCTGTCATTTCTTAAATGTATTACAACAGTTCTTGTTGTTGCCTTCACTTCCGTCTGATTAAATAACATTTCAGCAGCTGCTGATACAGAGATGAAGGTGAATTGTTTTTGCTGGAGTATTTAACTTTTCAATATTACCCATTCTAGACTGACTGCAATAATATCGTGTCTGGTCCAAATCCAATTACATCTGCTTCCATAACAAGAAAGCCTCCAACCTGAAACATTAATCCAGCCCATGTGTAAGGCAGATAGGTGTGACTACACAACACATACTGTAGGTTTCTTGGAAGAATAACAGTCTGGATAAAAGACATCTGTGCTCATATTTAAAAGGTGGTCAGATCACTTTCCACTAGTTTATAGGAACAACAGACAGACAGAGCACAGACAGACAGCTTCTACTTAAACCCACTTACAACAATCATCCCTGAGAGCAGCAACTAAGAATTAAAACCGAACAGTACCTCTGTCCAACAAAAACATGCAGGATATTCACTCCGTCGTTCCGTTTATCCATCTCATGACCATTACGTAAGACTCTGTGTTAATAGTAGGAACCAGATCTGAACGATTAAAGAAAATAAACTTGTGGCTTTCACTTAAAAGGTTTGTCAAATGGTCTGTCAAACAGAAATGCAGCAGGGTGCACCTGTTAATCTCAACTCTGTTGTGCCACAAGCAAGCAAGTGATAAATGGATGGACACATGTAGAAATGTCTCAATGCCAGACAACAGAGAGGCCTATCAACTATAACTCCTTTAAGTCAACCCTAACCTATCACTTTTTTGATCAGCAAGAACCAAACACTGCTTTAACTTATGTAATACATAAAAGGAGGCTGGTATTACAGGACAGTTTTGAGTTGTCAGGAACAATATCAATCTCATGTATGCACTAGATATGTAGCTGGAGTAAGCATGGTTAGTCTAAAGTAGCATAAAGACTCGAAGCAGAGGGAAACAGCAAGCCTCGCTCTATTCAAAACTACACCTACCAACGCTTCTAAAGCTCACTAATTACACATTTTATTTGTTTCATCTGTAGATAATCTGAAAGGTAAATATGTCATTGTGTGGTTTTAAGGGGAGTTACATGCTGGAACAATTTCTTCTCGAGTTTCCTGGAATCTTGTCATCACCGTGAAGTTGCCAGTTTTGATACCATTGTGTCCAGACCATATGAGTGGAGTGAAGCAGTGAGAATTTCCGCTGCTCACTCACAGAGCTGTTTGTTCGCTCTGCTCACCCTTTCAAAGCCTCTCTGGAGCACTCCACTCAAGTTAAAAAAAACAATAGCTCAAAATAAAAAAATCTATATTATTATTATTGTCATTTAATATATTTTCATTTTTAGCTGTATGTACTTGGTTCAAGAGGTAAACAATGACAGGTTGCTACGTGTATGTGCGTCATACTGGGCATACACAGATCAGACACAGACACACACACAAGCAGCATATATTGAGATCATTATAAAGATCAGCTGTATGTGAGATTAGAAATGACACTCCCACTGTAACAGAGTAGAGTAAGAATTCCAACATGTTTTTTTTTAATCTGTGTAAAGTGAGTCCACTTTGTTGTCATGTTTCTACAGAAACCCAGAAGGGACATACCAAACTGTAGTTTCTCCTACACACTTCACAGCCTGTTCTCATTCCCAGATACGTGCCTTTTATGTGTTCTAACAAGAACTTTTAAGTACAGTAGTTGTGTTTTTTTAATTTCCTACATAGAGCTATCTGACAGAGAAGCTCAGTTTGTATACGGATCAGTTCATATGTGCTCTATTGCTCAAAGGAATGTTTCCCATGTATCATCCGTCACTTTCACAACACCTCCTCCTCATAGTTCTCTGTGGTACCCCATCTGTGCACAAAACACTGTTACTGAGAATCCCTTCTATTAAAATGCATCCACTGATATGATTCATTATCACAGCTGCTACAGTATCCTCTAAAAGGTTTGAATTACTCCAATACACATGTTTTTATGAAGTATAAATACTGCATGGCTGTATCTCACTATGGTAATGACATGAGTGTGGTCCTGTTCCAGGGTAATCTTTGCATCATCAGTGCAGTTTACACTGGTGCAGGCAGGATTAGCAAGGCAGAGGTGGTGCTAGGAGGAGATGGAGCTGGAGGGTGTGAGGTTATCTGGAGTCCTGTATGCTCACAGTTTGCTAAACCACTTTGGGTCAGGAATGTTTCATTTTTGTAGCGTTCCTCATGTGCATGTAAAACTAAAGAAGTGCAGTTTTGGCAGAAATACTTGAACAATGACAGGTTGCTACGTGCATGTTTTCTATCAATATGGGATTCATTGTGTAGGTATATGAGAGTATTTACTTTCTGGTGTGTGTGTGTGTGTGTGTGTGTGTGTGTGTGTGTGTGTGTGTGTGTCTGTCTGTCTAACCAGTGCAGACGCAGAGCGTGCAGGAAGGCTGACAGCCCCTCCATGACGAGCAGGATGGCAACAGTGAGGACGGCGAAGGCCGAGAAGATGATGGACAGGGCGAAGAACCCTCCCCCGCTCCGGGAGGACAGACCCAGGTGCATCACCATGGTCCACAGGACCTCTGACAGCTCTGCACACACACAGTGACGACAACAACAAGGTTTACACTAAAATATGTCAAGCATCTTTGAATTCTGCAAATTCTGTATGTTTATGCATGCTTTTACTCACGTGCATGAGCCAGGCTGAGGGCCCAGAGGCGCAGGTAGGAGGCTGTGTTGGAGATGCATCCCAGACAGTACTCTATGGTGTGGATTGCCTGGTGGACAGCTACGTCACCAAAGTCAAACTGTGGTAAAAAGACAAGATGGTTAGCACAGATAGTATTGTTACAGAAACATATTTTTTTTTACATCTACTGGCAATGACCATCATCTTTTTATTGGGAGAGATAATGAACAACATAAATGATTTGACCTAGAGGGAGCATGTACAGGTTGAATAGTAGCAGCCCAAGAATCCTGTGGGATGCCACTTCCTTTCATATTTATAATAACCAGTAGTAACAAGATGAGAGATTGAGATATGATCTGATCAAAGACCAAGCAGTACCTTAACCTTTGTTTAAACAAATGTTATTTAAAACATTTATCAGTGCAGTCTCAGTGCTGCAATCACTAACAAAGACCACGCCTATGAACGTGAGAAATTTAGAAAGGTTTATTGCACATAATGAATAAATGAAAACCAATGTGGTGTACTGTAGGAGAGATGAATGGATTGGGAAAGGGTTGAGGGATGAAGAGATGAGGGTTTAGGGATGGGGGTATGGGTCGAGGGATGAAGGGATGAGGGATGAGGGGATGAGGGTAGGTGCCGAGGGATGGGGGTAGGGGTCGGGGGATGAGGGATGAGGGGATGAAGAGTTGAGGGATGAAGGGAAGAAGGAATGAAGGGTTAAAGGTTGAGGAATGAAGGGGTATCGGAAGGAAGAGTGAAGGATGAACAGATGTAAGAAAGGTAGGTTTGTTGTCGGATGGATGAATGAATGGATGGAAGGGTTCGGCGAGATGGTAAGAAGGAACCGAGTGGGTTGTGAGAATCTGAGTGAGGGAGCCGTCTCTCTGTATCTCTTGTAGAGAGCCCCAGTGGTTCCTGTATTTGGATAGGAGAGACGGGGGAAAAAGGAAAGAAAGGTTTCGGGGGAGGGATTTGGAAACTGAGTTGAGGATGGAGTATACTGATAAGGTGTGCTTAAGTACATTGTGAGTGGAAATGAGATGAGTGCAATGCAGGGTCTTTGTTCCCGAACCTAGTTATAAAACTTCATATGTTGTCTGAAGCCAGATTGAAATCTGTCCAAAAGTCAATTTACATTTGAGTTGAATGAAAACAGCTTTCTTAATAAGTTTGCCAATAAAGGCAAGATTAGAGATGAGTCTGTACTTATTCATTACAGAAGGATCCAGGTTGCCTGCCTGTTTTGAGTGATTCTGTCAAAACAGCAGGTGGATGAACTAAGATGCTTCACTATGTCCTCCAGAGTTACATAGCACAGACAAAATCTGGCCAAATTATTTCTTTGTGGTTACAGCAGTGGTTCCATTATTTGACATGAACATATGAACTCCCCTACTACTGTTGTAAATCTAAGATGTTTTGCTCGTTTAAATATAAAAATGAGAATATAAAACACGCACTGTTGCGTGTTTTAAACCTGCAAGAGTGAACAGCAAAGAATATTAAAACAATAGAATTTCCAGGATGTAATTACTTACTCATACATCATCATAGCTTATCAACACTCTCTACACTGACCCAGCTGCCCAGCTCTGCTATTCAGAATGTGGCCAATGATAACAACAATGTCAGTATGGCATGTACAGTGGAAATGACTTGGAATGGAAATTCTGTTATTTAATGTGTCTCCTTTGACCTTTGACCGCTGCCTGAGCTTTTAGCTCTGATCAGGCAGAGAACAAACAGCAAAGACATCTGGTTCGTTTGAGTTTGTTTCTTCTTTTTCCCCCAGCAGGATCACAGCACAGGGACTTGTTTGTGTATTGTAAAGCCAACAGAGTTCCTCCATTCTCTACTTCCTGAAGCAAGACTAGCCTTTCCTGTATGAATTGGGCAGGGAGGGGGAAACATGGGACCCTATTGCTCTACGTTGTCACTGTTGGGTTTGGCTTTGCGCTGGTCTGGTTTCCTCTTTCCATGCCTCTCTTTTGTCCTTGGACCCGTGAAATAGAGTTCATGGAAGCAGCACTTATTGTTCCCATTCAAAGGGTCTCCGACACAAGTGGCTAATGAAAACAACACTGCTTAACATGCCATAATGGCATGTAATACATTTTGGATGTGTAATGGAGTGAGTAAATCAACAGCTCAGTCAAAAGACAGTTTCAGCATCCACAAAGTGCTTTCAGACTGATCTTCAGTTGATACATTGACAAAAACTGCTTAAAGTAGAGAACATTTCAAAATTGGGGTTGTAGTACTTGGACTTCTCTCTGTCTCGGGGTGTTATGATCCAGACCTATCTTCCACTACATATCTGTCCATGCGCAAATTGTAAATATGTAGAAAAACAGGTGGACGGAAACACACTTTATGATGCCTAATCTGACCTTGTCACCATCTCAAAATGCAAAATGATTGTATAGTATGATCCTGGCATAAGACCATTCCTAACTAATCTTGCCAGGCTACTGGACACGAGAGATCACAAAATGAAGAGATCACATGAGAATCCATCTCACCATCCTTCAAGCTATGCACTTGTGTCTAGATGGCGGCTGCTAAAGAGGTTAGCATAGGTACTGGAGATTATTTCTTCAGCGAAAAAAAAAGCAAAAAACGGCGATGAAGGCTTTTCTCCATGGAAAGGATCTCTCGCTCTTCTCCTGACTGGCTTCAGTAAGAGTTTGACTATGTTATATTTTGTTTGATCTGATTGGTTGAAGTTTGCCCGTGATAGACAGTCATAGACAGTTCAAACAGTTTCCAACAACACAGCACAGTCACATTAATTCCTAATAGAATTAGGGATGAACTGTGCTGGAATCTCTTGTATCTTTTTGCACTTACGTTGAAAGACCTTAAGAATGAATATCTGACTTAATCCCCAGCTGTGTGCATTTTCACAGTTTCTGTCACAGAGACAAATACACACCTTTACAATCACACACATAAACATGCCTGGTGCTGGAAGGTGGACAGTACAGGAGGTTCACACAGATCAACCAGAGTCCAAAGAAAAAAAAAACATTACTTGGTAAAAGGCACAAACAGATCAGACAAGACAGCATCCAGACATGCTAAGAAGATACCAAACTTATTTTCTTACCGGCTCTTCCTCTGAGTGCTTGAAAGTAAGCAAAAGTAAAAGGTTAGTGGCAGAATTCAGGAAGTGCATCAATCCAGAGGGTTCCATGCTACTTTTGGATCATTGTCTTGCAGTTTACTTTACTGGACTCCAAAAAAACCAAAGCCAAATCTCCAAAAGGTATCCTGTTTCAGGTCAGGTTTGGGACATTCTGGTGGGTAAAACGTTGAGCTCAGGGTGGACTTTCAATTATCTGCATCCATTTTTGTCACCTCTTGCAAATAGATACGCACTTCCTAGTGGGAAGAGGGAAAGAAAGAGCCTATAGCCAATGAATTGCATTAGTCAATATATAACTTAGGGTCACAGGTCGCGTGTCTCAAATTTAGTAGCACATGGGTTGTCAAGTTGGATCTTGGAGATTTTTTTATGTTTATCTTAATACAATACTCTCATCCCATAAATATGCTAGTGGTTATGGGTATGATCTTATCCAAAAACAGCTGAATACAAATTCCTAAATAAAATACTGCCAGAAACCACTGATTAAAAGCTAAAAGGTCAGCGTTAAAAGATAATACACAATTCAAAAGACCCAGATAAGACCCAAGAGAACAGGAGAAAAGAGAGATTCTTTTCTATATACCAATCATTACATATATATCAATCACTGTGCCTGAATGTTAACATTTTCTGTACTATTCACTAAATTTACAATCATTTGCTCTTCTAACATTACGCAATATTAAATTACATAAGTTACAAGTTATGCCCACATGGAATATTGTAGGCTTGGAATCATGATGACAAAATGCAGCCTTATTTAATTACAGTTATGCAATATGTTATCACAACATAAACATTTAGAGATTTATTATGCAGGAGACCTGGGAGACACCAAACCTCTGAGTCACGGATAGAAAAAAACTGGGTGGTATTTTCAGAAATTCCACTCAGTGGTTCTCATGAAAACCACCTCGCTGTTTATGTTTCTGAAATGGAAAATCTATCTCTTATCTGCTGCTGTCCACCCCTGACCCGTCTTTCACTCTGCACGCTGTTGTGCCCGCATTACCCCCATCTGTCGTTACTACTCAGGAGAAAAAACAGCGTGGTGAATGGGCTGAGACAGAAGATTTCAAGTTTTTAAGTTTACGCTTTTGACAGTCTGAAGCTGAAACTAGTGGAACTAGCTGAGCTAAACTAAACCACCGAACTGATATGACTGATTATAAAGGTGTTTGTTAGCAAGCCCAAATACAAGTGATCGTAATGCAACAGAAAACACAATTTAGTGTTTAAATGTCTGCCCCATCAGAAAAAAGATAACATGGAAATCTTTTGGAAATACAAAAATTGAATTTAAAAACAAACAGGCGCAATCTTAAATCCAGGAGTAATGAGACACCATATTAAGCCCCAAATCTAGTGCTGCAATTCTGATACTCAATTAAGGGCTTTATTAAGTACTCAAATATAATATTGTCAAATGTGAGGCTAACTGGACGATTAATCACTAATGAAAATAATCTTTAGTTGATTGAATTGTGTGTGCAGGTTGTTAAAGACTATTTTGTGTGCCTATTATTTTCTGTTTTGCCCACAGTGAGAAAGGCATTATATGTATTTCATAAGGTTTGGCATAGAGAAAATTGAAAACAACCCATCAAAGATAGACAGACAGTTAGCCTTCTAAAGCCAGATATATTCTTGCTCTTTAATCACACTTCTGTGTAGTTATAAGGAAGTATATCTCCAGCCTTAGTTTATGACAGCCTACTTTTAAAGTGACTCATAAAGCTGCTATCAAAGTAAAGTGGTCAGGTTTATTTCTTAAGTTTGAGTTTCCTAGAGACCTGGAAAAGTGGAAAACTAATTTGTTCATTTTTAGAACATAAAGTAAAAATCTTGTACTCAGTGACCCCCTTCATCTGTAACATACAGATAATTGTCCATACAACAGTGAAAGCACAGTTGGTCATCCTACTGAAAATTATTACTATTCAAATTTTAAAATCAAACAAAAGAAAGGTTTTGGAAGAGGATGGAATTTCATGAGCTCACCTCATCTCCTTCCTCTGAGTGCTGGGAGAGCTGGTCGTGGTCCATGATGCCAGCCTCGTCCTCCGTGGGCCCGTTGCCCACCCGCACCCCTCCAAACTTCTGCGTGCCCTGTTGGGTGAGTCCGGTGCATGATGAGGACACGCCTGTTTGCTCTAAAGACTGCTCTAGATTCTCTGCAGGGGTTTCTTCCCTCTTCTGGGACTAGATACAAAAGCCACAAGAGCTGTGTCTAGCTTAAAGCAAGCCTTGGGTTGAACGCTTTCTTTATTTTTTTTAAACATTTTTTAAGAGGGCACCCAGCACAGAAAGTGATTGCTTTCATTCCAAAATGAAATACATCCCCCACTTGTCAGTTATGACACTTAAAATAAATGCAAAGTTATAAATACCACAACAGTGAATTGATCTTACGAAGTTTTCTCATGAACATGCTTAACACAACTGTATATTATTTTAATTAGTGATGCTCTTCAGCCTGATGGGACTGCACTTTGAGGTTTGAAAGCATACTAGGTAGGATTTTCCTAAAAATCAATGCATAGACTCAAACATACTCCCTCTCAATCATCACTTATGACCTACTAGAAGTGTGTGGCTGTGTCTGTATCTGCAGAGTCCCTGGCCTGTATTTTCTTATACTGCTCTATATGGGACATTTCTGGGCGTCAAACTTTGGCAAGCGCAACGTAGGGTTTAGCAAGCAGATTGTTGTCTCTGTCTCTTCTCTCTGCTCTCCAGCACTGCAGCAGCACTAAAATGATATGTGGAGATGCAAGACTATGAGTGTATAAAAATCAGGCAATGTGCATCTTCTGCAGGACTGTGTGGAGGTGCTTTAGAACATAATTGCTGTGAAACAATCAGCAAATAATTTTTTTAAAATTTCTTGCTTTGTCAGTCATGGCACTCCCTCACTTCCATTCATAGTCTTGTGGCCAACTTTGAAGGGTCCGTTAAAAAAACAGCACAGGAAAATCCTGCATAGTATGCCTCTAAGAAAACCAGTGAGAGCAATGAAAGCAGGCTGCTTTATGAGATATTTTAGGTAATTCATATTTGTTGGATAGGTAGTGTTTGGGTATTTCTCAAATACACAGATAGAACAGGAGAATGCAAGAGGAAGATCATTAGCTGTAAGGGTGCCCTTAGTATTTCTAACACATTTCCCATCAAAATAAGAGCGTTTCCAAGGCAGGCTTTAAGCGTTTTTCATGGCAACACAACCAACCACATTACACAGTACAATGTGCATTGAAATGAATGGCAGAGTAGGAGTGAGGAAAAAAAAGGTTATACCAAAGGTTATAATTGTTATTCATCAAAGGTGGCAGAAAGGTTATAGGTGGGGTCAGATTCACATACCAGGTGCTTTTTCCACAGGTGCTGACGCCGAAGCACCATAGTTTTCACAATCAGCATACAGGGTACACATGCAAGGGCAATCAGCACCAACAAAACCTGGATCCCCATCTACAGATTCAAACAGAGAGAGGTTAACACAGTGTTGGTGATGTGTAGGGTGGTTAGAAGACACTAATTCCCTGAACAGGTCCTGGTCAGGCCTAATGCAGTCTACCTCTCACTGCTAGTACAGAAAAACCACAAAGCTGGCTTTCTTACTTTTGTCTCATTTGAATCAGCTTCATGAAACTAATCAACAATCATCCTTTGCTATAATGCAAAAAGGTACTTGTTAAAGATATTTGTTGTTTTCATATACTAATTAATCAGTAACTAATATGCTGATCTGAAACAAAGACTGACTATACTAACTATGTCATTAAAAGGAGAACAGACTTGAGTCTGAATGTTTTCTGTGGTTTCAATCTTCAACTTCATCGGGCAACAAGATGAACACAACAATGGTAAATGTTAGTCTGACTGATCGGATGTGGCCCTCAGGTTTGGCTGACTTTTACGTTTTCCACATTCTACTCTCCTTTCCAATTTCTGTTATACTGCTTCAAATGTAAAAAAAAAAAAAAACAAGCTCTTGACAAGGGCCGGGCGATAGAAACAATAAAAACATTCCTTCAATAGGTTAATGAAAACTTTGCTGACAGGGTCCATTGCTAAGATGTGTCAACAGCCAATCACACAACAGACACAAAGCTATTTCTAACCAATATCAAGAACAGACCTCTTTGTATAATGGGCATAGCAAGGTTGTTAAGTTAGCTGAACACTGTACAAGATGAGCTTCTATTGCGCTGTCAATCAAACAACCTTAAACATTAAGAGCTGTTGTCCATAAACAAGGTAATAAGACATTGGTGACAAGGTGATTTTTTGGCTACTCAAAAGTCCTATTTGGCCATGCAGTGGTTGAGGCAGTTGACAGACAGGGCTAGGGGACTTCCTATTTGCAGTAAGGCTGCAACTAATAATTATTTTCATTATCAATTAATCTGTTAATCATTTTCCAAATTAATCGATTAGTTGTTTGGTCCATAAAATGTCAGAAAATGGTCAAAATTGTTGGTAAAAAATATTTATCATATTTGAGATGCTGAAATCTAAGAAAACAAAAAAACAAACACTCAAAATGATGTTGTTGTCAATTAATTTAATAGTTGACCACTAATCAATTGACTGCTACTCGTACCCCCATTTGAAACTGCCTACTCCACTGAATTTGCATACAATTTTTTACCTTGACCAAGTAAGCTGTACGGAAAACTTAGACAAACTAGATAGATTTGTAACTAGCTATGCAAAAGAGCTCCCTCTCCCTTCTCCCTCTGGCACTTTTTGTAGCAAGGGCAGAATGTTTTTTAACTTCATTTCACATCCAATGTGCTAGAGAGGAGACAAAAAAATAAAACTAATATTAATGTCCTAATATTAATGTCATTGTTCAGTTGTCACTTCAGTGGTTTGAAAACTGTCCTTTAACTGGATGACCTGAGTTTAAGTCCTATGTCAGCAATAATAACTCGTACAGAAATAACCTAGAGCAACACACAAAACCTGACTGACCTCTGACCAGAAGAAAATAACATATAATTGCTATCGTGGATTTGATTGATATGAGCAGCTGTGCACCCATCTAGCAGGGTTCAACCATACGTGAGAGGAGGGAGGCTGGGAGAGGCAGAGGGGTAGAGGAGGGAGGGAGCACCTGTCCTGCGTAGAGGGGCTTGTTTGTGGGGTCGCTGTAGTTGAAAAGACACATGTTGATGAAGTGGATGAGCAGGCTGGGAGCGTCCTTGGAGGTGAAGGCGTCATAGGCTGTCCACTTGTAGAAGACCAGCAGAACGAGGTAGCCAAACAGGCTTGCCATGAATACGATCTCTGGGATAAAGCCCAGGAAGATGTTCAGTGGCTTCTTGAAGTACCTGCAGTGCAGTGAAGTCAGTTAGACAAGGCAGATTTCATAATAAGTCTGCATTGTTGCTGATTTGTTGAGTAACTTTATTTAGCCGGTTTTGGCCTGCAGGGAAAATACCATCAGCAAGCAGGTAATGTAAATGTGATGACGTTAAAAAGCACTGGCATTAGAGTTTCCACCAGGATAATTGTTTCATCATACTCCATCAGTGTATTCATTCAGATGGAGTCATAACTCAAATCCCATCAAACACATACTGCAGGAATTCACTCTTCAAATGTCACTTTTTCTTCAGGATTAACAGTAATCTGGGTGTATCTGCAGTCACAGAGGAATAACGAACTGGAGCTTTTTTTTCGTGTAGATTTACCAAAATATACACATATATTAAAAAAACAGAGCTTAGGCAAAAACTATGGCGAAGTCTTTGCATCTTTCAGGTTACATCATCTAAAGCATGATGGGAAGCCTGATATCAGACTGGTTAATTTATTTTCAAAATTACAACAAATGAAATGCAGGGTCCAAAAGAAACAGCCACCACGGACCAAATTAGGGTAAATATTGGATTTGGCAGAAAAATAAATTGGGGTCATCAGCCAGATGGCCAATAAATAATCTGGAGTCACAGCACAGGGCTAGGTTTACATTGCTGGGTTTTTATGTGTACCAGCTGAGACAAATGTGACACCCACTGTCCACCGTACCTGATCTAAGGTCAGAAAATCTAATCTATTTGACACTATTCAATTTCTAATATTTAAAACTATTCAAATTCTAATATTTGAAAATTTCTACACAATGTCTGTCTGTGTTTTCAGACATCTGTGTTACATGTTATTAGAGAAATGGCGACCACAAAGAGAATATTAAGAGGAAGAGAAAAGCCAAGGAGATTGACATTTTTGCGAGACGTGGCATCTGAATAATGCAGGAGCCCTGACTATTGACGCTCAAAAGGTTCAGAAAGGCTCAAAATGTGAGGTAATTATTCTTAATAAAATAATGCATGATGCAGTTTTATAGCTGGTAAAAATATATTTTTGGCTGGTAAACTTTCTTGGTTTAGCAGATGAGCCAATTTTTGAAATTTGGACCCTGATGACATGCCCAGTGTTAGTGATCCTGCTATAAGTCTGTAAATAAAGGGAGTGAAAATACCAAAAAGTTTAGGTGTTATTTTTCAGCATTGTTGTTAAGTATAGCACTCACAGGTGGTTGAAGAGACTGAGAGAGACTCCAAAGAGCATGTGGATGACACCCAGGATCACAGACATCTTCATCTTGAATGAGTTTAAGAAGGTCAGCTTGTTGGTGGCAACATTCCAGATCTGCAGAGATGACACAACAGGGTCATATGGTTGAGAACTACACCAAGGTGTATTAGGGTGCACTAACGTAAACCAAATATATTGGGAACGCTAAATTATTTGCTTCTTTGTGTTAATTATTTTGGTCAGACATAAATAATTAAAAACAATGCAATTTGAGAATCTTTCTGGTCTCATTTCATATCTTTGAAATAAAAAAATATATAAAAGGTTAGTGTGAGTGTGCCAGTTTTACCGGGTCGATTCCGAGTGGATATGGCCCGTTGAAGACACCAGGAACAGCTGGGTCTAACTGTAGAACTGCATTTCCTTCAAGTGTGTCAAACCTAGGACAGAGCAGCAGGAAATTAATGAATGAACTGAAATGAAAAAGGTTATTTACGTACTGCAGGTTTTAGAGGGAACAGCAATATATTTTAGAGCATGAATCAACCACATGAAGTTTAGTAAGATAAATAAAACAGAATGTTTTTCAATGATATGTTATGCAAAGACAGAGCTGAGAGGGGGGTCTGACTGTTGTAAGAGGGTTCCTTCAGTTTTCTACATACTGAATAGATTTGTAGTATGTGTAACAGTTCACTTACAGGTCTGTAATTATTATTTTTTTTGGACAAACAGACATAAGATTGATAACCATTCTGTCATCTCACTCTCGGAAATGTGCATATATATATTTGACAGAATGTTGAACTATTCATTTGATATGTTTGATATATTCATGACAAATATTTACAAAAATACAAAAAATCTGTGTGGCGCTTAACTTTCTCTAATGATGTTAGAAATTAGATGAACGTGAAGAAAGCATTAGTGAAAATCAGTTTGAAATGTGCAACACCACAGACATTATCAGTCCAAGCAGAAGTGGTGGCTGACTTACGACCAGTTAGCTCCTTTTGAACCAAACATGGGCCTGACGCTCCACCCAGAGCCAAACATGTTGAGTGACTTGGAGAAGCAATCGTTGTAAATGATACCGGTGTAGATGGAGAAGATCCCCATCAGCAGGATGATGTAACGACCAGCAAACACCATGTTGAACATCTATAGAGACACACAACAACTTATAAATATCATATATTGTATGTTTCTAACATGTGTACTGTGAGCTTGAACTGTGTTGTACTGTATGACTTGTTCATGTCTTACTGTACCTCATTGTCACTCTTCTGGGAGAGTAGGCGACTCTCTCGGATGACCAGGTAGAGGGCAACACAAGTCATCAGCACGCCGTGACCCATGTCACCAAACATCACCGCAAACAGAAAGGGAAAAGTAATGATGGTGTAGGGAGCTGTAACAGGTGACACACAGAAGGAGAAAGTCACACTACAGTGCTCAAAATAAAGCTCAATGACAGCACCTCTTATGTTCTGAGCAACTGAATTTTATTTGATTGTAGAATATTGCAATTGCAATGCATTTCTGATAAGAATTTATTATACATGTCTAGGGGAAATCATTATTTCCAGTCATTTCTAGTTGAGATGGTACTGTCAGTGGAAAATACTTCCTGCAGCCCTTTCACATTACAAGCTTGCAAGAAATTAAGGGAACGCTTTGAGCTGCTGAAAGGCTGTTAAGAAAAATAATTATTGATGGTACCTTAACAGCAATAAAAAAAGAGGGAGCCACTCAAAATATAGTCATTAAAAATCATTACTGTTCAAGAAGAGAAACTGAGAGCAAGGGAACAGGGGAACAGGAGAAATTAGAAATGAAGGTCTGTCACAAAACCTGTCTCCAACAAAGGCCTGTTTTTTTCGGCAGTTGAGGTCAACAAAAGCAATGACCACTTTCTGAGAAGTACAATTCCAACACAACAAAACAACAGCCACAAAAACCACAGAGTTAAACCCACTCTTTTGACACTGAGTAATTTGTTTTGCATAATGAGGGGTATAAATAAGAGACCCACAACACTGTTTTAAGGTGTCTTGACAAACAACACTGAACCAAGTACGGTTGTGCATCCAATTTCACAAAGGAGATAGATTTTAAAAAGCATACTCGTATATTGTCCTTAAAATTAGATATTTTTGCTGCTGAACTATCACAAGTTTTAGTGAATTCCAATGTGAAATAATATAATGATACAATATAGATAAATTAATGTCTGTATGACCTGGATTGATTTCCCGGTAGTTCCCGATGCCGTAGGCGTCAACGATGTTCTGGAAGCCTGACGTGAACTTGTTGGTCTTGTTGAAGGTAGGTGGAGTTTGCTTGGTCTGCATCCTGTTAAGGATGGATGGCACTGTTGAGCCGCTCCTCTCCTGTCAAAAAAAGCCCTAAATTATCAGCCAAATACTCTTGTTGTAGAGCTGAGAGCAGCCCTAACACAACTTCCTGACTTATAGAAAATTAATTTAAGTCCAACTAAAATTAATACTGGATACATACTTTGTTACTTGTGATTACCAAGGAGAAAATCAAATCATATTTATATTTCCGCAGTGATAGCAGCAAATATTATTCTCCAATGGGCATGATTGTCCCGGTTTTCAAACTCATCCTTTTCTAAAAAGCTCCAGGAGGCATTAATCATTCATAAACTAACCAGCAACGAAAATGTGTTCATGGCGTTCATGGTGTTTAAAGGTACACTAAGGGCTGAAATAATTGTCCACCTTCCTGATGAAAAGGCCTTTGGTGTAAGGCTGCTCAATTAATCGAAATTTTGTCATGATTACGATTTTGGGGCCAAACGATCTCAACACTAATAAAATCGGGGGGGGGGACAGATTTCTTTTCATTTTCTATTGTGCAACGTTGTACAGAAAAAAGCTGTGTCCCAATTCAGGGATGCAGCCCCTGAATTGGGACATGAGTCATGCGTCATGCACTCGGTATACTCGCCGTTCCCGACCTGTCGCTCGACAATGTGAAGTCACGGGAGCGCCGTAACTATTTATACTTGCGCTGGTGGTCGCGACACTAGTTGCAGTCTTCTCCTGTCACGTTGTTTTCATTTGAACAGGTAACCGGAGACTTACAAATGTTTATGGGGAAAGGAAAGTGTAACTGAGGACTTCCTTGCAAAGTGTTTTTGACAAATGTCCAATAAATGCAGCATGTTTCTGAAGTTTAAAAAAATAATCGTTTGAATAATCGGGATTTCAATTTTGACCCAAATAATCGTGATTAGGAATTTTTCCATAATCGAGCAGCCCTACTTTGGTGCATGAATGAACATGCAGTACACTTCTGTCCTGGTTTGGGACTGTGAAACTATGGTCACCTATGTGTGACAGCTGCCAATGACTCAGCAGGTGCTGAAATAATAGGAACAAAAGGTAACATCAGTGGTAACATTAGTGGAAAATAAGCTTAACAGCACAATGGGTCCTCACAAATATTGACTGTTGTTAATTCACCCCAACAATAAATTGAAATCAACACTTTTTGGGCTTGTTAAGAAACCAAAAATTGCCTTGTATCCTCATTAAGATAAACAGCAAGATGTTCAGTTCACAGCACATTATTGATGCCAGAAAACGCCACTGGTGGCTCAGTATGTTCTCCTGCAGCAACCTTTTTCCTGTTCACTCACAAAGCTTCAGTGATCTGTATATGAACTGCTGCTGTATATAAAATCAAAACAGTTTTTCCTTTGTTTCATTACTGAAAGAGGAAAGCCAAAGCATACTAGTGTAAGTGTAACATATATCGCTCTGTTTATCAGCAGTAAAACATGCTAAGACTAAACAACAGGAAGCAGAGTGAAACTGGAAGGAGATCTGAGATTTTACTCAAGCAAAAGTACAAGCTATGTCAATAATATAGTCACAATAAGTTATTCGCCTGTAAGCTTAAAAACACAACAACAGAAATGTGATACGTTTTTCTACACTACACTACAAAAACAAGAACATGAAATTGATCAGTGTAAATAAATACACAACCAAACAAACCCACCGTTCCTCTGCGCAGAGCGAACTGGATGGAGTCCAGGTCTGAGACGGGACACCACACCTCAGCAATCAGACACTTCTGGGTGACGTCGATGTTGCAGAGGTTGAGCGTATGGTAGATGGCCTTCATCTTCCTCACTTTGATAAACCACACCCGCATGGTCTTGGAAGCGGCCTGCAGCACTCGCTGACGGTGGTCCTCTGTTTGGTTCAGCACCTACAGTTACAGCAGAAACATGTCTACCTACGTTATTGGGCAGGCTGTGGCTCAGAGATAGAGTGGGTTGCCCCACGATCCCCGGCTCCTCTGGCATGTTGAAGTGGTCCTTGAGCAAGATACTGAACCCAAAATTGCTCCCGATGTGTATGCATTGATGTTTGACTGTGAATGAATGAGTATTAGTTTCTGTTGGATGGCCTTGACCATGACTGTGTGAAAGGGTGAATGTGGCATGTAAAAGTGCTTTGAGTGGTCAGGAGACTAGAAAGGCGCTATACAAGTACAGTCCATTTACCATTTAGTTTACAACCTGGTACAAAAACTGGTTTTGTTCTCTATAGCTAAATAAACTAATTAAAGCAATGAATAATCAAGGGAGTTTGAGTTTCAGCAACCAGGCTTCATTCAGCCTGCTTCACATGTTTTTTTAATTTTATTTAATTTTTTTGGATTAGCCAGGAGCTGGCGGAGTCAAGACTGTCAAGACAGCGATAGCCAGAACCAACCACACTGAGCTTCACAATAGTTCTTCAGAAACCTATGGGTGACGTCACAGAGACTGCAGCCATTTTTAATTATACAGTCACTTGTTGCTTATTGACATGGTTTTGTGACATGAACACCATGTGAGACAAAGACCTAGAATGAGGAGTATTAGTGATGTTAACATGTTGGCCAATGGCACAAATGGGTTGATCTTGCCATACTGGCTGCCAGAGTCAAGTCATGTTTATGCACAGAATCAGATGTTCTATGTAAACCTGAGTAGAATGCTTCATTGTAGTAGAGTGTAATACATTGTATGTGGTTGGCAGGCTCAGACTAGAGCTGACCTCTCAAGCAGAACCAGGGCTTTTTTCCAGGCTTAATAAGGGCAAACCACAACACTATGGGCCAGGACAAAGGTCTTTCTCAGATAAGAACTAATGCAGGAGAAAATACCCTCCTCAGTATGGGGGCTTTTGTAATTTGATTGGAAAAACATTTTTATGAAGGAAGACTGAGCAGGAGCCTGAATACAGACATCCTGTTGTGCAAAGTTTCTGATTAATTTCTTGTTGTATAGTGATCAGTAGAAACAAAGAGTACAAAGACCCTTTGAAAAAAATATTAAATTAGAAAAATAACTGCACTGCTAATCGTAATGTGGCTTAAACAATAAGCAAGCTTTAGTCCAAGGTCAACCAGCTCCATGGAAACTCTCACTTTACTCTATTTTGATTTTTTTGTTAATTTAATGTGTGCATAATACTAAAAATAGGTGGTAAAGCTCCATTATAGTGACAAACATACCATCTGGAGGTCATCGATACGACTGTTGACTCCAGCCAGCATCTCCTTCCTCTCCTGTGGGGTCTCTGGACACGGGTAAAGCGAGGCACGGAACCTGGAAGAATTCAACAGAGTTAACACACAACCTCTAACACATACAGTACGTTCTCCTTGTTTCCATCCAGTTTCCTTCTTACTTACTCATGCACACATGAAAACATTTCTTGCATAGCTGAGTTGACAAACTCAAATAGTACAACTTTTCAAAAGGTTCTGCAGTGATTTTGTATTGCACAACAGATAAACAAAACACAAAGGCAAAAATGCAATAGCATTTTGCTGTGTATCACCCACCCCTCACAGATCTTCTTTACCCTGTTCTTCAGCTGGTCACCTTGGAAGAAGATAATAAACACCGATTTGTGGACTTGGTCTCCCTGTTGGAAAGAGAAGAAGTCATTAGAAAACCTACATGTACAAATAAGTTGTGTATCTGTTCCTAATATGTATAAATGTAAGTTATGATATATTATAAATGGGTATGATATATATATAATATATAATATTATGTATATATTATTAATATGTCTCTTTACTATTGTCTGTGATGTATGTTATGTGAACTGACTGTGGCGGGGTCCTCCAGAGGATCCTCAATCTCTGCCTTCCTTAAGAAGACGTTACCGCGACACACCCTCCACAGCATCCTCTCAAAGGTTGGAATCCTCTCCCTGCTGATCACTCCAGCCACAAACCTGCACAGACAAAATGTGCAAAGAGCAGACACAAAATGTTGTCAGTGTTGATTCCCTGACACTTATCATTCTTGGTCAGCAGCATGGCTAACTAGCTTACATGTATAGCTACCAGCTATTATGGCAATTTTTTTTCTTTATGTTGTGAGAGAAAGCAATTGGGAAAAAGGAAACCGGACATATACCCAACAAATAGAAACACTGAACCTAGCAGGCCAGCTACGATAACTAGTTTATGCAATTTCATTATATTGGCTCCCTCCTCTCTTCCTCCCCCAGCTAACAAGATTACCATGCAATGAAAGCAACATTATGTAACTTTCTTACCTTAAATAAAAACAAATGATGCTACACTGAGTTGTAATAGGGTGAATTGTGCCTCTGTCTTTCACACTCTGCACCCTGTACACCTGTTCTTGCAACTTACTTGTAACTTGTAACTTTGGTGTTGGAACAAGTGAGTAGCACTTTATGGCACTAAGTCACACACTATGAACTATGTCACTAATTTCCCTCTAATGTCCTCTGGTTGCTCCACCTCAACTCCTGTGATTTGACCGTGTCATGACCCGTCCTACTCTGCCTCTGATTGGCTGGCATTCATTGGTTTGGTTGTTTAGGGTTAGGCGTGGGGGATGAGAGAGAGGGTTTGGGTAAAAATGTCAGTAAGCCAATCAGAGGCAAAGTAGGGCGGGTAATGACTTTACCATCAGAGGCAAAGTAGGGCGGGTAATGACTTTACCATCCTACTGTCTACCAAACGTTTTATTCATGTGCGGTGTGTAGTGCAGTTCAGATTACTATTTAAATACTTGCTTTAGACAACTTTAGAATGTGTATTAGAGAGTATGATGCAGTCCTCATGCTTTACCCCAGTCTGAGCGGGGCCCCGCGGCCCCCCTCACTGCCCTCCATTAGGGCGGACGACTCCTCCAGAAGGTTGGGATCCTCCATCTGTTAAGACATTGGGGAGACCTCAGTTACTTCATTCATGGAAGCATATCAATGATCTATTGTACCTCTGGGTGTGTGCTGTGTATGTCTGAGAGAGTAAAATGAGCAAACCTCATCAAAGAACTGCTGCGTTCGACGAAGGATGTGTTTGAGCTCGGTCAGCTCCAGGAAGTTCTTCTTCAAGGCTTCCTGGTTCGTGTTGATCTCCTTCAGTTCGTTCTCCAGCTTCTCGAAGGTGGCCTGCCAGTCACAATCAAGAGACACACGCTGTTATGGATTTATTCCTGAAGAGACAACTTTTACACCTGCTTTTACAATGTTAGCTACTGTCTAACCTTAAAGAAAGAACAGTATTTCCCATGCTCATATCAACACGCAGCATTCAGCTACAAAAATTAGGGATGGGGACGACACATAATATTATCATGTATCGCGATAAAACAGATAAGTACATCTTGGTGAATTTTAATTATTGGGATAATAGAATATCCTCACATGATTGACTAAGCTTTCTAGTTCGCAAATGTACAGTCTTATATTGATTTACTGCCACAAGGGGGAGCCTGCATCTTTCCAGACATTCCAAAATCCTGAGCTAGTCAACATGGCATTGTATCCCTCACAAAAGGTTAAACTGGATGTGTGTAAATAATATGGATCCCACACTTACCAACAACAGGAAAATTAGGTTTCTGTGACGCAATAAAAATATTTATTTGTTACTAAAAGAACAAGATTCCAGGATGCTTTAGTGCCATTTTAAGATTTTCCCTGTGGGTCCCTGTGAAATGTAACATTCTCTCTTGCAATTTTTTTCTACCTTTCTTTCAAATAATCAGTACGCAAGGGCTAAAATCTCTGTGTGAAATTTAGAATAGAATTTAAAATCCTCCTCCTCACCTATAAAGCTCTTCATGGTCAGGCCCCTTCATATCTTAAAGAGCTCATAGTACCCTATTACCCCTCTAGAACACTACGTTCTCTGAATGCTGGGCTACTTGTGGTTCCTATAGTCTCTAAAAGTAGAACAGGAGCCAGAGCCTTCAGTTACCAAGCTCCTCTCCTGTGGAACCAGCTTCCAGTTGTGGTTCAGGAGGCAGACACCCTCACCACATTCAAGAGTAGGCTTAAGACATTCCTCTTTGATAAAGCTTATAGTTAGGGCTGGATCAGGTGAGTCCTGAATCATCCCTTAGTTATGCTGCTATAGGCCTAGACTATCGGGGGATTTCCCATGGTGCACTGAGCTCCTCTCTTCCTCTCTCTTTCTGCACTCATTCATGTCCCATTAATGCATGTTACTAACTTCACTTCTTCCCCGGAGTTCTTGTGCTTTCTCGTCTCGCAGGTTCTCATGGATCCTGGTGGAGCCTCTTGCCATGGTCCTGCTTGACTGCCATTGCTAATATCACTGATATTAGTGTTATTATTATTATTATTATTAGTAGTAGTAGTAGTAGTATTAGTATTAATATTATTATTATTAACATTATTATTACTACAGTTACTATTATTACTATTGTCACTGCTCATTGTCCCCCATCGTTGCTGTTGTCGTCGTCATCATCTTCTACTGTTGTTGCGACCACCCACCTAGAGCCGAAGGATCTGTCCTAGGTTTCTGCCTTTTAACAGGCAGTTTTTCCTTGCCCTTGTCGCCAAGTGCTTGCTCATGGTGGTACTGTTGGGACTCTGTAAATAATGTTATAAAGAGTTCGGTCTAGACCTACTCTATTTGAAAAGTGTCCTGAGATAACTTCTGTTATGAATTGGCGCTATACAAATAAAATTGAATTGAATTGAACTGAATTGAATTAAACACAAAGCCAACAATCCTGTATTTCTCATCAATGATTTCCTCTTTTGCCCTCTTTCTTCTCCGTATAATAATAATAATAATAAATAATAAATGATATGATAATTACAGATTGGAGATTGGTTACCTCTAGGTCAATCATGTCCCTGGGAAAAGGCACCTCTGGATTTTCTCCAGTGTCCACAGTTGGAATGTTAGCTTTCTTGATCTCCTTCTCCACAAACCCTGTTGAGCAGAGAGAATCCATGATTCAATAACTCACCTCAAGATTAAAAAAGAACTTGATAATTTTCTCATTGACAACCCTGTAATTTGCAGGTTTTTTACAGTTTTTGTGGGCCTTCATGGGAGTGGTAAAAAAACATCTAAACCGCATTTATGTGGTCTTAATCTGACAGGAGCAATAATAGAAGAAAACTGAAGCTCGGCTGAATCATAGGTAAGAACTACACTGGGCCCTTGGCTGGGCCTGATTTGTCTCATTACTTACTCAGTTTCCTGTCCATCTCCTCACATCTCCTCACTTCATTCACAAACTTGCGCTGGAACACATTCACATCTGGATTCAGCTGTGGGTGGAAAAAAGAGGGGAAAATGTTATAATAATTATGGATATTTGGCAAAACCTCAAAGTGACTAGTGCAGAGAAAAGGAACTGAAAACATCTATATATGAATTCATTATTTATCACCAATACATGATGTAATAGGAAAGACATGAGTAACACCACCTACTCTCTGGCCGCTCTCTTATTTCTGCCTTCAGAGGAGTTCTACCTCCAAAAACTGGCAAAGCATGAGCACATTCATACTCACATCTCTAAACTGCACCATGCCTAGTTCTCCCAGCTCGCTGACGCAGCAGTAGGCTGCTTCAGACTGCAGAAACAGCTGGGCCAGGGTCATCTCCTCACTCCTGAACAGTTCCCCCATGATGACTACCACACTCCACAACTAGAACAAAAAAACACTGCACCCAGGACAGGAAGACATGTAGAAAAATTAGATTTAAAGATTTTTTTTATATGTTCAATCATTTTTTGACACAGTGAAAAGGTCCAGTAAATGGACATATACAAACCCATTTTTTGTGCAGGGCAGTATAACAACACACCAATTTCACTTTAGTTTTATTTGATTATTATTTTGTTTGAATATAACAAATGAATTGAGGAAACTAAAGTGGATGGGGAGTTTTGTTTTCATCTTTTGTAATTTTTGTAGCGAGGATAGCAAGCTATCTGGGCTAGCTCTCCAACTTCTTTGTATCAGTGCATTTAAAGTGACAGGATAAGATATGGATTATTATCCTGTCTGGTGCCCAACTATATTCTCGATATTATTCTAACAACCTTCCTGGTTTCAGCTTCTCACCTGTGAAGATTTCCTGCTTTCCTTGTCTTAAATTACAGCAGAATAATACTGAGTTTTGGATTGTTGAGTAAACAGTAGACATTTGAAGGTGACACTGACTGTGATCGGCAATTCTGACAATTCTTTTATATTTAAAAAAACAAATCAAGAAATTAATCATCAGTTGCAGCCCTTTATAAAATAGGTAATAATTATCTCTGCCAACTACAAAATTAAATGTTGCTCAAACATTAAAGTACATTTAATAATCCAATGCCATACTCTAAAATAGTACATTAAATTCAATTCAATTCAGTTTTATTTGTATAGCGCCAATTCATAACAGAAGTTATCTAAGGACACTTTTCAAATAGAGCAGGTCTAGACCGAACTCTTTATAACATTATTTACAGAGACCCAACAGTACCACCATGAGCAAGACCTTAGCGACGCCAGTACATACAGTATGTAATTAGATATACTATATACACTCACAGGGACCATTTTTCTGCATTGAGTACATTAAATAAATTTTCCTGATTATACTTATGTACTTTTACTTTAGTACTAAACTTACTACTTAACTTACAAAGTTTCCATGTGGCATTTACCTGTAATGGAGTGCGGTGTGGTATTATTACTTTTACTTACCAAATACTTTCTTCACCACTGGTTAATTGCACATTTGTTTGATAATGTGCACTAAAGCTCAATATAAACTCACAGCTCCTGTATTTTGATCTGATCTTAAAATGCTGTCCTCTCTAATTTCCAGCCAAAACATTCAAAACATTATTTTAATATGTTTATCAATTGCGTTGTTCTAGACCCATGCTGTCTTCTTCCTTATTGCCTGGACCTTAGGCTAGCCCAAAAAAGTAAGGAATGTCTGTATTTTTTTTTTTATATGACAAACGTAATAAATATATTGTTAAAAATCTATTAAGGGCTTCTGTTAATTGATTAAGTCATCAGTTATTAAAATGTTTGGTTTGATAAATCGGTAGTGAAAATACTAGCCTTACTTTGATCAAATTAACACTGAGTGAGGGCAGCACAGATAGATAGATAGATAGATAGATAGATAGATAGATAGATAGATAGATAGATAGAAAGGTTATGAACTCATTCTAAGCACCAGACAGTAAAAACCATACGAATCTTATAGGCTACTTCTCATTAAATATAAATAACAAATGTTATATATAATAATTATATATAATCATATAATATGCCTATCTAAAGTCATATTCATATACTGGTCATTTTTATGGAGGATGATTAAATTACTTACACAAAACGGTCTGATTTAATATCCATTCATCACTCATATGTTATACTTACGTATAAGATACTGTACATACAAGAAGGTGCTAGAGCTGAATACGGAAGGGAATTGCGCTTATTTGCCAAGAGTTGAAGGGTTGGCCTCTATAGTAACAGCTCATACACAACGCAAGGACGTAGCCTGAATATCACCTGCAACTGCAAGTCATCATTATGAATGTAAAAACAGTTAAAGCAAGCTTCTTAAAAGCCCCGAGCTAGCATGCAGAGCGTCGCTGCGGTCCTGTCGCAGCATCCCATCTGCTGCTGCTCTGCCCTTCACTGCTCAAGGACGCCATGATGCTACTGGCCGGGCCCGGCTCGGCCTGCCGCTCTGTTTGAGCATCTGTCGCCTCCTCCCTCACACTCAATATGTCCGCTTTTAAAAAAAGGTACACCATTCGATACATATAAAGATAAGTTATATTACATTAATGCTTACACACCAACATCATGGGCCAGATATCAAAGGCTGCAGGCTGTGGTGTAACGTTAAGAAGCTGTAATTAACCGGTGCAACATAACGTTACATTTAACGTAAGAAACACATCACTGCAAACATTATTCGCCCGCGACAGAAGCAGTCGTCGGTGTCACATTATCACCGTCCTCTCAGCATCACTCGTCCAAACATTCGCCATTGGTCATAATTCCCTAACTAGCACAGTCTGAAACACAGACATTACCGCATTTTACGTTAAAGGCTTTTCAAATGTCCATTTACTCACCTGTGTAAACGGCAGCAGCTCCCTCTGGCCCGTCAACCCCCCTGGATGCTGCTGGATGCTGCTGGATGCTGTGATCATCCAGCTGGTGCATCAAATTAGATACAGTCCGCCGGAAACATACCCGAAAATACAAGGTTTCAGAATAAAAGCATGGTGTCTTTACGTGATGGAAATTATGTATTTTTTCAACATTGACTCTAAAATTGTTAATGATACTAATGCATTTCAAATATGTTATATTATTGATCTCCCGCCCTGGTGCATTATATTGGTTAAAATAATGCTGATAGATTCGTAATTATGTTTTTTATTTTGGAAATCCCAAACGGAAGCTCATATAAACAATTCCGTCAACTTCACACGGTTGTTGCAGGCTTTTATGATCAGTAGGTATAGCGTGCCATCCGCACAGTATACATTTACATATTAAAAGGATAAAAAAGACACACAGGCAACATTTTGTATACACATTGTGTACATCCTCTCTCCACACACACACACACACACACACACACACACACACACAGGACTGTGAAGACCCTTAGAATAAGAAACAGCCCTATAAATTATGAGAACACAGGGGTAATATATTGCTTAAAGTCCCCCTCCAGTGAGAAATCAGTATTTCTTCCTACAGTGTGATGTTTGAATGCTGTGTGTGCAGAGTTTGACACTAGAAGGATGTTTTCACATTCATCTGCTGAAAGTTGCTGTGTGTCATTATGCTCATTGAAAACCTGATATAGTGACTGATGATGATGAACATGAAGAAGACGACGACGACAACAACAACAGCAACGATGGGGGACAACGAGCAGCGACAACAGCAACAACAGTAGCCGTAGCAATAATAATACTAATATTAATAATAACACTAATATCAGTGATATTAGCAGTGGCAGTCAACAAGGATGGTTCAGGACTCACCTGATCCAGCCCTAACTATAAGCTTTATCAAAGAGGAATGTCTTAAGCCTACTCTTGAATGTGGTGAGGGTGTCTGCCTCCCGAACCACAACTGGAAGCTGGTTCCACAGGAGAGGAGCTTGGTAACTGAAGGCTCTGGCTCCTGTTCTACTTTTAGAGACTATAGGAACCACAAGTAGCCCAGCATTCAGAGAACGTAGTGTTCTAGAGGGGTAATAGGGTACTATGAGCTCTTTAAGATATGAAGGGGCCTGACCATGAAGAGCTTTATAGGTGAGGAGGAGGATTTTAAATTCTATTCTACATTTTACAGGGAGCCAGTGCAGAGAAGCTAGTACAGGAGAGATGTGATCTCTTTTTCTAGTTCCTGTCAGTACTCGTGCTGCAGCGTTCTGAATTAATTGTAGTGTCTTAATGGACTTATTGGGGCAACCTGATAATAAAGAGTTGCAGTAATCCAGCGTAGAAGTAACAAATGCATGGATTAGTTTTTCTGCATCTGTCTTTGATAGGATGTGTCTAATTTTTGTATTATTACGTAAATGAAAGAAGGCAGTCCTGGAGGTCTGCTTTATGTGGGAATTAAATGACATGTCCTGATTAAAGATAACTCCAATCACTGTGTCCCTTATCTCTCTACTGTCTCTATAATAACACAACAAAAAGCACAAAAAGCACAACATTCTTAAAAATGAAGGTGAACTATTTCAAAAAAGTTAACAGCAGAATAGTCAGTCACACTCTGTATTGTCCTGACTGAATCAGTCAGGAAAATAAGTTAGTTTATGTTCAATGGGCTTTGGTAACAAAAACACAATTCCTATATTCCAATGATTATACACTAATGAAAACATACCTATGAATATTATATTCCATTTCTGACAATAGATCCTCCTAAATGGACCTTTAAGTCTTGTAGTATTTATGGGATGATTCTTAACACATCAGTACAGACATATGTTAAGCCTGTCTTATTCTGTCTGACAATTGATTAACATTACACAGTAATGTAAATGGTAAATGGGCCTGTACTTGTATAGCGCCTTTCTAGTCTTCCGACCACTCAAAGCGCTTTTACACTACGTGCCACATTCACCCTTTCACACACATTCACTCAGTGATGGCAAAGTCCATCGAACAGAAAGTAACATTCATACACACTCACACACCGATGCACGGCATCGGGAGCAATTTGGGGTTCAGTATCTTGCTCAAGGATACTTCGGCATGTGGCACCAGGAGCCAGGGATCGAACCCACAACCTTCCAATTAAGGAACGACCCGCTCTGCCTCTGAGCCACAGCTGCCCATAATGTGCACAGTATGTCTTGTATTCCTCTTTATGCATGAAATTGGGAGCATAATAGCTGTTATTATTTTCACCCTGGCAGTGTGTGAGCAGCGTCATCATGGCAAAATGTGGTCCTTGGGCGCCCAGTTAGCTCAGTCGGTAGAGCTGGCAACCCATATACAGAGTTGCTGCAGCGGCCCGGCTTCGAATCCGACCTGCAGCCCTTCGCTGCGTGTCATCCCTTGTCTCTCTACCCACCCTTCCTATTGATCTTCAGCTGTCCTATCCAATAAAGCCATGAAAAGGCCAAAAAATAACTTAAAAAAAACAAATGTGGTCCTTGAGACACCTACTGTAGCAGGAACCACCACAGAAACAGTTTGGAGTACTTTGCCAAGCAGTGGCAAACTCAGGCTGATTAAGGGGCAGGGGCAAAAAAATATAAAGGAACCAGTGTGCAGAAATATATGATGCATTTATGGTGAAACAACTTAGTCGGGGTAAGCACCCTAGAGGCCATTTTTGTCTTTTGTTGTTGTTTTGATGTAAGAAATCGCCTAGCAACAGAAATTACACATTGTAAGTTGAATATTCTGCCATTAATCAGACATGTTGTGGAAATTTAACCCCACCTTAGTATTTCACAGTCTGTACTATATCAGATTAGATGATTATCATGCACTAACTTGTGCCTGAGAGGTGAGGTGCTATGCCACCTAATTTTGTATTACCTAAAATAGTGCTACCAAAACCACGCCTCTAAATGTCCTGAGAATAAGGTCTACCAGATGTGTTGGAATAGTTCACAACTGGCCAAGTGTTGAGTCAGTAGGCCAACTAACAAGATCCTGTAGAAATTTTCCTCTTACAAACAGCGCTATTAGAGTTTCATCCCCTCTCAGTTCCACATGGTGCAGGGTTTAAATCAGGACACTGGCAGGCTGCCAGCGAGCAAATTTGGAACTGAAGAACTCCCATAATGTACATGAAATACTGCAGCAGATTTCTACGAGAAACTGCTTCTGAAAGATAGCTGTCTGCCTCATTTCATGTGGTTTTCATAATTTGTGTGCATTAGTGCATTTGTAATTGTAATGCAGGAGAAAGTAGACCAGAACTTACCACTGAGTTGCATATGGAATAAAATATTAAGGTAATGATTGGAAGGTGTTTCATGGATTTCAAATAAGAGATCGATTTTATTCAAAATAGGCCTCTCTTGCAGCTGTTGGCCCTTGACCCTTGTCTCAGTTTTCACTATGCACTTGCAGCTACTGACTGTAGTTCTGGCTAACATCTGTTATAATTCAGGTGTCTGAATCCCTGGTTTGCAGTCACTTGCCCAGTGCTGCCCTTGAACCTTATCAGTTTGCATATAGAGCATATAGGTCTGTCGATAATGCAGTGTAACTATGTTTGCACTCCTCAAATGGTAAATGCATGGTAAATGGACCTGTACTTGTATAGCGCCTTTCTAGTCTTCACACACCAATGCACAGCATCAGGAGCAATTTTTGATTCAGTATCTTGCTCAAGGATACTTCAACATGTGGCAGGAGGAGCCAGGGATCAAACCAACAACCTCCCGATTAGTGAACGACACGCTCTGCCTCTGAGCCACAGCCGCCCTCAACACCTCGAGGCACCTGCGACTTATGCAAGGGTTCTGTTTTAATACAATTCTCAGAAGATCTTGGGCTTCCTTCATGGGTAGAGGTAGGTTGTCAGAGTAAAGTCTATTTTAGTAATACTGGTGCCCCATAGGGATTGTCTCCACATACTCACTTTACACCAATGACTGTATATCCTACTGATACCGCATTGGTGGGACTAATTTCTAACAACAATGAAAGAGCTTACAGAAACGAGGACTGCTCTGGTGGACTTCCGTAAGAGTCATAGTGTAAATTCACTTAACATAAATGGTCAGGAAATTCGTCAGATAGAGCACTACAAATTCTTTCGTGTAATCTCTTCTTTTTCAAAGTGTGACGTCAACACTACAGCAATGCTGAAAAGAGCTCAGCAAAATACAACTGAAAACGTTTTCCATATCATCCGAAAGTATGGTTCAATTTTATTCAGAGCATCTTCACCTTTGAACAATTGTGTTTTACTGTATGGAAACACATCAGCACAAGACAGGAAATGTCTGGAATCTACACCATCAGACTACGGAAAAAGGGGCACAATATTCCTCATGACTCCACTCACCCTGCCAACCATCCTTTTAACTTCTTCCATAACCGGGTCTGATCCGTGTGCAGCAGTACAGAAACTTAAACTGCTGTTTTTAATTGGTGATTTTAAGATTTATTTCCACCAAACCAGAGTTGGTGATTGTTGGAACAGTGGCAAGACTAACAAAGACTGTGTTGGTGAGTTTTATTTTGTTTCTGTCCATTGTAAGTCCTATTTCTCAGATCGTTCTCAGTTTGTACATGTTAACAATGAGTCCTCCATAAACACTAAAGTTAGTCATGGAGTTCCACAAGGTTCTGTGCTTGGACCAATTCTATTCACCATATGCTTCCCTTAGGCAACATTATTAGGAATCACTCCATTAACTTTCATTCAGATGATACCCAGTTATATCTATCAATCAAGCCTGATGAAATTGATCAATTATCTAAAGTACAGGCATGTCTTCAGCACATAAAAACCTGCATGAGCTGCAATTTTCTGACCCCCTGTCCACAGTTAAGAGTAGGCTTAAGACGTTCCTCTTTGATAAAGCTTGTTGTGTCTGTTGTCATCATCAACATCATCATCATCATCATGTCATTTCTATTCTAGTATAGTTGTTGTGGTTGTGCACCTTTGTCTCTGTCTCTGTCCTTCTCTATTTTCCCTTTCTCTCTCTCCCTCTCCCTCTCTTTCCTTTCTCCCTCTCTCTCCCTCTCTCTCCTTCTCTTTCTCTCTCCCTCTCTCTTTCTCCTTCTCCCTCTCCCTCTCCCTCCCTCTTTCTTTCTCCCTCTCCCTCTCCCTCTCCCTCTCTCTCTCTCTCTAACCCCAACTAGTTGAGGCAGATGGCCACCCACCCGGGTCTGTCCGAGGTTTCTGCCTATTTTTTCCTTGCTGCCATCGCCAAGTGCTTGCTCATGGTGGGAACTGTTGGGTCTCTGTAAATAATGATGTTACAAAGATATGCAAGGTAAAATCGCAGTTTTTATCTATGAAGTCTCGATGCAAGTAAAAGTAATATAATGGTTCAAAGCGCTACTCTACATCACCCCATTCACATACATTAGACTCGTTCGAGATGATCACCGGTGATCACCACACAATGCATGCTGGTTAAATTTGTGTCCGGCTTGCTCTGACGTCGTGCACAAACGACTTTTGTTTTAATCTGTTTCTGGCTTTATTGCTGAAACGCATTTTACCTCAAGCGAAATAGCCTACAGTCTGTAAAAAAGGACCAGCAAAAAAAAAAAGGAACAGCAGACTTGGTGGGCGTGGTCCAGCCCACCACGGAGGGTGCTGTGGCCCCAAGAGTAGAGAAGAAGAAATCAGGTAAATCGGAGACTGTTGTGCCCACATCTTTACAGAGACCTGCTCCATCAACACTACGGATCCTTGACAGGCATCATCTTGTTCCTGCTGTTTACATTTCCCTGGAGTGTGTACTACATCTATGTATATAAATACTTGTCCCCCAACCTCCCTCAAACTACATGCAACAGATAGGCAACATATAAGCCCAGTACTTTTACAGAAACACCCCTCCTAGGAACCATCAGAAGTTCATTTTGTTTCCAATCTTAGCGTCTTAATGTCCTTTTCTTTTCAGGCGTCTTTTATCCATAATAATTCCCGCCCTGCCTTCCATGAAAATGCTCTGCATAGAAAGGAGAAAGGAGTGGAAACAGGAACAGATCCTGCCTGACATTCCTCCCTCTGCTGTGCCTGAGCTTGTATACAAGCAGATCAGTGCCGCTCTGCTATAACTATTTCAACCATGCTGATGGGACAAGGCTAGACCAAAGGGGTGTGTTATTGAATCATCAAGGGCCTGGACCTGCCCAGCTGTAGGTGGAGTCTTACTGATGTGTGTGCGTATTTAGGGAGGAGATTAGGGAGGAGTTTGAGGAGAGGTGGAGAGTCCAGTGGAAAAAAAGGGGGAGTGGGAGCAGGAGAGAAAAAAACCCTGCTGGCCGTAGCTTGACTGGAGTGTTTCTCTGCCTGGTGTGGCATTCACATCCTAACGCTCATGTGGTAACATCCAGCATCGCTTGGCTCCCCCTGCTCACTGGCCTGATTCCAGGGATTTGAAGGAGACAGACTGAGAAAGAGAGTCAGTGTGCATGTATTCTGGAAAGAGATAAGTGAAGTAGGAGGGAATAAGACCAGAGGCCCGGAGAAGAGAAGAAAGGGAGAAGCAGGTGAGAAAGCAAACTGTCGAAAAAGTCTAGAATCTAGAAGAACCAGCAGTGAAGAAACACTGATTAGCCGACTAAATCCACTGACATGGCAGCCATGGAAGCACTGGAATCCTCAAGTGCCCAGCTGGAGCCTCAGACCCTCACTGAGATCTCAGATGACGAGGTGAACCTCCCACCCTCAGATGACGAAGATGATGCCCTCACTGCAGCCAAGAAAGAGCTGTCCACCATGGGCACTGAGGGGGATGCAGCCGAAGACAAGGATGAGGCAGGAAAGCACGACCAGCAGGTGAATGGGGTCATGGTGCTGTCTTTGCTCGACAAGATCATCGGGGCGGTGGACCAGATCCAGCAGACCCAGAGCGGGCTGGAAGCCAGGCAGCAGGAGATGGAGCGTTCTGTGACTAGCATCCAGGGTGAGCTGACCAAACTGGCCAAGAGTCACAGCACCACATCTAATAGCGTCAATAAGATGATGGAGAAGGTGCGCAAGGTGAGCGTCAACGTCAAGACGGTGCGGGCCAACCTGGAGAAGCAAGGAGGACAGATCAAGAAGCTGGAGAACAACGAGGCTGAGCTGCTGAAGAGACGCAACTTTAAAGTCATGATCTACCAGGTGGGAGAGTGTGTGTATGCATAAATACAGTATCATTGTGTGCTTGTGGTTTGTCTGTCTAAGGCTGTAAAGTACATGACACCTTATTGGTTAAGGGATGGGTGTGGCCCCCCGGTGAACCAAACACGTTTGGGTTCTTGAATGTGAATGAAAGTCATGTCCCTGCCAAATCACTTACCCAACCCCCAAAAAAGATCCAGTAGTGGTTTAATACGAGTGAACATGAAAGCGGTGGTTTGCCAGAGATTTTAGTCAATTTGCTGAGGTGCATAGGGTTTCAGGGAGTGGTTACAGGTTACCTCAAAGTAATGCTGGCAAGAGTTCAAGTGACAGGCTGTGCTATCTCTTATCACCTAAGCTGCAGTACCTGAAACATGCCACTCAGAAACTAGTGCTTTTTCCAGGAGAGATAATATTTAAAGGGATAGTTCAGGTTTTTTGAATTGTGGTTGAATGAGACACTTATCTACAGTTAGTTTATAGTAGACGGAGCTCAGCATGCCCCCAGTTTGAAGAAGAAGAGTCGGTGAGGAAAAGCGGTGAAAATATTCTATGGGCCTTTTTTAGGTGGCTAAAATAAGTTTTGTTGCTGCACCAACCAGGGATAGAGTGATCTATTTTTCCAATTATCGGTATTATTAGATTAGATAAAAATAATTCATTTGAAAATGCACTACTTTGGCTCTGATGCAGCCTTCTGTCTATGTCTGTAGTCTAGCTCAACACCAACATCTATTAACGAGTAGCAGTCTATTAACACTAAAGGCTGCTGTGCCACAGATAGGGAATTGGAGATATTCAAGTAAAGTGCTTCAAAATTGTAGTTAAGTACAGTACTTACATAAATGCATTTGGTTATACTCCACCATGTCACCACGCAGATTTTCATTTTTATCTGTTACAAATATTAGTTTCTTTAATTACTCGTACTCGGTATCTGTAACAGCCCTGAAAATGACATATTGGTCCATCCCTAGTCTGCTTCTCTGAACTAGGGGTGTGCTGACCACCATCTACTGTACACACTGGCTATGGATAATTACTTCATATAATCCCACTTACTTCTTTGCCTACTACTTTATAATGCATAATTCCCCGTGGTAAACCAGAATATTTAATATATTTATGGTTTGCGTTCTGCAGCTTTGATTCTTATACACTTTATGTGAAGAATATTCACTAGTTTACCACTAAATATACCCTAACCCTTGGGGACGTGAATCCAACTTTCCAGTGTCTTCTGATCTAAATGTCAACCATTCACCCTGACTACACCCTGGACTATATTATAAAATGCAATGTACAATATGAACGGTAACCAAATATGGTCAGTGTAAAACAAATACATAATCCAGTATAACTAAAGGAAATAAAAGTTGATACACATCCACACCTATGGAAACAATTACCGGATACATGACTCACTTATTTATCGGAACACAGCCTCTCATCATTTTCCACTTTGGTATATGCTACATTTTCAGAGTATTCTTAAATTAGGTTTTATAAAACAGTACCTAAATTCGAATCTAGCCTCTTGTTCCTTCTACTATTAGCATATACAAGCACAATTCATTATGTTCTGAAACATACAGAAGCAGGGATCATGCTGCCATTGTTAACCTCCAGATGTTGTTCTACACCGCCCCTGCCCCACCCCAAATCTACTGTACAGTGGTTCAATGCTCAGACTCCTCTACAGGTGGCCTCCAGATATTTTCCTTCCATAGCACACTATGTATAGGACTAAAAAATACAAGCCTTCACATGTGAGCCAAGCACACTGCCTGGCTGCCCAAGTCATACGGAATCCATTTGGAAAGTCATTTCACTCTTTTCCTTTTTTTAAAACAAAGATGGAAAATACCACAAGCATGCTCAAGGTCCTGTTTTAAGGCAGAGGAGTGGTAGCAGGAGGAAGGGACAGGGGCGAGGAGAGCTCTGAGGGGCAGATGTTTTATTTGAAAAGACAGAGAGTTTTTTTCTTCATGGGGAGTTGAGGGGAGCCCTGTTTCTTTTTTTAGCCTGTGAGGCTGTAGTGTGATACGTAATAGCTTGCAGCTTTTTGCACAGTGGCGCGAGAACATTCAGAGTTTCCACCCTTGACTCAGACATCATGGCTTGGACCGACCTCACTCTCTCTGTTTCTCTCAGTCCCAAACCAACAGCTGGGCAGGATTCAAATGAGAGCTCCATCTTAGGCAACACAGACTGTCTGACTGTGAATGGTTGTGCATTAATACTATTCTAACATCCTTACACAATATATTTGGCTGCCTTGTCCTGGCACACCAGCACAATATTTTATATGTAATGAACCACAGATGAGCAGAGCAGAGCTCTCAGCAAGAAAAAGCTAATCTCTATCATCATTTCTGAAGGAATTCAATGACTGAACTCTTTCTCAATCTGAAAGCATCATAAATCACCATTTTAATTAGTATCTAATAAAGTCTTGAAGTGGGGTTTGCAAGTTTCCAGTGCAATCTACTCAAAATACCACAAAGTAAAAAACAAAACGGGTTGGGATTTTGCTGCCATTAGCCAACTGCTTGGGCCCTGTGGCAAGAGAAACTCCCCCTGAAATGCCTATCTCTGGCTCCCTCACTAACTCAAAACACTGGCTTTGTTTACGGTTGCCAACTGTGACATAACGTCAGATTCATCTTCATTAAAAAAAGCAATCCACAATGTGTTGTTCTGTTTTCAATTTGCCGTGCTCCTCTGTTGCCCTTCAAGGGAAGATTCTTTCAAAATCAGCAGTAGATGTAGAAAAACTTCACCAACACCCCCAGTGAACTGTAGGACTGTTTATTTGGACTGAACTGTGTCAGCACATAAATACTTGGCCTTTGTTAGGACTCATTAGAACTGACAATTTATACCTCTATGCACAATGACATCAACATCATTTACAGCAATTTGAACACTGTGGAAGTTAATCTGCATTTGTATTCCAACTCATGGAAAGACAAACAATAAAGATAGGCTCCAGTTTTCACACTGCTGTGAGTCTGTTTACATTTTCACATGCACAGAATTAGACCCAACAAAGGAAATCTTATTAGTCATTTCTATCATTTATTAAACTGACTAAGTTAAATATTGTATGGATATGTTATATTATATTTAATGCATAACAATAACTGAATCAGAATAACTAATAAACTATACAATGAACCCAAACCAAACTTTATATACATATACATACATATACATATTTATTCTCTGTCTGTATTATGTTTTTTTTAAACAATCAAATCCTAATGGGCTTATTTTTTGACAAATTCAGTGTTTCCTTGCCATTGCCATTAAAAGATCCCCCTCACTACATAGTTGCAATTATTTTAAATGTAAGGGATAATTATAACAAATGTATATTATGACACATGTTCATGCAGGGCCTGCTGCTGGCTATTTGGTATAATATTTATATCAACCTTATGATCTTTTTATTATATAATCATCAGGTTTCTGGAGAGCTTTGCATGGCTGGGGCTTATAACTGTTAGGATAAGGGTACACAGTTAATAGGGCTCCCCTCTCAATACACGCTACCCAGCTTGCCTGTAGTGCTCTTCACAGCAAGAACAATATGGCTGCCTATTTATGAGTTACAGCAGTTGTTTTAGCTACGCACACAGAAAATTAAAATCGGTATACTGTCCAGCACTAATTACAATATTCATTAAAAACATATATTAAAAAACCCAGAGGGTTGTACTTTTTCACATTACACATACAAAATCAACATCAACTTTCCCATGTAGGGGTTTCTGGGTAATAATCTTATCAACTGGTTGTTTGTAGGTTTGTGATGAATGCAACCTGGTAACAGATACTGTTCTCTGATCTCTTCCAGACATTTTTCCAAAATGCTTTTCACTTTACTGTCAGTGTGAGGTGGGAATTGCAGAGTTCAGATTCGGACACCCAACCTCAGATATAATAAATATGTATAAATCCAAGTCTGTATAGGAAGATTAACTGACCCAATACCACACAAGGAATGCATGGCAGAAATCATCACAATCAGTCAAAAACTAATGTTAGTTAAAACAAAACCACCTGTGGTTAAAGTCAACAATGCAGACAATACCCCATAATGCCATTGGTATGCTGGACTAGCTCAGGCTACTGTATGATGTGTAAGTGGAAACTAATCAGTGGCGGCTCTGTCAGCACATCAGTTGGAAGTGACTGTCTCCCTGTTAGCATGAACAGCTGTCCTCCTCTGGGAGTGTGTGTTTGAGTGTGGGTGTGTTTGTGTCTGTGGGGGTGTGTATCTTTGGCTCATTTAAGCCTGACTGTCCAGTAAGCCTGAGATCTACTCCCTTACATCTGTGTTCAGTTCCTTGACAGCTGAAGCCAAATGCTGCCAGAGAACAGAGCTTACTGCACTCACCTGGAATGCGACAACTCTACCCCACAGTGTGTGAGTGTGTGAGAGAGAAGCAGAGGGTAGGAGTGATGGAAGTCTTAGTGGATTAAAGCTGCACTATCCAGATTTCTTTAATATTACCAATGGATCAAATGATGTGGTAACAAACCCACAGAGAATTATCACCAAATCTCCAGTTTGCCTCAGCTCTACTGAACACTTTAGCATCTTTCAGCTCATTGTTTTGGTTTGCTGGCACACAAACCCATAGGCAGCTAATTTCAGCAAAACCTCTTCTGGCACAGCACCACACCGGAGACAAATGCTGAAACCAGAGCTTAAAGTCTCCATGAAGTCACAATTGATTTTAAGTGTTTTTTATCACATATATAGCACTAAACATCACCTATATGCCAGTTTCTGGCTCAACAATGAAAACAACTGTCCCCCCCTGGGGACACATTTTAGTTTCAGAAGAAGACTTAAGCTTCTTCAAACTACTACTACCTCCATCACTTTCCATGTGTAACAAGCACAGCACTATGACTGGCCCTTAAGGAGAGACTATCTGACTGTCACAATTCCAATTTATACAGTTCATTGCATCTCCTGTATGATG